TAGATTGTAGTTTAAATATTTGAAGTACAACACATAGGATGAAAATAAACTCCAGGCAGGTTGTTTGACGGGACTGGTCCCTACACAGTTATTACGGTAACGTGGCTGGAGCGTCGTAAATGAGCTGCAACTGTCGTTACTCTCGGAGCTAGCACAAGCTAAACTGCGCAATTTCACGCAAGATGTCGACTAACGGGAACATTAGAACAGTCACCGCGTAGTTAGTTCTCTCTTTGATCAAATCGTTCGAAAGCCGCGGGGGGAACAACAGCTTCTCGTCTGCGCTACAGAGACTTTTTTTTAATCTTCAAAATGAACCGACTGTTAGCTTCCAGGCTAACGGAGCAACACAGCGGTGCGAGTGTTTGCTAGCGAGCTAGTCGACCTGTGGATGAAGTGAACTCACTGACAGGAAACATGGCCGAGTCGCCCCCTCTGTCGGGGGTTAACGTTGTTCTGGTCATGGCCTATGGGAGTCTGGTAAGATGCTAAGTCACAGCTCTGGTCGCTAGCTGCCGCAGTGATGCTAACGTAAAGATAACGTGCGTCTGTTTTGTGTCCACAGGTGTTTGTGTTGTTGTTTATCTTCGTCAAGAGGCAAATCATGCGGTTTGCAATGAGGTCCCGGCGGGGACCCCACGCGCCCATCGGCCACAATGCCCCCAAGGTAAAGCTTGTTCTGTCAAACACGCAGCATCCACTGCGGGTGCCATCGGTCACGCGTGTGTTTTATTCTACTGGTCAGGGTCTGAGGGAGGAGATCGACTCCAGACTCTCCAAAGTGCAGGAGATCTGCTTCGAACCTCGTCTCCTGTCAGAGGAAGATGACAGACTGAAGCAGGGGCTTCAGATTAGTAAGTCATTTCTCATCCTCGTCTAAATCCCTCTGCGCTGCACACTCTCCATTTTGTGTAATAAAACCAAAACCTGTTTGTATTTCAAAGGTTGCTACAACTACCTGTACAGAATGAAAGCTCTGGATGCCATCCGTGACTCAGGTGAGAGATAAAAACGTATCGATGCCACAGGAATAAATTGTCCTCATCATCACATCACACATTATTCTCACACTCGCTCATTACAATCATCGTCTCTCATATCCTCTTACTTGAAATTCCTTTTCTTCAATAACAATCTGAAGTCTGAACTCTCTCACTTTCTTTGTTGTAATATATTAAACATTTTTGTTTTTCAGTAACACGATTGCTAACCTTCACTTCTTGTTCCTTCCTGTTTGGATCTCAGGAATTCCTCTGCAGGAGATAAGCTGCAGTCCCAGTGCGTTTACAGGACGCAACTTCAGGAACTGGCTGCTAGAGTTGCGCAACTCCCACTCCTTGATAAAGAGCAGCCACAGTTCGCTCATTGAGCGCTTGCTCGAGGGCTACGACAGCGCTCGCCACGGAACTGGGGTGTGTCCAGATGTTTTTTTGTGACTGCGTTCAAACTCACTCACTCGTTAATCGTTCACTACAGTCCGAGTAATAGACACTATGAGATTTCAGAAACTTATCATCATCATCATCATCATTATTTGAGTTGGTCAATGCTCATTTTTCTGTCTATAAAATGCATTGTGGGATTTTTAGCAGGAAGGGTGAGCACATTCCATCATAACTACCTTTTTCATATCCTCTTTTTGAGGGAATCTACACTCTCACTTGGTAAATGGGCGGATTCTTGGCTAAGCCCTTGCAAGATAGCAAAACATAATATGGTACATTCAAGTTATTTCATTAGCTGTTGCAACATGTTACTGATTTGACCTCCACTCTGTGTTTCAGGTGTTCGGGGAAGCCGAGTTTCTTGAATATCAGCAGGCTCTCGACGAACTCGCTGATGTGTGAGTGCTGTCGTACTGGTCCAGACTTGACATTGTTTAGGTTGTTCTAACATGTGTTCGGTCGTCACTGCTCACATTGACAGGCCAACGTGTGGTGCATGTAATTGCCTAAAGAGATTTAACTTTTAACTAAATTTCAAGTGATGGGAGAAAAAAAAATCGTTGATTTGTGGAATATAGAAAACTTTAGATGGATGTTGTTTATTGTAAAACATTCTTAGCTAAGAATTCAAACCTGCTGCAAAAAATTAAAAAAGTTAGTTTCAGGCTGTAATATTTAGTTAACCTTTCCATGTGTTTTCTCTCTCTGCCCACAGGGTGAAGGCCTATTCCAGCACCACCAGTCTGGACCAGCATCATCAGTCGGCAGCCAAGGACCTGACGGGGTCTCCTGTCCGCAGCACCCCCTCCACCATCCAGGTCACCTACCTGCCCTCAACCGGGCAGCGCAGCAAGAGGCCCAAACACTTTCTGGAGCTCAAAAGTTTCAAAGACAATTACAACACGCTGGAGAGCACGCTGTGACACGCTGCAACATGCTGCCGTCACGCTGCCGTCACGCTGCCGTCACGCTGCCGTCACGTACTGACAGAAAACGTTGGTGTGGTGTGTGAGCATGTGCGCTCAATAGTGACACAGCCTACTGGGAAACTTAGTTTTCAAATGTTGAAAACCTCCCTACGATGGTCAGAATGACAAATGACTTGTGTGTTTTCATACATATTTTAGTAAATAATTTAAAGGAATTATCTAGAAAAAGATTTCCCAAGTCAAACAATTGTTCAAACCTTAAAGTCAAAAGATTTTTTCCTCATTATGATGATGCACTGATGTTGCACCAAAGCCTTTTACTTTGTGTTCAGAGGACAAACATGATTGTAGCTCACATGGCAAGATTTTCATTGTCATTTTTGTAGAAACAGCAAAGTCAATTACAAATCACCTGGATTCACTTGTATTTTTCATCAACAGTCCAAATGTAAATATACATATGTACCATTTGATTTGCTGTGTTTGTAGAAATGTCAAATATTTATATGGACGGTTATGATGTATTTAACGGATACTGTGTGATTTTTGTATTTATGTGAGGTTGTACTTTGTGGTTTGAGATAAAAAAAAACAAACATTGAATAGACTTCTTTATGTGCAGTGTCTGTAATATCTCCACTAGGTGGCAGTAGAACGTTATGGCTACAAGGAAAACTTCACAACTGAGTTTGATAAACCAGGCCATTTATTATATTTAAATAAAAATGAACAACATCTACAATAAAAGACAGTCGGAACTTAAGTGTATCTATCTACAAGGTTCACAGTGAAAGGTTATTTGGTTTATAAAAAATTCTCATTCACTACTACAGCATAAAGTATTTTACACAGAAACAAGGTCCATACAAACAAATAATATTGTCGATAGGTAAGTTCATCAGTTATTGTTAAATACACATTGTAGCACAAACAGGGTCCATAATAAGTGTGCTGAGGCAGCGCTTGGCAGCAAAGATAAATATTAAAGTCCTAACTCGCTGCTGTCTCTACACGTAGCCTCTGCTAACTCTTTTCTAAGTATAATAAAGACGTCAAAAATAATATTATTAATTTCTTCCTGTCTAACGTGAGAGTGAGTAAAACATAAATTACGGCTAACTGCATGTCTGCTCATTGGCAACGGGATGCAAAGCACTGAGGAATGTGACCCTGAACCCTGATGCAGAGGATTGTGGTCGACGATGCTGTTTGACGAAGAAGTGCTGAGAACATTCAACACAACGTGACTATTTGTACATGCGTGTAACAGAGACATTAACAATATAATAACTGTTTTTACAATAATAATGTTAAAATTACAATAGGTCCTCCGCTGTTTCACAGCGTTCGGGCCCTAATAATCTAAACCCACCTTTTATACTGACCTGTCGAAACATCTTATATAAGAATCTTCGTGCGAGAGAAGTTAAAGTTGAAAACTTGACAACACAGGGAACTTTTTTGAACTCCTGCTGCTGCCTCTGACTCTTGAAGACTCGCTGACATAGCGCTCAGACGTGTGTCTATGTACAGTAAATCATCCAAGAAGTTCAGCGTTGCTCTGCTCCTGCTGTTGTTTCCTTTTTAAGATTTCTCCTATGTTTGGATCGCAGGTTGAATTCACACTTGTTCAGATTCAGTTTGACTCTGAGGAAGCTCTTAAAGACATTTTCTCTCCTAGAATCAATCATCGAGCTTCGTCAACCTAAGATCTGTTTAATCTGCCTTTTTTAATTCATGCAAACCTTTTTTGCGAACTGGACGGTGGTTGAATATATGTATTACATTTTTTGAAAACTTCCAATCATTCCTTTAGTTGACCCTTCATTCAGGACATGATCTCAATGACTTTGATGAATGGCAGGGCTTTGTTGGTCTGTGTTGTTGGTGTGAGGGGTTTACTGCACAGAGGGGGATAAAAAAATAAAAAGTTAATGTTATGAGGTGTATTTGGACATTTACTGAAAGCATGAGCAGCAGACAGATATCTTCTCAGGTCACCTGTAAACCACCTCTGGCTTGTTCTCAGTGGACGTCAGGGGAGGAGGATTCTGGCCGGCCAGGAAATACTCCATGTGGTCATGCATTTCTCTGTTCTGCAAAGAGAACAGGGTAATATACATTAAAGGGTGTGTTGGGAGGTTTAGGTGTGAAGGATTTACATCCAGGGTAAATTTAGGGCATTTTAACCTTAAGTCTATTACGTGTCATGCTTTGAGTTTAAAGGATAAGGCTTCTGTTAATCTATATTTTCCAAATTTTCAACAATTTGCACGAAAAGACCAAATCAAACAAAGTTTTATTCTGCCGCTCAATTCTTTCTGACATCCCCATCCTGTGTGGGTTTCGGCCCCAGGCTTAATTGTGTCTAATGAACACATATGAATACATAATCAAACAGGCCAAAAAGCATTAAAAAAGTTTTCTAAAACAACTGTGCCAAAAAGAAGTAAACAGTGCATAACACATATTTGATTTGTGCTTGTGTATATCATCGCTCTTTTGTTATAGCTTTTGGAAAACAATGGACGTCAATATCACAAGGGAATAAGCTCTATCAGACTCAGGCAATACTAAGGCTCAGTGACAGTAATAACAATAAAGATGTATCAGTGGGAACAGCCCTTTACTGGATTTACGTCTATATTTTTTAATGAATGCAGGGATATTGCAGGCTCCAGACCTCAGCTTCCAGGAAAGCCACCTTCTCCTCCAGGTCCCCGATGACTCGATCTCTCTCTTGGATGACAGTCCGTGAGTTCTGTAGCTGAATCACAGACAAAACACACACACACACAAAGTCAAGTACTCTAGAGAAACAGATTCATCCAACAGATGCAGCATCACTTATTATTTCGTTCCACCACACATTTCTGCTCGGCTCCACTCCCTTGAATCAATAAGGCTTTTTATGTCCGCCTCCTAAATCTAATATCGTCATTAATGACTTCCTGTGTGTTTGTGGGCTATAGAGACATTGTGTGTCTGTGTCTGTGTGTGTGTGTGTGTGTGTGTGTGTGTGTGTGTGCACCTTGCATGCATACCTGTTCGATCATGTGGCGGACCTTCCTCTGCTGACACTTTAACATGTCGTCAAGATGGTGAATCTTTTCCTTTAGGATGGCCACCTCCTTCTCCAGCACTGCACACCTGCAAACCATAGATCATATGAGGCAAGCACGAAAACATTTCTTACATCTTATCTTGTAATCTTGATGAGAGGAGGGAATGTTATTTTTATCATTTTATTATTTTTTATTTTGGAAGTTTCAATCTCCCAAATTCATATTTAGGATTATAGTCTCTCATATTAGGTCAGATATCAGTGGATGTACCTTTGTTTGAGTCGCTCAAGATAAACTATTAGTGAAACAAATAACAATGTAATATATCCTATACTGGGGTTTTCCAACTTGTTTTGCATGTAAAAAAAAAAAACATCTTTTAGGTTTTGTTCAAACCGATGCTTTTGTTTTCCATCTCACCTCTGCTCCCTCTCCTCCCCTTCCTCCCTGCTCGCTTTCAGCTGCAGCAGTGCCACCTCCCCTGCTGCCATCTTGTCTTTGAGGATGCCGCTCTCGAGCGCCATGCCTTCCAGCAGCCTCTGCAGCTCCTCCACCTGCAGACCTCTCTCCTCCGACTGCTCCTCGGCCTTCTGCAGCTGCTCCGACTGCTCGGCCAGACGAGTGTGGTACTCATTGGACTCTGCCTGTAAGAGAAACCAGAGTGTGAGGACTGATGAAGTAATGATACACTCACTATTAAGGAAGGGCACTAACAGTAGAGCACACAGCTCCACCAAGGCCCAACAGTCTCTTTATGAAACTAAATTTAAATTCATTAAGACCCAAGATTCATTGGTGGAGGTTTTAATGTACTGTTGATTTACACTACTCCCATAATACAATGCAAAAAGGAAATGGAGAAACTGCTCATAGCTGAAAGAAATGTAAATAATGTAAACAAATAATTGTGGACTGCGGAGAGAAGAATTTTTAGAAGAACATTTAGCAAATTATAGTGTAAAAGTGAAAATTATATACATAAAAAAACCATTAAAGCAGATAACTATAAGGTGTATTAGTAGAGACTTGTTACTGATCTATTAGATTCTCTTATCAGTGTGATCGGCATAGAGCATGTGTTAGAGACAGAAATGTTGGAGCTGATGACAGATCAGCCTGTGGTTAATTGTCAGACTGTGTCCCTTCATGACCTGACATATTAATGTACTGTAGAGCAAAGACCTAAACACAGCATCACAGGAGGAAGGATGATGAATCCTGAGATGACACAGAGAGATAATGAGGAAGACTAAAGAACGAGAGAGCAGCAGCAGAGAGGTGAGTCATCGCTGCAGATAGGAAATAGAGTCATGTTACTGGTCTCATGAGCCAGACCTGCAGCCTCTGCCTCTCCTCCTGATGCCTCTTCTCCATGTCCTTCAGCTGCGCATACAGACGCTTGGTCACCTCCCTCAGCTTCACGCTCTCCTCCTGATTATCTGCAACCTGAGAGAACAGGCAGACAGAAAGTGACGTGCTCAATTAGGCTTATCCAGGCAAACCACTTGAACCTGAGGGCACTGCAGGAGCTAATAAACAGCTAGAAGCTGTTTGATAGGCTGTTTGCTATGTGTTTAAAAGGCTGCTTGGTCAAGTCTGAGGTAACAAAAGCATTCAGACGAGACGCTGGACGTCTGTTAAGAGATAATCTTTAATCTCCAGGCTCTGCTTGAGGTGAGCAAAGTACTTCTCATTACAAACAGTGCAAGATGCATTCCAGAATAATGTATTTAGAAAGGAGGGCAGTGTAATGTGACCCTAGTTTACCTTCATATGACACACACAGGTCAGTGGATATAGATAAACTCAGTGCACACACACTCACTCCCTGCTACAACACTGCCTACTTGCAGATAATGGTGTTGTGTTACAGGAGATGTTCAGAGTCTAGAATAATGCACGAGGAAATATGATATCCTGTGTGTGTGTGTGTGTGTGTGTGTGCGCGCGCTATTAGAGTGTAAGTGAGCCCTTTGCGCTTTGTTATCATCAGAGTCTCGGTTGTGCAGGAAAAAGCTGGAGGGCCAGACATTTCTTCCCCCATTATGAACGATGTCTGTCACTTAAACATAAATTTGAATTCAACAATTCTTGTTTTGAGCTGAAATTACTTTTACTTTCCTACGGTTCATTCACATGGAACTGATGAATAAACACATCATAGAAACCACAGCAACACTCTTCTGAGGACGTTAGAAAGAGCTGAGTTGTGATGAGCTTACATGAGCGTTAGAGCCAATGAGAACAGTGTTGCCATTGGAGACGGCTGGTTGGCTGCTGGTTAGATTGACTCTGAAGCCATTGGCGGGACACTGAAGAAGAAAGCAGCGGCTGGTTAGTGAAGTTAGTCATGTATTTCTTACTACTACTACTGTGGCTGAGAGCTCAAAGCACAGCAACATGAAAAGACACAAACACACAGCAGCTTCAAGATTCAAGTTTAGTTATGTAATGAATGAAATGACTCAAAGTTCAGTTTTTGATCAATTTGAAAAAACTCATTTATATTTATTGTAGATAAGTGGTAATTGGTAAAATGGTAATTTCAAAATAACACATATATAATAACACATTTAATTAACAACAAATATATACAAATAAAAAGCAAAAAGTTATCACATTGAAGAAGAAGAATTCTTCAGTTTATGATCAACACTGAAAGACAAACATCTTTCCCACTGATGCAGAGGGTGTTTACCTTGTTGTTGTTGCTGATCTGCCTGGCGGCCATCTGCTCTCTCAGAGTCTTCAGACAGTACCTCACCTGGAAACAAAAAACACATCACGGATTAAAACAGTGTGTGTGAGGTGCAGAAACATCACTACGAGCTTCAACTCAACTCGTACATTTGAAAAATGATCCTAAAACAAACTCAAACAGAGTCTACGTCTCTCCACTAGTGGCTGAATGTTGACTCATTGTCTAAATATGGTTGCAGGAGGCTCTGCCCGTCACACACTGACCTCCTGAATCTGCGACACCTCGTCCGTGAGCATCCTGATACTCTCTGCTGTCTTTGGACAGGATTCAAGGTAAACCTAGGAAGCACAGCGGTAAGAGCATGTGAGATAACACGGTTTAGTTTAGGTAAACCTGAAGGATCGACAAACAGCTACACAAAACAGGCAAAAAGGCTTAAATACCTTTATGATTTCAACTTTTTCGTCAATGGGAGCGATGAGCTCAAGAGTTTCTTCCTGCTCTACTGGTTTTTGTGGTGGCACTACTGCTATGCTGCTCTCCTTCATTCAAAACAAAAAAGAGAAGTTCAGAAAATGTCCCACCCTCTACTATTCTTCTTTTACTTCCGCAAACAATATGATAAAATAGTTTTCACTCTTTTCATTTCGTACCTTGTTGCCGAGGGTGCAGCCGGACTGATGCTGATCTTGTAGAGTGAGTCTAAGCCGCCTGCATCGGTCCTGAAGTGAAAGATGAGAAGATAAGAGAAACTAGATGAGTAAATAGAACGGGGGGGGGGGGAGATAACGAGAAAAACTACCAATGACGGGAAAGAAGAGGGGCCCGAAGAGAAAGTCACCAATAACAGAGAGGGAGGAGCAGGGACAGAGGGAGGGGAACGTTTTTGGCCATAAAACTTCTCCACACTGAAGTTCCTCTGTGGACGCCTCAGAGTTACGCTGTGAAACCATAGCAACCAACACTGAGGAGACATTTCCACTGAAACCACAGGACAGAGTCTGGTGATTATGACCAAACACAAGACGACTCACTGGAGAAAATGAAAACCAAAAATAACAACACGCAAAACATCTGCGACTTCTGAGTCACTCTCAAACCATTTCTGTCGCCATGGCAACAAAAACTCATCAAGTAGTTGTCTCTGATGCTTTTTATAATTTTGTTTTAAAACAACACACAACTTTTCTATTTATAGCTGCATGAATATTATATATGCATGTTTTTTAATTTAATACTCTCCTATTATTGGCTGTTCTGTTTCTGTATCTATGACTCATTCATGTGTCATTTTGTTAGTCTAAAGTTTTTCACTGAGCTCTTCTGACTTCTCTATAGCTCCTTTATTTTTCAATTGTACGCTGTTTATCACTCAGTTCAGGACATTATATTTTTTAATAACATGCAGGCTATTAGCTATTTCATCTTCATCTGATACTAATCAAGTGCTACTGATTTGATTAATGTGGCAGAATAAATAAAGTGTTAACACCCAGTTCAGGTGGAGACTCCACACCAGTTGTGTTGCCTCTTCTCTGAATGTGCAAAGAAAACAAATGATTGGCTCTTTGACAAAACCTCAACTTCAGGTGGACAATAGTCCAGGTGCAGGTGAGTCATGTAACCAGTATGTCTTTGGACGTTCATACATGGAACACACTGCTGCTGTAAGTAATGTGGCCTAACTGTACAGAACATGAGGTCAAAACCCAATTGCTATTATCAGTCATTACTTGGCTTTTTGTCTTGCTGCAGTGGTTTCTATCAGTGGCCTTAATTAAACATTGTGTGGGTGTTTGTGACGAAGGCTAAGCTACACAAATGGAACATAATTTAACAGCTAAGACAAAAAAGTCCTGTAGACATCAAGACAGAAATGATCTTGACTTCTTTTTAGTTGTTATAGTCTATATTCCCAGGTGGGACCAGGGAATCCTAATAATAATACATTTTACTTCACAGTGACTTTCTAGACACCCAAAGACACTTAACAATATACGCTGAGAAATAAGCACACAAACATTGGTAGCTGAAACTTCTCCCATAAAACAAATATTTTCCGGGACAGAGAAGTATTTTTACAGGTTTGACAGGCAGGTGTTACTTTTACACGGTACATAAAATGCAACAAGAAACAGATGTTGTTAAATCACGCTACAGGACATCATGAGGCGACTTTTACACCTACATTCAAATCTACATCCAAACACTATAACACCCCATGTTTTAACATCACCTTGTTCGGTCAATGTCACCAATTGAATTGCAGCAACATTTTGTGATGCTGTTCACACGGTGTCACACTGTACTCTTCGTTGAGTCACATTTACACACATTTAATTGCTGCCTGTGAGAATGACATGTGGCTACAGTGTAGGAATGATAAAGAGGCACTCATGCGTTCTCGACATACCACGGACTGCTGTCAGTTTAAGGGGTGAAGACGACGCCAGAACAATAAACCTCCACAGTGAACTATACAACAGCAAACCTCAGAAGTCATTTTCATTAAAACAATTACCAATAAAACTGTAAATACACTAGATTGGTGTTCCCAGTCTAATACTGGAATACGCAGAGACTAATACTGGAGCTCTGTATTCCAATCATCATTACTTCAGGTTGCAGTGAACCACACACAGAGCAAGAGTACACAAAAATACATTTCATTTAAAGAAATAGACAAGAGGGTGCAAATGTCAAATGAAGAACTAGTCCATCTTACTTATAAGTTGATTTCTAAATCTATCTAGTATTAAATATCTGACAAAACTGAAAAATTGATCGACCATTGCTGTAGGTCTTCTGGCTCTCTCTCATTCTCTTCTCTTCCCATTTAATGCTTTGTTACTCTGCACAAAGTCTAAATGCCCCCAAAAACTATTGGTTGCACAAGTTTACGTTTGTGTGTGCGTATCACCGTGACACATTAAATAAACCTGCGTTGCCAATGGGTGGAAACTGTTCTCGAGTGTGTGTGATCATGCAAGTCACACCAACACACACACTGAAAAGAACAAAGCAGGGCAAACCGTGTGGTGAACATATTTTCTTGCTGACGTAAGCAACCAGTTCTCCGCTTGGCAAGTCAAACACAGGATAAATACTTCAGCATGTGATTGGCAGTTCTTTGTGTGTAATTTGCGTTGTTTAAAAACCATCAGAGCCAAGGCAGCGACATGAAGGCCAGTATTTCACTCTGAATTCTTAGGGAGTGACAGCTCCAGGGCTTCTCTCCCCCGGAGACACAGATGTGAGGATGGTACAGAGACACACCCAGGGAGGTGCAAACTATGCACAAAAACACAATGTTCTGCAAACCACCAAATGCTTTTCTAATGTGTTACTCTGGCATCAACATGTTTTCATTTCAGTCTTGACAGTAATGCACAAAACAGATACATTGATAATAATCTTTCATCTTTCATTTATGTTTTGTTCCATCTTAATTTACTCTGACCTAGTAACTAGTATACTGATGCTTAGACTTCTGCAGAAATCTCAGGTGTTACCTTAACATAGATACCAAGATTATTCATATACAGCCTGGAGTTAAGGTTCTTCATCCTCCCCCAGGAAACTCCTACTTTCCACAGCAAATGGTGAATAGAAAATCCTTTGCACAGGTAAGTGGATCAAAACTCCCACACACGGTCTTACTCTCAGTGATATAGTCATGTACGACATTCAGGCAATAACGATCTTGTTCCAGACCCAAAATGCATCACTTTAAGTAAGACTGTGTGTGGCAGTATTTTTTCAAAACTGTAGATTATTACCATCAGATTACAAAGGGATGGTAAAAACCCTGGCAGCTTAACACCAAAACAAACAGTTTGCATCATCAACCTTGTCTCCAAATTCCAGAGAACCAAAGGTTTGATGCATTACTGCTTCAAAATACTGGCTGCATGTGCAGTGTGTATTGGAGACAACATCATCACAACATTATGGAAACAATCTCAACAAATGGCTATGAAAGAAAGTACGGCTGATGAACGGCCGCTCCCATGAAGGGTGCTCATTAGGAATCATTACAGACCAAACGTACGTGTGATCCCGTTCCAAGTCCCAATAAAACACTGAATCACTGCATATTTTAAAATTCTATTGTATTTCCATTTAAGAAACAGTTTAACAAGCTTTCATGTAGTGACAAGAGAATACAGTGACATGCAAGAAGATATGTTTTGGAAGTGAGGTTGTTCTCTAAGATTCAGTACACTGTTGTGTTATAGTATCTTGTTATGGTCTGATCCAAAGCATGGGCCTGTGCAAACTTATACTTTTCCATCAGGTATAATGGAATCAGCCCTTTCATCTGTTCAAAGCATTTACAGACAAATATCTGCCTCTGGTGTTGAGAGCTGAGGCCTGTCCGTGCAGCTCGGGGAACGCTTGATTTACATTTCCACTGAATTTACAATCTAAGAGCAGGAGAAAACAAATTCACTTAAAAACAAAGACTGTGAGGTTCAGTGGTATCCCTGGGTTTTCTCTTATATAACATCAGTATTATGTTTACGTGGAAACGTACAAAACAAATCAACTTGTTAAATTAATCATTGTGAAGACAGCTTTGCAGATCATATCAACAAAAGTAATTGAAGTCTTCGGGTGTTCTCCCTTCAAGGCATCAATCTATGCTAAGTTAGATTCTCATCAGTTTGATAGGATCAAAAAACAGTACACATCTTTCATAAAAACACTGCACAAAGACTAGGACCAGAACATCTTTATCAAATGAATTAAAAACAAAGTAACCACAGCTTCTCTTCACAGTAACAAACTGGCACTCAACAGAGCACATACATCCTTTTAACATGTGTTTACATCAAGATCGATGAATCATTCCCTGGGGAAATGTCAAACATCCCATCTTGCAATATTAAAGAAAGTGAAAAAAACACATCCAGCATAATTTGATTGGTTTCTTCTCAGACCCATAATGCATCTTTCCAGCACATTTGGTAGAAATCGATTCAGTTTTTTTGTGTAATCTTGTTTTTAAAACAACTCGAAAGAGGGAATAAAGATTTAGCTGCATGCAGACACTGCAAATAATCTATACTGTTCCATCTTTAACGTATGTAATCAATGATTCATGAAGAAAACTGCAAAACCAATTCTGATGAGTCACTCTAAACGTTCCTGTTATGTGCAAACAGGAAACACTGTGATCGATGTTTGTCATTAAACAGTAAGTACAGCAGCTTTCACAGATCACTGAAAGCCTACATACTGTCTTCACATGCCATTAAAGTGACTTCAAATAAGTGTTAATAGTTAACTGTTAACTAGAGGCAAACTGTAGATTTGATTGAGACTGATGCAGACAGAGCCCTGCCTCTGCTTTCTGTCTCCAGTGTCCTGTCTTCACCGGATCAGCCAGCGGAGCAGGAGGACAGAGCAGCAGCTCTACAGTAGCAGTATTTATGTTACTGTGACTGTTGTTTACAGCGTCTGACGCAGGAGGACTGATAAGTGATTCAGAGTCAAGTGCAGTAGATAATTATAATGATAAATGTCACATTATTAATTCTGGTAAATTTAAAGACTGATTTTTTTGTCCTTAGTGAAGGTTGTGGTTTTAAACTCTTCTTAATACGCACAGAATGACAAACACATGACAAACAGCAAAACATGTCTACAAATCTGATGTAGATCAATTGTTTCTTAAACCTCCACAGTGTGTTTACACAATGCACAAGCATTATATCAATATATATTGGACTTATGTTATATTACTGTCAATTAAAATGACATTGTGAAAATTTATATTGTTTTATTGCTCAGCCCTAAGAGGAACCAAGTGCATTAGTGCACACAAGCTGTGAATATTATATGAGCGGGGGGGGGAAGAGTATAGTCTGATGCATATTTACAGATATTGAGTCCAACTCTCCTCATACAGTCAATAACCTCCCACAATCAATAAGTTATTACCTCTCAACACTGACTTCAGATCAACCATCAGATGACTGCAGCCGTACATCAGTATCTTTACTCCCGTCCCAACAGCGAGTTCACATCAAAGTGTGAAATTCATCCATCTCTGCCTGCTGTCATAACAAGGTACGTGTTATAACCAGGCAGCACAACGCCACATGCTGCGACCAGTAAGTACTAAAACACCTAAAAACGTCCCGCATCACCGCTGCTTGTCACACACGCTCGTCACAGACTCTTCCCTTCTCATTACCTGCACAGTGTGTCTCATCAATACAGCAGTAAATGAGTCACACTTCCAAAGTATAACTGACAAACGGGAAGTAGCTTTGAGAAGTTCCAAGTTTTTATTCAGGATAAACAATGTCTGCGTTCGCTTATTCACCAAAACTCAGACAAAACAAAATGATGAACCAACCGTCTGGGGGTCTTAGGAAGGCCCCCGTTCACTGCAGCTCTTAAATCTAGACTGAGGATTATTTAAATAAGTTTACTTAATGTAAATTCATAGCATTGTTGTTCTTTTTATTTTATACATTTCTACTATACTGTATTATTTTACTCCTTCTAATTATCTGTCCCTGTGCAGCACCTAGAATCTACCTCTGTGTAAAGGTCTTGCCTTAACTGCTGCACAATCCACGTTAATCTAAGAAAGCAAAATGACTTGTTTTGTCCATAATTTTAGGTATCTCTTTAGTTTTCACTATGAAGACAAACCAAAATGAATCATATAACCGAACACTACAAACCATAAGTCAAACAAAACTACAGCCGGAGCACCATCATGCATTTCACTCCACAATCCCTTCACTTTATCTGACAAAGATCACTCTTTTTTATCTACCTGGGCAGACGGGGCTGTGCGGGACCCTTCTCACTGATGTTCAGGCAGCTGTGATCCAGACGGTCTGTGCATGTGTGACTATCTGCGTGGGAAACCGCTGCTGTCTTGCCTTACAAGGCTGGGTGAGACTCCGTCAGCTGCCCAACCCTTTTTCCTCCAGACATGTTCCCCAGTCACTGAGCTACACTGCCAGTCCGGGGGTTGTTCTTAGCTTCACCTGCAGGACTGCGATGCCTCTTAAACAATGGAAAGAACTGGAGGAAACATTTCCACTGATTAGATTAAACACAGTCCTGGAAAAAGAAGTTTGTTTAATGGAGAATCTAAACTGTTTTTGAAAAATCATTAAAGATATAATATGTAACAATTCTACAAACCTATGTTTTGTTAAATTGTGAACATTAATCAAAATGTTTCCAACAATGTACCTACGCCTTTTAATTGCATTATCTCTTTGCCCTTCTCTGCTTTAATTTCCGGGGCAAACAAACAAAGTTTGTATCCGTCTCTCAAAATGGATGACGATTATGCATTGACGTTTCCTGTGTAATGTCGAGTCGAGTAGATTTCCATGAGCAATGGTGGTGAAGACAAAAGCTCCCATGATCCCACACTCATTCACGATGTCAACTAATAACTTTTGTTATTTTAATTGAGAGACCCCTAGTGACCAGAGTTACACACTGTACGTTTAACTCATAGATTGTACTTTAACTTCCAAACTACCAAATAATTTCCTCCCCATTTTATTTGAACACTGGAAGATGTGGCCAGTGATTCTGGAACCTGTTAACCTATAATCTTTATCAAACACTTTCAATCATTCAAGTTAGACCTTAATACTGAATGTGTGCAAACACACTTATATTTAACTGAGGACAATATGTGACCAACAGATAAAACTGTGGAATGATGACGGCCTCATTTATCTGGCACATGGTGACAGTGGTAGGTAGCAGGACAGTGAGGAATGTGTGCTGTGGGTTACGTAAGAGAGATTAATGAAGCGTCTTTATATAACTGGCATGGTGAGTGTGTGCTGTATAAACAAACGTGCAATCCAAAGTCAAATGACAAAGTTCAACTATACTCATTCCTGTGTGTGTGTGTTTAAGTATCTGAAACTTTAAAGGTTAAACTTTCTTCAGTGGAAATAATAATTAATTTGTTTTGGTGTGTTTAAAACATACATAGTTTCCTATTTAATTTGCCAAGGTGAGAAAAAACATATTAATTAATATTAAGTAAATATTTGGGGAATTGAGATGGTCACTTTATACCATTTCTTAAATATCTTCAAATTAACTAATTCATAGAGACTGTAATTATTTTAAAATAACACAATAAACCAGTCAGTAGTTGCAGTCAAAACCAAAGATATTTAATTTAAAATTATAGAAAACTATTTTAATCCATATATTCCACGTGTGAAAAACCAGTGTCTTGATTTCCCCCTGGTGGCTGACTGCAGTATAGATAATAAAGCCCACTTCTTCCATGTTGGTAGCCTAAAAAACAGTAAATACAGTAAATATTTTTCTCAAAGATGGTTTCTTTCAATTATAGATATTTATACTGATGTCGGGTTTCAGGTAACTCTGGTTTTAATTTGTTATTTGATGTCATGATTGACAGCTGAGACTCCGCAAGATGGCTGCGTTCATATCTGGGATAATTTGAAGTGAAGACAAGTGGAGACGTGTTGTCTATCATCGTATACAATCTACGTTTTGACATTATGTCTCGCTGATTTTCAAGTTTTGCGTGTTTCTACGAGCTTGATGAGCAAACTTCCAATATGAGCAGGTGTTTACTAAACACACTTTAATTTCCCAGGCTGCCTGTATACAGCCGCTAATCTTTTTGTTGACAGTGCAAACATAACATTTAACAGTGTTGCTAACACACACAAAAGACTTAGAGTGGATCTGTCTTATGTACCCATGTAATTACACTGTAGACTTAAAAAAAAACACATTACAATCCAGCAAAGCATTTTAATAACATGCTTCCTGAAATCCTTTTGCTCCTGTCAGTTTGTTCTCACACTACGACAGAACACACATGAAGTAAGAAACAATTTGTCAAGATCAGGAAGAAAATGGTTTAACTCTGAAATGTGCTTACGTGGAATAAAAAGGTTTTGAAAACTGCAAGCAAGAGTGCAGGAGAGGCCAGAGCTCATGTTTACAGTGTAATGAAAGGACTGTAAGGGGAAAAAAACACATTCCTCTTCAACCAACGACAAAAAAACACATCTTAATCCCATCTTTAAAACGTTTAACCTGGTGATTTCATAGCAACGGCCTGAATAATAATATTTCATTTCTGTATTCTTCTATGATAAAATCTCAAAGAACCTCACAACAATCCAAAAGCACTAAAAAAACTCAGACATCTAATCATTTATTGCAGCCAACTGAATTTGTCATCAAAGAAAAAACGCTTTTGCATGAGGAAGTATTTGTCTGAACATGACTGACTGTACGCTCCCCTTCCTGCCAGATGTCTGAGTAACAGCAAGAGAACGTTATTCTCACGACAAGTTTTGTATTGTTGAACCTGGTTTTTAGCAAAACCAATAAAGTCCGGTGAGCCAAACAATGCATCAAGTTATAGAAACTTTTAAGATGTGACAATTATATTTCAAGCACCAAAACATGGCTGGAGGGTGCAGCTAATTAGTAGGGTGTTCAATATCAATTCCTAATTGTATGTGTATGTTAAAGAGCATCCGTTTTTACTTTCTGTATCTGAAAGCAGGTTAATGCTCCAGTGAAAGTGTCATATATACACTAACACTTGCAGTATAGTCACTGTAGGCAAACCTAATAAAAATTCATGTATAAATAAAGTAATGTGGGAATGACTGGAACAATAAGTTGGGAAGTAGCTGTGAATAATATAATATTAGATATCCACTAAATAGGAATGGCCAATAGATGAATATTAATCATTATCGCAATAACATTTTCATCAACAGCAATACAATAAATCCAGTAAATCTATGCATTGCTAGTGCATTATTAAAGACACAGTAAGGAGGTATAATAATAAAAAATCAACCTACCTCAGAGTGAAGTCATTCAAAAATTGTTAAAAACTTTCACTTGAGCAACAATAAGTTATTTAAACTTTAGATAAATAACAAAACATTTTTATGGCACAGCTATGACTCCATACTTCCTGACGCCATGTGACTGGTGAAGGTGACTTTTTCCACATTTCCTTAATAATATTATTTAGTTTTTGGATTCAAAGGTCACATTTATACATGCGTACACACATGAAGCTATAACATGTAGCCTTATATACACGTAGGGTTTCAGTTGTGTGTGTGTTTATATGTAAAATATAAACCTTGAATTCAGAGAGTAAACAGAGTGACACAGGTTTAAAGTTCACATGTACCTGAGCAGCACAGACACGTTACAGTTTCATTACAACTGACACAGACAGTCAAAGTACTTCTTCTGGTAAAAAAAATACTTCTTATCGTTACTCACGTTACTTGAGTTTTTTTCTTCTCCGCTTCCCAAAGTCTGCTTCACTGCTCCGCTCATCTTCTCAGCCGGAAACAAATCCAAGACAGAAAAATGAATTCAAAACCTAAACAGGCACAGATTTTGTTTTGTTTTTGTTTCTCCTTCTCCTCCTGCTCCTTCTTCTTCTAATTCTTCTCCTTCTTCTTTTTCTTCTTCTTCTGCTGCTGCTGCTGCTGCTTCTTCTTCTTCTCCTTCTTCTTCTTCTTCTAATTCTTCTTCTCTTCCTTCTGCTGCTTCTGATTCTTCTTCTTCTTCTTCATGTGACCAGGTGGAGGTTGAACCCTGCAGGTCCTCTACACGACCGCACCTCATTTCAATGGAATGTTCTGAATCATCACTAAAGATGCAGCAGACTCTTTGGACCATTTCAAACTTACAGGTTTCATTTTAACGATTATTTCTAGTTTGCTTTTGATCTTTGTTCAGGTACTGATGCAATATCGGGAGTCAAACATTTTACGATATCGATATATTGGCCAATATGTATCCTGACATCAAACATATGCAGATGTGTCCATTAGGCTCATAACGTCCAAACAATAAATCTGTCAGGCTCTACAAGGTGGCAAGAAAATCACCTTTCAAAACATGACAATTTAAAATTAAAAGTCTTATTTATAGTGGACGATAAAGACTGATTCACTGAAGAACACTCATCATGGCTGAAATAAACGTGTCTGACCTCAGAGAAGATGATGACGCCTCCCTCCGGCAGACACTTGGCGTTGGCGCTGCTGAACCGCAGCATTTTGCCGTCAGTCACCTGCCTGATCTTCTTCCACATTGACCCCATGTGCTTTCTCTCCTCATCTGTCTTGTTTCTACAACTTCTTTTCAACCTCTCTTCTCCGTGTTTCCCTGTAACTCACAGTGTCTGGGATCTGCTTCCTGCTAATTCTGTGTCAGCCCCGTAAAGAGGAATTAGTCTTGTTTGAAAACAGTGCAGTCACATAGCAGGTGGATCTGGTGCCACTTACACTTGTACTTATTTACCTGTTTGTCCTGTGGCTGAACTCATTTACCTCTGGTGGCATATGGCTGGAAACTTTCTTGACACGTCTGATACATCAGCTCAGAGTACGAGTCCCACTTTCTACATTTGATAATGTGCTGTTGCTGTGATGAATAATGGATCAAACCACTGAGAAATTTACTTTTTGGTAAAAGAGAAATACTTTGTTTAGTCTAATAATCACATTTTTAAAACCTTGTTCAACAGTTCAAAATGTTACAAGCATAAATTAACACAAAACTCAGTTAAAGCTCATCTGACTGTTTAATTTAACTGTATTTGCTTGTTGCGACTTCCCTTTGGGGACAAGTGGCATTAAAAGAAATGAAAAGCTATTAACCACACAAAGACCAGAATCTAATCCCCAAGTGAAGTTCAATCATTTGAGCCTCTCACTTTATTATCTCAGTGTTTTTCCGCTCAGGTTGACATCATGTAATTATGTTTTACACCTCAGCTGCAGACATAATCCAAAATTATAGGTTATTTGCTCTGCAACACCAGCAGTGACTTTGTACACCAGTGAATTCCAATAAGCTGCTGTTAATGTGGCACATCTGTTTTTGTGTCAGGCGCCTATTAGTATAGTAAATAGACAAACGATTCAAAGAGAGCTCGTTTTTTGAGAAGCCCAGCCCAAGTTAAACATGCACCAACAGTTAATGGCTTTGGTTTTGTCAGATCAGAAGAATCTTTGTATTCTGTACAATGAAAGCGTGTTATTTTAAACCTCAGGTTTTCCACTGAAAAGGCTACATGCCATTCAGTTATGGCACATTGCAAAATATGTCTGTTTAAAGTTTAGACAGAGGTGAATTAACTGGCGTGGCTTTTCTTTTATTCAAACTCAGCTAAAACGTATTTTCTGTAAATGTTAATACTCTCATTCATTCTTCTTTTCTTGAAGGTTATAACTGCAAAGATCAGTTCTGGTGTAGAAAAGAATTTCTGCTTTGTCATTAAAATTCACGACCAGCGACAAGAATGCTGATCAGTGAAGTCGTAAAGCTCCTGCTCCTTTTCTCAAACATTCACTAAGACAAACCAGTAATACTTTGAGAACTGTAAATCATGTTGAGTTACAGTAAACGGACTGAACTTCAAAACCAGATATAACCAGACACACAGTCAGGAACGTTTCTATCGGGACTTTCGAGGCCCCGGGCAAAAGAGACCAGAGGGGCCCTACATGAAACCAAACTGAGACCCCACCCCCAGGAACACCACATTCTAGTCTTCAAGCAAACCTCTGAAGAACCTTCTCCACTGGTCAGCTTCCACTGACAGTGATGGAAATTTTAGTGTAAAAGACGTTTCAAAGCATTTGGTGGAAAGCTACTGGCACGGGCTCTCAGGGGTTTCTGACCGTGGCGTCGTTGCAGGGTCCTGTGCGTCACCGATCATAGAATCAAAGGGGTTTCTCACACAGTTTCAGTTGCTGTTCCCAGCGGCCCCTCCGCAGCTCAGGGTCCCAGGCAGTTACGTGTTTTACCTACGTTATTATAAAACACAGACTGTTTTATTTTGACTGACTGAAATGAATGGACATCATATTGAAATTCAACATAATAATAACAATTTTAAACTTTATATTTCTATATATGTTACACTTTACAAGAAATCATACGTTTGAGGGAAATGCAGGAGACAATGGATAAAACATGGAATTGAAAGAGTTTTTCAAACAACAAAGAAGAGAGCATGTTTTCAGTAACCCTGCAAAGACAGAGGAGGAGAAGACGAGCTGAGGTGAGACACAGAGGTTAGATGAGGTGAAGTCATGATTACAGCTCCATGTCTTCTGTAATTACAGTAAAGGATTACAGCCTCTCTGTGTCTGAGGAGGAAACTCAGATAGACACTGGGCTGCCTCAAGATTCAGACAAGCAGCTCAGAGAGAGAATGTAGATTTACTTTAATCCAACACTGTTACAGGTGTAATAATAAAACCGTTAAATGTCTCCATGGTGACAACAGCCAGTCACTGGGGGCATTATGTTTTCAGGTTGTCTGTCTGTGCTCTTGTGAACACGACAATTCAAGAACACCATGAGGGAATTTCATCAAATTTGCAAACGTTAAGTTTGACTCAAGGATGAAGTGATATGAATTTGATGGTTAAAGGTCAAAGGTCAAAGGTCAAAATCACCCATGACCTTACAAAATAAATGTTTCATCCGGCTCAGAAACACACAACATGACATGTCAAGTCTGTTCTATGGGAATTTCGATAGTCAAAGGTCACCAAGAAAAGAAATATGTACACTGAAACTGCACTAGTGGGCAGAGGCATACAATTGCAGGGTGGTAGGTCTAGTTAACAGTATTTGTTTTAGTTTGTCTCACTGACTTCACACTCTTCTGATGAGGTGGGCGGGTCTATAGCATTCAGCCCAAGGGATTCGGTTCTCACACTATATTTTGGGATTTTGCTGAACATCTATTTATTGCCACGTCATCGTTTGGGATCCCATGACCTGTGATGCTTCCTGACAATGTACGAAATTCTATTTGACAGTAAACCCTGAGGCGTGCTGGACTGGTTAGTAATGATAAGCTGTGGGAGAGCTGTGAGCTGCACAGACAGAACAGAGGGACGGCAGCAGGCACTGATCTTGGATTCTCTGTATCTCTGTAAAGGTGTGAGGTTGCCTCAGGTTTAAGGATATTTTAAACTGGTTCCTGATGTGTAGCAAAGTCCCTGCATTTGCTATTCCCTTTGTCTTAGAGATCCAACATTTGCAGACATGCTACCGTTACCTCTGTACGACTGAAAAATCTTGAGCACCACTACATATTAATGTATATAGAAGTTACCCTTGTGGATTTTGCATTCTCCTTTTTTGTGTAGAACATTTTTTTAGTCTGGTTGAGGTTTGAGGACAGAGGAAGCCGCACCTCATTAAGCCATATTAAGCAAATTGTGATTTGTGAATATTGCTTATACAAATGAATTAGTTTGACTGATTAACTTTGTTGTTTGAAGGTAAATCATGTTGATGTGTTGATCTCAGGGTCCATTGCTGTGTATTGACATAAAGAGGTGAAAGTGGTGCAGGTTTAAACGAGTGACATGAGGATAGGAAGTGAATTAATAGGTTCTGGGTTCAGGCCTGTCGATGACTGGCGCTCCTCCCACAGAGTACACAGAGCAGGCGGGTATGATGCAATGGCTGCACCCCTTGGATAAGATAGTTCACTTGGCTCTGGATTAACAGAGTATATATGCTTTTTAAAGTTATACAGTTTAAAGCAAAAGTCATGCAGCAGACATAAGAGCTCCCAGCGATCTCAACAGGATATTCAGATCTGACAAAGATCCTCATTACACTTTGTCAATGAAATGATAATGACATGTTGTGCTTGTGAATACAGAGTCTGGATCTTTTGACTGATTTATGTAGTGTCTACGTGGCCGTCACACCTACTGGGTTAGAAATAATTAAGTCAAACATATTGAAAGTTTTGTGGTGGAAATTTGTTGAATAAAGAGAAAAGTCTATGCGTGACTTTCTGAGCCTGAACTCATCACCTGCAGATGGACTCACAACACAAAATCATCTCTGAAAATGGGTGTGTGATCTTTACCCAATAGTTGGTTCACACGTTCTCTAACACTGAGTCATGTCAACACTTCAAGCACAGAAATATATTATGTAAAGTACATACTATGTATGCTGCTCTGTTCCTGTTACATTCCCTTGGTCCTTGTTTTGTCCTGTCTTGAATGTAGTTTGATGCATTTTATTGGTTGTGTATGCAGGTATGTCTTATCTGTTGGAAAAACATTACAGAAAATGAGTGTATTTTGTACAGGTACACCCATGATGTGAGGGTTAAGATGGTGTCCATATATCACAGTGTCCCTGCTATTTCACAGTCCAAGTCAAGTCATAAAATTAGGAAAAAATTACAACATCCCTCTTTTTTATTGTACAGTCTTTGCTACATATCAAATGTTACCAGCTTCTTAATATACATTCTCTGAATATAAAGCATCATTTCTTGAAATTGCCCTAATAAACATTTTTAAAGTGACACATTCAAAATATAATAACATCATCAATAAGTAATTTGGGAGATATGAATCAATATTCACAGCCAGGTGCAACAAGGAGAAATGTGGAATGATTCTTAAGTTAAGTTAAAGCACAAGAGACGCAAGCACAGGCAAGCATAGGAAATACTAAAATCATTACAGGAGCAGCAGCATATCAACCCAACACATGCAGTGACGACATTAAGTGAAAATAAAGATATGAGTTAATTTTTTAAGGCATCTGAGTGAAAACATGCACAAGAACCGAGCTAAATACAAAGCGATACTCAATAAAACGAACCACATTTAGGAATAATATCATTAAAGCAGAAAATGAACCTCTGAGGATACACAGTGTCACCGTATGTTTATTTGATTGTCATGACTAACAGGTATGCACAGCTAGTACGCTGTAAAAAAAAATGGAGGCTCAGTTTAAACGGGCGTTACTGTCACAGTCAAAGGTAAAAAAAATATATATATATATCACTTAATACACAAAGGAAACTTGGAGCTATAACAACACTGACAGATGTAAATCATCATGCGCAAGCAAACACAAATATGACCAATGACTGAAACAGTAAGAAACCAAAAGAAAAGAAAAAAATCTACATATTTTTGGTTTAAAATAGATGTAAATTTCTAAGTCTGGCTTCAGTGGAACAAAACTGTTTGAATACCTGGCTACCTCTGAACATAACCCACAGTAATGTGCTACCACAGTATTATACAGTCAATTTGAAACAGCAAAGAGCCTTTTTGACAACAGACTTAAAGCTGTGAAGTCAAACCTTGTATTTATAACTCTTCGACTAAACAGAGTTACAGCACATCTCATGACAGATAGAACAAAACAGCAGAGACGCAATCATAATCACAGCTGAAGGCTCAAACAAAATGCAATCTAATTATCCTGACAACCTGTCTCCGTCGGACCGCTGCACTAAAAATAAAAATAAGAGCAACTGCACGGCAAGTCTGTGGTGCATGGCAACAGAGTTCTTCATGCAAGTGGATCCTTGATACCCTGAGTATCCTTCTTATCTCACAAGTTTTTGCACTGAGTTTTCCACAGTGGTCACATTCTAGCTGTGGCTGGTCTGCAGGTGGCTCTCGTGCAAGATGGAGGTGATGTTGGTGTCAAAGAAGCCGTCCTCCTCCTCGGAGCTTAAAGTGGAGGGGCCCAGAGACGCACGGTGCTGCGACTTCCGCCTGAGAGAAAGCAGACGAGAGAAAATCCAACAGCATGACTCAGTTCTTTCATACGCTGCAGCTCAATGAATACAGGCAGGTCATGCTAGTTACTATTTACTGCCACCTAGTGTAAAGAACACCCGTGGTATTGATAGGTTAAGTTGTCAAGTACAAATATGTTGTTTGGGGAAGAGTAAAACTGTCAAATATGAACCAACTTACAGGTTCAGTGTGTAAGAATTAGGTGAAAGGGATCTATGGGCAGATATTGAATATAAAATAAATATCCCTGATATTTTCACAAGTGTCTTTCATCTAAATTGTACAAATTGTTGTTTACCCTAAAATGAGCCTTATTTAAAAACTTTATATTTATTCAGCTACAACATGCAACTTCACCACTAGATGTCACCACATTATACACGCTGAACCTTTAATAACTTCAAGACTGAATGACATCTAGGATTGACATTATTGAGATGATTACTGAGGTCCTACTTGAGCTCAGTCTCCAGCGCCGTGACTTTGGCCTGCAGCGCCTCCTGGAGCTCCTGCTGCTCCTCCAGGTCTCTGAGAACCTTGCGGCGCACTACCTCCAGGCGCTCCACCTCCCCTTCGCTCTCGTCGAACTGCCGTTTCAGGGCCTTCACGCGCAGAGACAGCTGGGGACGGAGAGGGAGAGCCAGGGGGTTAGAGGGGAACAGAGGAGGTCACGGGTGAAGATGAGTGAGGGTGGAAGAAGCCGGACAGGCAGGTGTTAAAAGCCGGGGGTGAGATGGATATGTGGGGTTTATAGCGGTGTGGGTGGGGGAGTTAAGGCTACTAAAAAAAAAAAAAACTGAGGCAGCAGAAAGAAGATACGGGAGAGAGGTCAGGGAGCATTCTGGTGACCGAGTGAGATAGGGTGTGGGTCAGGAGGAGTTCACATGAGATTATTAGTCTTAGATAAAAAAGAAGCAATTAAACATTGTTTGAACTGTGCGATGATTAAACAGCAGACGCAGATCAAACAGGACCTATCGATGACTCTTACAGGTGTGTCGAGGACGTAAATCAGCACAAACACAGTCAGCTAACGTCAGACAACCACAGGAGCACATTTGGTATTTAGGAGGAGAAGGTCTCACTCACATTGAAAGATAAGCTTGTGGGAAAATACAATAGATGCAGAGAATAAGATGAGAGGACTGAGACCACTCTTGTGTCTGACTGTATATAAAGATGGATGATATGGCAACTTCACAAAAGTGAAGCCAATATGTTTATTTTCATAAATCTTGATATTTACCTGATCCCTCTGCTCCACATGTTGGGTCCTCTCCTGGTCTAACGTGGCGTTTACCTCCTTCAGTTTTCTCTCCATTCGTCTCTGAGAGGCCTGGATACTGGCCTTCTCTCTGTCGGGACAAATTCAACATTCAGACAATACTACTGCATTGTACTACTGAGTTATATTTTGGATCCTTGATACATTTTTCTTCCCTCATTCCTCTCCTTGGATGATTTGATCTCAGTCCTGCAGATTTTTAATCTTTCCCAGCCGGTTTGTTGTCATTACTGCCAACAAGGAGGTTATGTTTTCATTGTGTTTGTCTGATTTAGCAAAAAGTACAGAACCAATTTTATTGAAACTTGGGGGAAGGGTGTCTTCACAGGGTGTCTTAACATTGTGAGATTAGGTGAGAATTTCTCAAGAAATAATTTACACAGATCTTGATGAAAATAAGAAAATTGGGCACTTTTAGGGGACTTATATCCATCAGTGAATGCAATTTGGTGCAATAACTGACTTTTTTACTTCAGTTGAGATATCTGAAAACATAAAACTGCATATTTAGATATTGAGGATATCTTTGTACTTGTCATTTCATATTTTAAGTCCGTACCGTTCTTCACTGCGAAGTCTTTCCTCTAACTCCTGAATTTTGTTTTCCAGCAGGCTGAGTCCAGCTGTGGGCCGAGTCTGTCCCTCCATGTCGGCCACACGAGACTTCAGCTCCTTCATCTAGAAGAGGAGCGGTGCAGTGACGTGAATAAACAACTCATTTTAAAAAACTCTACGTGTGTGTATTAAAACACGAATGATTAAACAGTACCTGTCTCTCAATTGCACTCTTGTCCATCTCCAGGTCATGTCTCGCTGAGCGCTCCTGCATCAGCTCAGAGCGAAGCTGATCCACCTGAGAGGAGAGTGAGGAGGTGGTGTAAATAAACCTGTGATCAGTTCTACCACTGCATAAAAACACCTTCTCCTCTTTATTTGCATGTACTTTCAGACATTTAGTTTTTTGTGGCACCTGATCTCTGCTCCGTGTGATACGGTCATTGAGAAGCTCCACGCTGCTCCTCTCCTCATCCAGCTCGATCTCCAGCGACTTTATTTTATCCTGTGAACACACGCAGGCAGATAAGAAGATTCATTCAGACAAAAACATATTTCTTTAAGCTTGAAATGCCTGTACCACATGTTCCCTTGATTCATGCATGACTCCCTCACTGTATCCCCAATTTACCACCACCCATCTTTGGAGTCCCCAGTTCATGACCTTTGACCTTGAAATCTCACCTCCAGGCCCCTGATCTCCCTGGTGCGATCTGTGTGGGTGCTCTTCTCTGACTCCAGTTCACCATCCAAGTGTTTGAGACGGTTACTGAGGAGGTCTCTCTCCAGCTGGGCGCTGTCTCTCTCCTCGCTGCACACCAGCAGCTCCTTCTTCAGACGGGAAACCTGGGAAAAAGGAGCAGCGATCATTATGTTTGAAACTTTTCAGGAAGTCCGACTCATTTTCATGCATTTTCTGCTTTTATAATTCCCCTAAACCTCAACTTGCAGTTAGTCTGACATGCTCTTTATATAGAACCCTGCTACATGCTCTTAGACTTAAGGTGAAATATATACTTCCTCATTTCTATGTAACTCTTAACTACCACAGGGCACTTTTTGTGGGCACTGGACAGATTTAATGTTTGTCCAGATGGTGGCGCTAAATCAGGAATAATCTCAGGCAATCATTACAGTTCAATTACAATTCATTCTGAGGAGAATATGAATGTATGTCATGTATATTATGTTAATAAATAAAAAAAATAGTTAAAAAAATAGTTTTTAGATACGTCGGTCACGGACCCACAGACCAACAAACCAACCATAAAGCTTGCACAAATAAAAAAAGCTGAAAGCATTTCAGAGGTTCTAGGTTCCTTCACGTCTCCTTCATGTTTCTGGCTTCCTTCATGTCCTCACCTCTTCCTGCTGGGCCTTCAGGTTGTTCTGGCTTCTCTGCAGCTCAGTCAGTCGGTCTTTGCAGTTGCGCTGCGCCTCCTGCAGGTCCTTCCTCGAGCGCTCCCTGTAGTCGTCAAGCTGTGTTTGCAGGGCTATCACGGACTGACGGGAATCTCCCATCATCATCTCCATCTGACGGAGCAGCAGTGGAGGAGGCACAGAGGAGAAACACGGTGATGAACATCTCTCCATACCATGTGACCAAACCCTGCTGTGCATCTGACACACACCTCTTTGTTGATCTTCTCCAGGGCTCGGTCCAGCAGCCTCTTCTGCTCCTCCAGTTCGCTCTTGCCCCTCCGCAGCGCCTCCCTCTCTAGGTCTCTCTCCTCCAGCCGCCGGGTCAGCTCGTCCCTCTCCTTGCTCAGGCGCGTGGCTCCTCGCTTGACCTCCTCCAACTGAGACTTCAGGGAACGGTTCTCGTCCTCCAGAGCTTCCACTGCCTCCTCTGTGTCTGAGCTCAGGGGCACACTGGAGTGAAGCCTTGTCTGTGTATAATGAGAAAACATCTATATTTAGCCTCCACAGCAGTGCATTGTTTTCAGGTGGTCCGTCTCTCGCACTCTTGGGAAGATCTCAAGAACGTCTTGATGGAATTTCTTCCCCTAATAAATACGACCATATGAGATATCAGGGGTCAAAGGTCAGAGTGACCTCATATGAATCAGGAGAAATAATGTACGTAGACTGAACCTGCACTGGCTGGTCAGTCCAGTTATTACTATCATGCTGTATTAAAAGGTGTTTCATGTGGACCATGTTAGGAAAGAGAATCATTTTAACACAGCAAACCCATTTGTATTTGTCCAGTATTTCATAATGATGATGAATAATAATGATTAAAGGCTTTCAGTCCATCCATCTTTAAAATACTACTAGAGCACCGCCTTTAAACTTGAGTATCTTGATTTCAAATTTTAGACCTACATTTTCCTCTGTATCCTCCAACATGTTCATTTGTTATTAGCGTTGCACATATTCTTATTGACTCCACTCGTCACATGCTGAAAAGTAATACGATTAAAGCTCGTACAAAAGCTATAAAACGATGATTTTCTAGCGCACATGGAGCACAATATACGTCCCATGCAAATTCACCTCGGAGGGATTATTCCCCGAGCTTGAGATTTCCTTTGGATCTAATTTACTTTACGTCTCCCAGTTGAAAATAGCGTCTGTGTGGGAGGCCATGTCTTTTGTACTTGTACAGTATGTGGGTTGATATAATTTTACGTTCATGTGTGTGTACAGCTGTTTACTGCACTGTCTTGAGGTTTTTTTGTACGGTACCATGCGTGCCAGCCGCTCTCTGAGGCGAGCGTTAGCTTCCTGCAGCTCCAGGTTGGCACCCTGGTCGACCACAGTCTTTCCAGCCGATGACTGAAGAGACAAGGGTCAAAGTAAGGACAGAAAAGAGGAAGGTGAAACAGAAACCTGATATGTGATGGAGAATTTACAGATTATACATGAAAGCACTTTTCCTCTCATTTCTGATATTCATACAACAACTCTTTACATTAGATCAATTTCAGTGAAGCAGGAGTTGTCTCATTCATTTTATCTTTGATCACATTCACTTATTCTCATTAGAATCTAGATGCCACACCTCCTTTGCCTTCTTGAGCGCCTTTTCCAGCTCGGCCTTGTCTTTCTGCGACTGCTCCTTCATCTTGCCGATTTCAGACAGAAGCCCGGCCTCTTTCTCGCCGCTCGCTTTCTCCAGGGCTTGAAGTGCTTTGCTCTTCTCGTCTAACTCGCCCTTTTGTTTGTCAAGATCGGCGCGAGTCCGCTTGAGATTGTCATGGCAACGCTGAAGCTCCTTGGGATAAGTAATCAGAGATGAATAATGCGTGTGTGAGCAAGAGGAATGTGCCAGGGTGCATAACAATGTGTTGATATGAGTATGGTGCATGTGAGTGTAACTTTCGATGTGTGCGAGTGAGAATGAAAATGAAAGAGAGATGATCTAAACTTCCAAAAGAAAACCCACGGCCGCTTCACTGCTCTGACAGATAAGAAATACAAAACTGAACACACTGTAAAACAGAAAAGACAAGTCCCTGCATTTCACCCACACAGAGAGCTTAATCTGTGTTCTGCCTCGTGGCCAATGTGAATTACCTCTGCTAAAGAGCGGTTATCAGCAGACCCAGGCCCTTGTTTCTTCATGGCGACAAGTGAATCCTGCACATCCTTAAGCTTGCTCTCAAATGCTTCCTTCTCCGAACGGGATTTTTGCAGGCTGTGGAAAGAAAGTCAGATTTTAAGGAACACGAAGTGGTGACAGTAACTCTGAGTACCACAGACGATAACACACACGCACACACAGACACACACACTGCACACAAGGATATGGGCACAAACACATGCCTAAGAGAAAACTGTAAAATCATGACTATATACAGAATCTGTCTGTTGTTGCAGGAGAAGCACTTATAAAGTAGGATTCCACCTTCAATTAAATACATCAATCAATCATTTATTCAAATCTCTAATAGGTAATTAATGTGATAAAAAACTAAATATTGATGGATGAATAGAGCTTCATTTACGTATACTCTGAATATTGATTGGTTTGACAGATTGTTATGATTGGGTTGATTATCACCACAGAACTGTTAGTAGGGATCCAAAGATCTAGTGATCAATACATGTCATCAGATATAAAATCCACTCAGATCATTGACATGAAATGAAACTAGACTGAATCTACTCGAAATCAAACACATGATTCTCTCTCTCACATTCCACTGCTGTCGGGCTTCCCGCTCCTGCCGAGTGAAAAGTACAGTGAAAGAGCACATGCATTAGAAATAACTTGAGAGGAATGTAATCTTATAGGAGCAAACCAAAAACAGTTCTTAGGATTCTTTGAACAAATCCTCCAGGGTAGAGAAATATCAAACACGACAAAGGGTGTCTGATGCTTGACCGAGGTAGGAATATGTTTCCGCTGCCGGTTCAAAGAAAGTCGTGAACTAAAGTTGTGTTTTAATGTGTATCTTTGTCCTAAAGTTTTGATATGGCTCCATAACAAGTTTGGTTGAGTATTTAATCATATACATAAGCTTCTACCCAACATATTTAACATGAAAATTGATTTATCCATATATTTGCAGTTTTTGAAAAGTGACTGCATGCTTTTGAGACTAAACTCAAATTGCAAAATATATTCATACATCTTATAGAGGCTTCTGATGTGAGTTACCATATATGCATAAAGAAAAAAGGAAATGGAGCCATATCAGCACAAAGTTTTAAAATCCCAATCCAGTAGCTTATTAAATCCCCTGAAACTCTTCCTCGTCCCTCAAATTTACATATTTAAAAAGGTTTTTGTCCCCTCATGAAAATGGATTTAATGAAATCCCGGCTTACAAATATCATCAATATTGGCATTTTTAATGTCCCCTGCCATTTATTTCTATGTGGTGCAACAAAGAAAATATGACTTATAGACACTGACTCTTCTCTGGTGTCTTGCAGCTCCTGTGTAGTGACCTCCAGCTGAGTCTTCCACTCCTCCCTCTCTTCTCTGCAGCACTCCAGCTCGTCCTCTAGGGTCAACATGGAGGCGTTCACCCTCTCCCTCTCCTCCTCTATCTGCTCCTGGGACTGACGCAACCACAAACATGCACACAGAAGTAAGTTAATTCATCCTTCTCGTTATCATGACGTTCTGTATGAAAGCAGAGATTCAACGGGAGCTCAAATCTATCACATTTTCTATTAATTGCGTTTCTTTTTCAAGCATGTTTGGCACAATAGATAGACACACCGATTTTTCAGCTTATTCCTTGATCAACACGTCTACAACTTCTAACGCCACAGAATTTCAGAAAGGATCTCGGTAGAGTCAACACAAACAGCGATCCAGCTACTTTAATCCTCCTCTCGCCAAATAAAATCACCTTATCAAAAGCAGCTGACAACCTGTCTGCTTATTTCCTACTCTCAGGCTGCGTGTTATTATTTTTTACACCTGACACTGCGGTTACCATCTCCCAGACCTGCATAATGATCTATTTCTGAATGTGCACGTATGCTTCACATTTCTTTTACACCGAGTCCTACAGCGCTCCAGAAATAGTCGACAGAAACTCCAGAATAGAAATGCAACTGGAAAATGTTTTACATCTCAATCACAAGCAGTAAAAGTTCTCTGCACACTGGGCTTAGTCTGACCTCATGTTACCTTGACTCAGTGTTTGAACGCCTCAAACTGACACATTGAACAGAATAATAAGACAAAGCCGGGGTGTATAATAGGCAGATGCAACATGAAAGCACAAGTATCGCCTGAGCAACACATGACTGTTCTGTGTATCTGTATAAAGAGCTCATCTGAGAAGAAAAAAAAGATGTACTGGCTGTTTCTATCCTCAGGCTGCATTAACACACTATGATGCAACAGAAATAAAAAAATATTTCAATGATAAGAAACTAGAAACGTTCACTGTGCATTGCCGCATTGCAGATTTACTATGGGAGGCAATGAGGGTAATAATCCTTACTATGTCAGGGTGCAAGTTTATGTTGAACCATAACACGAATATCAGAAGCTTAAAACAAAAAAGTGGATATTACTTGAATTGATTTCAACCAAGTCTGTAAACAAGTCTTGAAGTTAAAGAAAGGCATTACGAGGAGCTGTCCTGTTCCTTTAAAGTGCTCTTTTACAACATGTTCCTTTCTGCACCAGTGTATCCAGCTCCGTGTGTAAACAGCGCCGTGTTTGTTCTCTCTTCAGTTAATGGAATCACTTGCGTTACGTGTGTTGGTTCAGTGACATCAGAGTTACAGAACCGACATTTTTACCTTAAAGGACTCCTTTTATTTTTTTGAGTTTCATCTGGTCAAAATAACACAGTGAGACTGCAATTTTGTGTCAAAGTAACTCACTGCACAGGGATGTTAATTATGTAAAATAAATCTGCTCTTGTTTTTCTGGATTAATGAGATAGTCTGCCTGCAAATCTTAAGAGACTTTCATTTATACTTTGAGATTGTGGAAGGAAACATGTCCTGTCTGTGTAGTCTGATCCAGTTCCATTACCTCCACCAAGGAGGTTATGTTTTCGTCTGTCTGTTTTTTTAACTTAGCATTTTTCAACATTTAAGACTCTCAGAGATACTTGTGTCTTTACATAATATAAATTGCAATTTACCTCACAACTTGTTCAGATGGAGAGTACGAGGATTTGGAGCTATCTCACAGAGCAGACATTTTTTCCTCAAGTAAGTATGTGCACAATGCTTCAGTAGCTTAAGTGATAAATATTAAAAACTTTTAAGAATCAATATTCTTGTTGTCTAACATTGTTCCCCTGCTGGCTTATTTCAAAAAGTCCCTTCTGATTTGTTGACGCTGCACAGTGTCTATTCCCTTTTATCTGTTTTCAAAGTTTCATCATCTTTGCTGACAGGATTAGTCATCCATCTTAACTACTGACACTAATCAAGTCTTATTTTCTGCTCAGTGTTGTTGCATCACAGGAGATCTGATCAGAGAAGTCTCATTCTAAATGATGGGCTGCAACAAACTAAGTTTTGTGTGACTGATGTGATGCACAAAATGAATAAAAGAAAACTATTGCATCCACCTGTGTCACCTGCTCCATGGTTCTTCTTAGGTCCTCCATGTCCTGGCTGTACTGCTCCCTGAGAATCTCCATCTCTTTGTCATGACACTCCACCTCCTCCTTCAGCGCGCCCTTCAGCGCCGTCAGTTCCCGCTCCCTTTGATGTAGCGCTTCCTCCTGGCGCTGGCGTAACATGGCAGCCTCGGCCAGGTCGGCCTGCAGAGTCACCACATCCTATATAAAAAGAAATGTATGGATTAGTACGATAGATACAAGCGTGTGTGTATCTGTGAGTGTGAGTGTGTGTGTGCATGTGTGTGCATGTGCAGAATGTCAGTACCGTCTGTAATGAGTCTGAGTAAGGGGAGTTCTCTGAAACCCTCCTCAGATCCTCCTGAAGCTCAGCCAGCAGATCTTCCTGTAGACGCAGACGAGTCTCTGCACCCTCTCTGACCAGACGCTCCTCTGCCAGTCTGTGAACGCACACACACACACATTAGCAAGCCAATCAATCAGAAAATTATCATTTGACAAAAAGCCACAGGAGTTAAGTGCACACATGCAAAACCACAGACACACACACAGTCATCAAGATAATTTTCACTTCTTAACCTTAACCGCTGACCTAAAAAAGTTTTCCCCTAATAGACAATCTGTCCCCCCACTCAACTGGGTTTTAGTGTTTGTCCACAAAGGAAACCTATAACTGACACAGACAGACAGACAGACAGACAGACAGACAGAGACTTACTCATCATAGGCTTGCTGCAGTTCTTTCTTGCATTTATTGAGTTGCTCCTGAAGTTCCTCAAGATTTGCCTTTTGGGGTCGCCCATTATAACCTCCCTTCTGTACACACACACACACACACACACACACAGTGAAGAGGAGACATAGGACAATGAGCAAACACAAAGACTGGAAACACTGCAGCGTCACTGTCAGCCTTACATTATGCTCTCTGTATTACTTAAACATTAAAAGAAAAAAATCCTTCCTTCGATTTTTCTTGCCCTAGTTTCTGACAGTGAAAAAGTCTTTTGGATAACAGGCCCTGCCAGTGAGCTCAGACATCGTCAAAAAGGTTCGATCTCCGCACATAAACAACAGCCTCTGACAGGCTGCAGGGGAGCAGAGCTGGAGCGGCGGCTCGTTTGTCGCCCACACCACTCATCGAGACTTGCTCTCACTGAAAAGGAGGTATAAGCGCAGCCTGCCCATGAAACCTCTCTTATCCTCCTACACACCCATTACAGGGACGCACAGCAACAGAGACGAGAGACAAAGCGAGGATCACAGACAGCTTTGCTCCTTTGGGGGGGGACTTCACATTTCTCTAACTTATCAGCAATGGATTATGAAGATATACTGAGTACAGATTTGTTTCATTTTCCTCTCGTCCCCCGCAGGACGGTTCGTAGATAATCCCGTTCTGGGACGTTTCAGTTTCTCTATGTCCCAACAAAGAGATAATTAACACGAGATAACTGAGAATATGCATAAGCTCTTTAGAGCACTTGGAGTGAATTGCATCAGCTGTGTATTTACAACAAAAACAGACTCTCCTGTCATGCTAAATACATTGGAAATGTTTGAACACAATGTGATTACATATTGCAAATGAGATTCATTATACCATGGGTCTATATAATAGTTGTTTTGATCTTGACAAGCTCTGGTCTAGTGTTTATCAAGATGGGGGTCAGGCCCAAGTGAAGAGGTCATGACATAACAGAGGGGAAAATAAAGCAGAAAACTATTCCTTGTTCAATTTGTGAACAAAACAATTGTTTTATCGTGACCGAACCTACGCAGCATTGACCCAAAACAAGTAAAATAAAAGATTACATCAGTTATTAGTAGCAAATGTAACATTGGATGTTTCTAATTGGATGTTTCTCAAGGAAATGCACCTTAGGGGTCAAAGTTGACACATCCGCCAATTTTTTCGTAAACAGAAGTCGTCAGTGTTCACTCTCGACACAAACAACCTGAATAAATCTAACTGGATATGATCCTCAGTTAACCTGGGAAACAAACAGGCTGCGTTTACTCATCACTCTCCCACTGACTTACATTAACTTCATCAAATCAGTCAAAACACAACAGAAGCACTTAAGAGAGAGCGAAAGACATCAGTGGTACAGAAGGAGTGTGAACCGGCTGATTCACATAACGCTTTGAAATGCATGTAAACCTCTGGAATGACAGCTACAACCATGTTTCTACATTGGATTCATCACAAATGCCCCGAAACTGGATGAGCGCTTTAGTTTACAAGGACACACATCATCTAATCCTGCTCTCATCTTGTGCTTTTGGCTTTTACACAGAGATGAACAATGTTTAGCTTTAGGACCAGAGCTGAAAAAGAAATAGCTCCAGGCAAAAAAGCAGTTTCAACCCCTTCATCCTGCCCTCAGATGCTCAGTTGAGAAAACAGCTCCAGTGAAATGCACAACATGGCTGAAAAGCAAGGAGCAACAAGGAGCAACAAGGAGCAACAAGGACCCCTCTGAGGAGGATCTGTCCCATCCGGTAAGCCAACCCTCAGCTGGTGCAGGGTTCCAGTCCAACTCAATTATTAATGGATCTCAATGACTGCGCTCTCAACACACGCTGAGCCCTCAACAGCTTTCCTCTGCAGGTGCATCGTTGCCAAGAGACAAGGAGGGCAAATAATTAATAAGCAGCCGTGGTCACAAACCCGCTAAGAAGTACATAACAAGGGATCATACATAATCAAGTGCACGTAATATGAGAAGGTGAGGACATAAAGGGATTACTTCTGCATGTAGATTTATGCAAAAGGTTGCAAATTTAAAGTAAGAAGTGTGTGCATCCTCATAAAGACCCTGACACAGTCTATTTTAATAAGGTGTCAGAGGAGCACAAAGGAGCAGAGACGATGCTGTAAATTGACGGAGGAATACTCAGCATGGCCCTTAATTTTTCTTTTTTTTGGCCTGCCAAAAGAGGATCCTCTGGGTCAAAGTTGAATAAAACAGAAACTTCATATCCTCAGAACAAAGCGGCGGCTGCCAACCATCTGTTAGCTTCATCACAAGAGCTGCTCGGCTGAGGAGAAGACCACACCTCCTTTGATGTGCTGAAGCTACATAAGACAAAAGCTCAGTCCAACACATGCACTTATAATTATATGATGTTTTATAAAATGATAATGTTTTTTATTGTCATCTGTGTTTTTTAGTGAGATTTGAAGGGGCTGAGAGGTGGATTTCATATCAGCTTTAGACAGAGCTGGCCAGTCGACTTTTGAGTTGACATATCAACGTTGAGCCTCCATATTTTCACAGGTTCATTTAAGTTTGTATCAGAAACACACAACATACAAGGGTTTACAACATTCAAGCGAAACATGAATGAGCTTTAATGACTTGTCGTACCTTAAAACTGCCATTTGTCTCATGGTCCATGTTGAACTTTCTTTGGAGAGATCCCTCACTCTCGCTGTTGTTGGGGAGAAGACAGAGGATTAGATTGGAAAACCCCCATGTTTGTAAACACAGCAACATGGACCCTACATCCATTCAGTCAATCTTGTTTGTATTTACCTTTCTTTAAGGTTGTAAAAAATAGACCGCTTGACCGGTGCTTCTTCCACACTAATGACCTCTGTGCTTTTACTCCTCAGAGGAATCTCCTTCGAATAGAAAGCAAACAAAGTGAAACATGAAACAAGGAGACAATGTAATACCTGAAAATAACTTCTAATCCCTCCCATCGGTGGTACTTACAGGCTTTTTAGCTATAGATGGATGGTAGTTCTTAACAACAAACTTCCCTGGTGACTTGAAGTCTGGCTTTGGAGCCTCGAGTGCCGACACCTTGGTGACCAATGCAGGGCTTCTTCCCAGGCTGCTGCCCGCTTGGGAGTATGACATCAGTGAATTGGAGGAGGTAGACGGAGGAGCAGCGTAGGGATTCAGAGTCGGAGAGATGGAAGAGGAATAGGGATTCAGAGTTGGAGAGATGGGAGATGTCGGAGAGGGCAGGGAAACCTCCTCTTTTCTAGCATCAAGGCTTCTGGACCGCCTGCGCTCGTCAAACTTCAGCCGCTGCCTTGCTCCGGAGCGGCCTCGGGTCTGCGGGGCGCTGCCTGGTGTCCCACTGTTAAACTTACTGATGAGCTTGTTGATAGGAGCCAGGGAGTCGGTGTTGATGGCCGGGAGAGGCTCCTCTTTGGCTGACACTGGTGCTGCTGGGGGCAACTTTGAAGGGGAATCTGTGCTCTGCTTTTTCCCACTGTACCTCCCCAAAGAGCCAGTAAAACCAGAATTAGTTGGCTTGTACCCTCTGGGTCCCACGCCATTTAATTTGACAGGTTTCAGCCCTGCTTCATTATACTCCTCCGTCGTTGTCCGATCTCTGTTGTTCTCTACGTCACTCGCTGTTGCTTTGTGTTGGGCTTCAACTTTCTGCTTTTCGACCCGTCCTTCTCTTCCAGCTCCACCTTCTTCCTCCCCTTGTGTTCCTGCTTGACCATCCCCTGGAGGTCGCTTGAGAGGACTCCCAAAAATCTCCCCATCCTCGTCCTCCGCTGGAGAAACAGGGGAGCGAGTTGTGTTTGCAGCAGGGACGTAGGGGTTTGTGAATTCTGCTGGTTCTTTATTAGCTTTGGGGAGGCTGTTGTAAGGTGACGGCGACCCAGAGCTGGAGGTGGGAGTGTTTAGCTGAACTCCATAAGAGTCACCTTTATCACCATCTTTCAGGACCACATAGGGCTGACCAGAGATTCCCTGCACCCGCACTGCCACCCCATACTTATTGGTATTAGGAGTTGCACCATTGGTCCCTCTGGATTTGTCAGGATAACCCCCGCCTGTGTCATCGAGGTCCTTGATGAAGCGGATCTGAACGCCGTAATCCACGAGCGGCTTCCTGTCAGTGGAGAGAGTGCTCATGTTCACCTCCTGGTGTCTGTGGAAGCTGCCTGGTCAGGGGAGACATGAGAACAGCAGAAATGCAAATCAGGTTACGTAAGCAACAAGAATACAGAAATCTTAGGGGCTGAGATTTGAGGAACCTATAAAGAGAAGATCTGCACAGACAGACAGGCAGATCCAGGAATTCTTTTTCCTTTTCCTTGACATGATGAGGTGTTCATCAGTAAAGGTATGAACTCCCTGAGAGCCCTTCTAGTTCAAATATAGTTTTCAAGATACAGTCCTAAAGAGGATTTGCACCAACTCTTTGTTTCAGGCACTGCACTCATAAGTCCTCTGTGTCATATTTGCTATTTCCAAGTTATACAAAAGGTAATTGCACCCAAACTCATCTGCCACCTTTTGACCCATGTCCTGACTTCTTCATAACCTTTTCTTTGTCTCTTGTGTAAATTCCCTTCTTCCTCTTCCCAGGTGGAGTCAGTCTGACCCAGTTGAAACATCAGACCGCTGGTATATCTTGATGAAGCTGTCATTTTCTCTTGCTGATCCACAGGTTAAAATTCCTTCTCAGCCATAATGCACTGTATTCATGTCATGCCAAATAAGACACTGGGGCATTTTCAATCTCTTCTAACAGGTTGAGGCCGACTTTTTTTCCCAGGGTGTGTTCAGAAAGGAGGGAAAACAATAAAATACCAAAATGATTAACGTGTTGTTTTTGATTTACAAAAGCAAGCTGGTGCCACTTTATGTTTCCACTTTATCAGACTCATTCACTGGGTCTTTGGTATGTTTATGTATTTGAACAGCTGGAACGGACACAGGCATCTAAATGTCCTTCTGACTGATACTGGGAGCACAGAGGAACAAAGACTTACTGTACACTGTTGGAGTGTTTGTGTGACCTAGGTAGATGTTTGCCCTACCAGTGGCCACAGTAGCAAATGAACACCCGATACTGACAGTTTTTGTTGTATTTGATAGAAAATATAACTTTTGATTCCTTTGATTTTAAACATGAAGGTCAGATTAGTCGTCATGACAACAATATCCTCTCTCAATGAGCTTCTACAGTCTTTAACAAATAACCCGGAAGATTTCACCAGGGTTATCTCAGCTTGGGCTTGGTAGATAATTATGAAAGAGAGTTTGCATGACAAACTCGGAGCATGGAATTTAAAAGACAGGGAGCGTCAAACAAAAAGTTTCTTTTGTGACCAAGTGTTTGTCATTCTCTGCTCATAAAGACGAAGAAGTCAGTCGTGAAACTTAGCAGAACAAACAATTTATGTTGATGCAATTTCTTTGGCCATATCGTCCAACTTTACAGGAAAGTGTAATATTACATTTCTGGAGAACCTTTTTAAGTGACACTGACTCTGCTTGTGTTTTAATAATGACTGAAATGAACATTTTCATTATGGATTAACCTTCATTACTCCCTTAAGCTTTAGTCCACAATGACATGTTAAAATTCTTTGTTTTATCCAACCATCTGTCCAAAGCTGTTGTCTTATATTATACATGACGAAGAAACACCAACAAATCCTTGTAGGTTTTAAATTTTTTGCCCAAAAAGAAAAATCACCTGTTCAATGAATTGATGTTTAAAATATTTACAGATTAGTTTCGGAGTTTAGAGACTCATCTTACACGGCTACAATGAGAGTCGCATGAGCGTGTCCACCTTCTGCTCTGAAAATGAGTTTGGTGATGAGCACTTTGAGGAGGTGAATACTCCTCCTTTTGTCCCGGCTCTGTGGAGCATTAAACACCAGGGACTACATCAGGAATGGGCCTCCCCTCGTTCTCCCTGCCGCTGCCTCTGCCAGAGTCTCCCCAGTCACCAGACTTCAGAGAAGAGTCACTCAGGCGTAGACTGTTTACTTTGAGCAGCGCGGGCACACAGGAGCTCAAGCACATGCACGAACACACATCTACTATATGCAAGGGTGTGCACAGACATGTGGACAAAACCTGCTGTGCATTCGCCACCTGTAATTGATCTTATCTTATGTTATGTGTATTTTCATCACATGCTTTCATCTATAAATTCAAACTGTTGTTTTTCAGCCTCACACTGCGACCCCTGTCTACTTCCTGACGTCCAGCATTTGCAGATGTGCTTCCCACAATACTTAAAATGCAACCAACTCTATTTGACCGCTGGTTATAGAGTAACACGCTGCACCTCGACTAGCAATGAGGTTAGATTAGTGAATCAAAGTCAGCCTTTGTCTTTCCCCCCCAAAAAAACATTCTTAGGATTCCAGTCGTTCCCTTTACACTTGGCATTGCGCGTGGTTTGCATTTGTATAATAAGGACAGATTAAGAAGAAACTGAGAACTGGGGCAGCATCAACTGTAAAGCCTACACGTTGGGAAACTGTCCACATAGGCAGTAAATAAAAAGTGAAGAGACTAATTAAAGGATGACAAACTGACTAGAGACTAAAAATACAGCGCAAAACTAATTAATTCTCCTGTCCTGACATAACCACAAGCAGGTTTGCAGACAGTGTTGGACATATTAGTAATCTGAAGGTTAGAAATATGGCCTGTGTCTGTTTCGTGTTTTTTTTTTTGCTGTTATCAAGATGCTCAGGCCTCAGCTGCCGGTCACTGGTCACACTGAATGCCCACAGGTGTAAATATGCTCCTTGGGTAAACAGAGATTTCAACAAGAGCTCAGTTGTTGTTGTGCACGTTCAGCAGCCAGCAGCCGAGCGCCGGTCTGTGTCAACTCTCCCTGTCTCACTCTCTGTCACAAGTAAAGGCTGTGTCAACAGAGACAGGAATGTCACCCAACGGGCCGATCAGCCGTCACGCTTCCCTTTCTCCTCGCCCATCATTCGCTTCTTATTTTCCTCTGGTCCTGTTCTTCCAGCTTCCTCTGCTTCCAACTGCATACAGTATGTGATGTTCAACTTTCTGCTATAGTTTCTCTCACCCCGGGGGCATCTGAAGAAAATGGGTTATTTGACCCTGTAGGGGCTGCGTCAGTTGGCTGGAATCAATTATTATGATATATATAATAAGAATATTTCAACTAAAACTGAGTCAAATAAAAGATAAACAGAAGTAATATGCATCAAGTTTTATTATTTAAACAGATTCTCTGTTTGTAGCATTTCTTTCTTTTCTATTTGTTATTTTATTTAAACATTTTCAAATCATTGGTTTTTAGACATTTAGTTAGACAAAATTTAAAGAATTAAAGTATCACCTGCAAAATTGTGATGAGCATATTTCAACATTTTCTGACATTTTACTCGATAATCCAAGAAAATTACACCAGCACTAATAAATTAAAGTCCTAAAGACCTTTTAGGAATATTTGAATAAGGATGTGAACATATTTACACAAAATTACATAACATAGTTAAAAGACCAGTGTGTAGGATTTATGTGAAAGGGATCTATTGGCAGAAATCTTAAGCAGAATAATCCTCATGTACAGACTGTACCTTTAAATTTAGGTTAAACGTTTCACATGTGAGAAACAAAATGTTGTAGTTTTGTAAAATTGTCTGTGTATATTGCTTGGAATAAATCATTGACATGAAATAATTTCTGTAAAACAAAAGGACGATCCACCTTTCAACTACAGTAAATGTCTATAAAAGATAATACATACTAATGTCAGTATAATGAGTTTATTTTGGATGAGAATAATTAATTTTGTACTAAACAGCAGGGTCACACTGAGCAAACTACTACAGCATTGGAGTATTGTTGGGTGTGTTGTTGAGATGGGGGCAGGGTCTCTGGGGTGAAACAGCCCAACCATGTTGACATGTTGACCCAAACACACACAAGTGTTTCCATAAAAAACATTTAAACTCAGGATTAGAAGTGGATGAAGTTATCTAAATGGACCTTTAAAGAGGAAATAAGGAAGCACCGGCACCGTCACCGGCTGTCACTTGCAAACTATAATGTTGGATATGAGAGATCATCACGAAGCAGAGGTGTTTCCTTGTCAGGTATCAGAGTATTTACACATTTACTCATGAATTAATGTCGCAATGGAATCCACCTCAACATAGATAAAGACACAGAAACCATTAGAGCAGCAGAGTCACCTCTAAGCACCTGTCTTCTCCTGGATGGTTGCGTCACACCCACCTATCCGGTCAGTGAGTATCGGTGCGCGTCGAAACCAAACCACCGGGTTGTTTACACGAGCTCCCGCGTGGGAATAAACAAACAAACCAACAAACACCTGCCTCCCTACGAGACGACGCGCAGCCTTCACCTGCTGGAACAACAACCTCTCATATCCTCTTTACGCAGCGCGCTCGCATCCAATTATAGGCAAGCGCGCACGGAGCCGCTTCCAGGGGGAGATTTCCAGCTCTGGGTCTCCATTATCGCGACCAGGAAAAGCCGTGCGCGAGGAGACGGCTGCCAGAATCCAATCACAAAGCCACAGGTGTCCGTCTATGTTTATCCAAACATCACGCAACGCTCACCAAGCGCAGCAGGCACTCAAGACATCCGCCACTTTCCCTGCACTCGTGCGCAAAACCCAACAAAAGTGCAGGGACACTTCAGAGGCAGCAGCTGCGTAAACACACTCAGAGTGGGATAGTTGTTCTACCGTACCTGCAGATAATCCAAATCCAGGAATATCCCTCCCTGCTCGGTCAGAGGTTTAGTGTGAGTCCTCGCAGCAGCAGCAGCGGGAGGATGATCGGGATCCCTGCTCAGTCTGGATGAGATGATTGTTCCTCCACAAACTGAGGACATGGGGCAGATTCACCCCCGCGACCAGAGCAACCTGTTGCCAGCGCATCAGAGTCCTGGTCCCGCCTCAGGACCGTGTGGATTGGTGGGAGGTTCCCCGAGGAGGCGGTGCCTGCTGCGGGCTAACACACACACTGCATGCAAAGCGAGTGTGTGTGACCCACTTCCTCAGCTGTGTTATGGTTATAATTTGTCGATCGATCAGAAAATGTTTGCATGGCAGAATGGGGCTATGATCACATCCAGTGCTGTGGCGAAGATAATTAACTATTGACAGGAGAAGAGGCAATTCCAGTCTGTTAAGTACACTATTGTTTATATTGATATTGGAACTAATAGGGAATAAACTTATCTAGCATTAAAAGTCTATTTTTTGACCTGATCATTGTCTTTTTAACATCTGGCCTTAACCCAGATATAACACAGACCCCTTAATGAATCATTGAAGTTTCTGTTTTTAGACAGATTCTGGTTTGGGAGTGACTACAAGCGAAAAAGAGAACAGATCTTTGAATTGTATTTTCAGTGGCCACAGTTCCTGGATTCCAGAGAGATTTCCTTGAGAGTAAATAATTATCATTAATTCATTACTGAAAGTTTTCTGGAAATTCTCTTGGTTATATCAGAGAGCTTCATTGGAATTTGAACCCTTGAAAGGTTGATTTTACCCACAGTTACAGCCTAATTATTTTTTGTAAACGTCTTAATAATTTATTAGGACATAAAAAATTTACAGACCCACAACATAAACTTTAACCTTATTTTTTCAGAATGTTCTTGATTCAAATATCAGCATAGATAACTGCTCCTAAACAACCAATTATTTTCATGACTCTGAGAGTAAAACTTTGAAGTAAATCACTGATGGTTTAAAGTTAAATTACCTAGAAAAAAAAACCAAGTTAGAGTTAAAACTGTAACTGGGCATTATGACAAAGAAATTACATTATGATGTTTTAATTAGATTTCCAACCCTCATTTTAATACAATGTTTAGCAATAAAAAACAGACAGACGAGTACAAAAAATCTCTTTACTTCAGAGTTCAGTACCTTTCCCTTTCCCACCTGGTGTGGGACTCAGTGGTTCCTCCAAGTTTCACCAGGAGGCGCCACAACAGAGCAAAAGCACAGCACAAATACCAGTACAAAATTAAAAGGGAACAGCTGAGAGAGCAAGAAAAAGGCAATTGAATGAAGTAAATGAAAGGAAACAAAGAAAGAAGAATAGTTATAAACACCTTATACTGTGACAGAAGTGTGAAAATGGGTATTTTTCGCTCATTAGTTATTTGGTCTACTTCAAGGCCTCTCGCTGCACAGAGGCCAGAATATAAACATAAACAGGTCAGACACTTACTGCATTGGTTCACATGCACCCCCCGCCCCCTTTTTTTCTATTTTTTTTGTTAAAAAGAAATATGAACATTTGATATGACATGATGTCACTACTTGCTATGCCAACACCATCCAAAAGCACTGATGTCACAATTCATGTGTACTGCAGAGATAAAAACAAACTGTTGACTCTAACGTACTGTATAAAAAACCAAAACGCCATATTGTTTACAACCAAGACACATAGGTTCAACTCATTATTTTTGTTCATTGGTCGACTCTGTGGCATGTTCACAACGGATGGGGGAGTTCCAGACAAATGTTTCGTCCTAATATTTACAACTACATGGACTAAGCCTTCGATGTGAAGTGTGGGTGTAATCTCGGCCTGGGTCTCCTTTGGATTTATCAGCACAGGGTACAAAATGAGTACAGGGTCAAAGTATGTGTGTGCATGTATGTAGGAATTATCAAAAGAACTTAGTAATAGATCCTCCCCCCCACTTGACATTTATATTTCACAATACTCATGATACTGTTTACACGGAAATATACTGATGTGTTATTCTGTTTTCTTGTACTTGCTTCCAGGAAAAAAAGTTGTGATGTCCTACAATAAAAGCTGTGATTCAATCAATGAATGAAAGAAACTCAAGTCCCTTTTAGAGTTTTATGGACTCGTCATTATTAAACTTTTTCATTTGTAAAGAATCTATAAATGATGTGTTTTAATTCAAAGCCAAAAATAATCAAAGAATACTGTTGGTACTTTGGGTCAAAACACAGTCTGGCCATTATCCAACAATTAGCTCCCTGTCTAGCGTGGGATCGTGTGTGTGTTTGTTTGAAATACCATCACACTCTTGTGGTGCGAGTGTGCCAAGTCAATCCCAGTCAGTCAGTGCGGGAGCTTCCGTGCCAGTCAGTTACAAAGTGTGTGAGGTAGTGTGTTGGTGTCAGTGCTTTGCTGGTTGGCAGGCTAGATGTCTGGAGGACTGTGTAATTTTAACATTCATCATGATTTGACTCCTGTGGGGTGGGGAGAAGAAAAATCGTTTGCCTAGAGTCACTCAAAGTGCTATTTATAAGCATGGATGTCAATGAGTGTGTTCCTCTGTGTAGTGAACAAGTAAAGGGCTAGTCAAGAGAAAACTGGGCAAGAAGCTGACATGACACACACGTCATTCAGTGAGATCAGAACAAAGATGTCTCTATGTGTCCTTACGTGTCGCACCTCCACGCTGCTCTTTTGTCACCCACTCCTCAACTCTCATTAGCTGCCACCAGCTGGCCTAATCCCTGGCGCACAAACACAGCCTGGATGTCCTTGGTCTTGATGCAGAAGTCACAGGCCCAAACAGCAGAGCTCTCTCGAGTCAGCAGCCCGTACGCTGGCTCTGTCAGGCCTGTACAGTCACGGTGGAACCAGCGTTGGCACGAGGCCTCGCACAGGATGGCGTCCTGGTCGTCGTGGACCTCCGCCATACAGAGGCCGCAAGGAAAGACCATACCGGGGCCACCGAGTTTTCCGGGGCCAGAACCGGGCCCGGTCGAAGGGGCAGCAGGGCCAGGGGGCAGGGGAGACTGGGTGTTGGGAGTTGAGGTGGAGTTAGAAGGGGGGTTGGGGTTGCTGCCAGGAGTGTTGCCTCCATTGTTATTGGTCATGCTGTTCTGACCTGAATTTGAGGCTGCATTTGGCATCGGACCACCAGAACCTGGGGTGTTGTTCTGCTGGTTGTAAGGTGTGGAGCCAGGGGCAGAGTTAGGTGGAGTGGATTGTTGCTGCTGCTGGGTAGAGTTATTAGAGTTTGGTGTGTTTGAATTGCTGGGGGGCTGTAGCTGAGAGGGAGGTGGATGCTGGGGCTGCCCTGATCCATTCAGGGGTCCAGTGGGAGAAGAGTTAGGGTTAGGCTGTGGCTGCGCTGAGGGAGGCTGACCAGGTGTATTGGCATTGGGCTGCTGAACGTCAGGGTGACCAGGGAAGCCGCCCCCAGGCTGTGGTGGGCCAGAGTTAGGAGGAGGGCCAGGGGTGGCGTTATTAGGAGGGGGGCCATTAGGATTTAGGTTAAGTTGTTGCTGCTGCTGCTGCTGCTGTTGTTGTTGTTGTTGTTGCTGCTGCTGCTGCTGCTGCTGCTGAGGTCCAGGCGGTGCACCTCCTCCACCAAAGTTCTTTCCATCCTCGTTGCCTGGCCCTGGCGGACTGGGGCCTGGATAGGGACCATCCTGTGAGGTAGGGAACTGTCCTTGAGGGGGCATACCTGGTAACCCTCCTACCATGTTTCCTCCAGGGCCACCTCCCATGCCACCCATCATATTCATCCCAGGACCCATGCCTCCTCCCATGGAAGGCAGGGGGCCATGGGGGGGGCCTCTGGGGCCTCCACCGCCAGGTAGTGGTGGACTGTTGAATGGATGTCCACCCTGTCCATGCTGCTGCTGTGGAGGCATGCCAAACCGAGGATGGGGTGGCCCCCCTCCTCCGGGACCTCCCATACCCCCTGGCGACAACATGGGATTGAATCCTGGCCCAGGGTGCATGGGTGGACTGAAGTTTGGTGGCATATTGAACTGAGAGGGGCCACCAGGGGGGAATCCTCCACCACCTCCTCCTCCCCCTGCACCCCCTCCTCCACCACCTCCGAAGCCAGGCATTCCTCCAAAACCTAGCTGGTGGTGAGGCCCAGCATTAGGTGAAGGGCCAAATGGTGGCCTCCGCCCAGGCTGACCGCCACCAGGTCCTCCTGGGCCTCCCATGAAGCCCATGCCTCCTCCCATCCTGCCTCCACCACCATACCCACCTCCTCCACTTGCACCTGGGCTTGGAAGAAAGGGAGCACCACCTGGTCCACCTGCCCCACTCGGTCGGGAGGGGGGCCCAAAGTCATCGTCAAAGGGGTTGGAGGCGACCAGGTGGTCCACCATGGGGGTAGGAGGAGGTGCAAACTCAGTGAGGTGGGAGAACCCCGCAGCCTAAAACAAAGGAAAAAGAGTTGAACAACTGCTTTTGTTTTTATCGTTTTAATCAAACTAGATAACATACTCTCTCTTTGAATCAGTCTGAAAGGCCCTTTCTGTGTTTCCACCATGAAGCAAAGTATCAGATTTCCTCAAACCACTTAAATTTCGGCAGCTGTGACTCAGGGAATCGAAGGTTGGTGGTTCCCTGACGTCAGTACCAGCAGTGTGTGAATAACGTGTGATAGAAAAGTTGTTTTGTACAGCAGTGACTGTATGAATGCATGTGAGTGTGTGGCCATGACCAGAAGAGCGCTACAAAAAAAAAAACTGTCCATTCAATTATCACCTGAGCGGTTGATTTCCTCGCCTTCTTCTTCTCCGGGCTCTTCATCTGAGAAGCTGAAAGATTAAAACAAGGAGGAGAGGGGGAAATATAATATTAGCCGCAACAAAATCTGGGCTCCATTTTCTCATGCCTTTGGTCACCACCAATCGAGTGCAGCATCACATTTGGTTTGGCCAATACCCCTGAGTGACAGAGTGGAGCAGCTTTAGACCTAGGGCCTCTTTTCAAGTCCAACAGTTGAGATGGATTCAATGATGGGACAAAGACTGGCATGAGGACAAGATGCTTGAACATCCAGGCGTTATCATCACCCCAAGGTTATTATGAAGCCTTGAATCGCAAAATGACCCAGGCGGACCAAATGACCCAGGCGAGGGGGAGAGAGGCCGCAAACAGAGGCAGAAAAGGTAAGGTCAATGAGGGAGACAGGGAAAAAAGAGACGAAGACATGAGAACGAGGAAACGTAGCTGGGGGTACATTGACAGCAAGATAGACATCGACCCCATTCACAGGTCCATTCTGTGAGAAACAGCCACCACCGGAGACAGTCGTGAAGTTTACATGTGGGGGGAGGCGAGAAGGGGTTTTGCTAACAGCACCAGTGCAGCCCATTGCAGCGCAGTAATGGATGATTCCGATCTGATTGGGGGAGATGGGTGAAGTTAATTCCTACCTTTGCTCCGTTTTCCTTGTCCCGCCTGTAGTCTCCCCGATTCGGCAGCCATTAGCTAATATGACTGTCGGTGAAGTGGCATGTCACCGTTCATATGCAAGAAAAAAAAAGTTAAAAATGACGACGTCTGGAAAGGCTTATGTGCCGAGGAGGTGGAATGCGCCTTCAGGTCATGACAATAACGAGAAAATGGTTGTCATCACAGCAGAAACGGCTTTTTGGTTGGTTGGTTGTTAGATTTATGTTTTAACAACGTCGGCCCAGGTCTGCAAACTCCTTTCCAGCTGCAAATGTTCCGCCACGGTGTCTGTCACGCCGGGATTTGGTCACCAAATCAGCGTCAGGTAACCCTGAGCTGGATCACGCTATTTAGCACAAGTTCGTTTGGTTGCTGGTTTTTATTTTGTTAGCTAGCTGAGTGGAAGTGGTTGCTCGCTACCTGGCTCGTGTGCCGGTGCAAGCAATGTTACAAGGCACCCCCCCCCTCTCTCTAAAAAAAATGATCACTTACAGATGTGTGGCTAAGAAGCAGCTAGCTAACGCAAGCTAGTGACTGCCTTGGCTAACTAGCTAGCCACGTTACTCAATGTGGCTAGCTAGCAGCGCAGAGTGACCGCAACAACTGGCACATCGATGCGAAACTGCGATTTCATGTCCACAAATCGACCATGTGCCCTTCGATACACTCATCACAGCAGGTATGAGGCAAAGCAGTCGACCACGTCTCCGAGAGCTGTGGTCCACTATGCTAGCATTAGCTTGCTAGCTAACGTTAGCATGCCACTGAAGATAGCTAGCCATCTTGCAGGCTGTCTGGGAAGCAAACTGTACCCTTTCTCCGTTGCTTGCTCTGCTGTCCCGTTAAACTGAAACTCTCTGGTGCGTCATTGCCAGACAAACCGGTCCTCACACGGCGTATGCTTGATGATCCACCATTCGGCTATAATTCATTCAAAAACGCAAATTTTGCCATAATTATCGTGGCCTTCTGTCGCCACCGGACAAAGAGGGACAAACAGGAGTATCGCGCACCACGGAGCGTCTCATTCCGCCCGAAAACCGGGGGTGCGGAGAGGTGTAATCCACGACCGTAAAAAGATTTTCAGATCATTTACAGAACTACCGACATACTGTGTGATTCATAGAGTGTTCAATTAATATATTTGACCGTCTGATTGCCTCTTAATTGTTCATAGTGTTCGAGTTTTAACTTTTAGAATTAGTGTCATACCTCTCGCTGGTGCATATGGAGCAGCTCAGAACGGACCATTTCCTTACTATACTATACAGAATGAAATCAGAGGTGGAGATTAATTACACAGCCAATTAAACACACCATCAAGTGACATTATGATTAATATACAATCAGTGCTCCACGTCACACTATCAGCATAGTTGTCAACTTTGGTTCAAGTTTCTTTATCGAAAGATAATGCATGAATGGAGGTTGGCTGCTGTGTGATATTAATGCCTCAGAGCAGAATCAATACTAACAGTAATTTGATTTATATTAGAATGCGTGTATCCTGATATATGTTATAATGTTGATTGGTATAGGCCTAATTATGATTAATTAGTTTCATCAGTTATAGAAAGAGGCCTTGAAATAATACAGATATTACAGAAGTTTACTTTGTTTGTTACTGTAGAGTAATATGGTACATTTACTTAAGCGTTGCTCTCAAGTACTATTTTGAGGTACTTATTTTTACTTCAGTATGGTTATATCAAGTAGATTACATCACATTTCAGAAAAAATGGAACAACATAAAAACACTAATCTGGTTGTTATGGTTACTATTTTCTTCCCAGATTAAGACTGTACCCAGGAAACCCATACAGTCGTAATAATAATTATTATTATATACTTTATTTATACAGGACTTTTCCAAACAATGTTAGTGGTTAGGGCAGGATTAAAACATTTCATATAACAACAACAACAACAATATTAACACACTTTATTTACACATAAAGTGCTTTGACATGCCAAGAACAGATTTAAAACATTTCAGGACAAAGATCAATAAGATCAGGGAATAAACAAAGACAGGAATAAAATATTTTAAATACATGTATTTAACAATAAAATAAAATAAAACAATGATTTTATACTAGGAAAAAAACGATGTAAATCAATAATGATTTAAAAGCTGTCACTGACTCTGCAAACCTACACCGTGGCATCTAGAATTAAATACACCGCCCACCCAGCTCTGCCTCCCCCATCCTCTCAACTTCACACACCCCCTCCCCTCTCCTCACTCCAGCCTCAGTCACAGGCTCGTTGAGATGGTGGACGGTCACAGATCTGCCTCTCTGGGAATGGGACCACACGTCAGAAGTAGGACAAACTTTACCTTCTTTCTCTCTCATCCCATTCTGAAGACTCCTCTCCATCCAGAGGGAATGCACCTTTTCTCTGGAGCAGGTGTTAGACAACCACAAATGGGCTAAAGTTTTATTTTTCCTCCCTTTGCCAAACAGGCATGAAGGCTGTGAGTGTTGGGTGTTTGAGCAGAGAGCGATGGGCTTTTAAGAGCATGTATGATATTCTTTAAAGTGAGGTGTGGAGCTCCTGTCCTAGAATAAAGCAGCGGAAGTCTTTTGTGGGAAAGGGCTGTGATTTGTAAAGGTGCGTCTCTGGGGCCCTGTATGGAGCTGAAAGGTGTCGGAGCAGGCACAGAGAGGTTTCACTGGTTTCCGTCTGAGCTGCAATGGCAAAGTGGTTCAAGGAGTTTCCCATCAACCTGAAAAATGGTGCCGACAGAATCCGCTCAGCCTCAGAGTCACAACCAAGAGCCGGTAAGAGCCTGGTCGCCGGCATAGGCACCAAAACCTCAGGCTCCAAAACGGGCCATCGCAAGAACTCCTCCTCTGACAGCACCGGCGGAGGAGTTGGGTCTCTCCTGACCGGGAGGAACCGGAAAAACTCGGCTGTGGAGCTGGGTAAGACCGGTGGGAGCTCCCCGAGTAAAGATGGGAAAGTGTGGGACAACCTGCTGTCCGGGAAGATCCGGAAGAACTCTAGATCGGAGCCTGTGTTCGAGGAGCAGCCCCGGGGCCTGAAGAGCTCCACGTCCGCCAATGGCTCCTACATCAACCGGCTGATCAGACTGGACAAACAGGACAAGAGCCCCAACTTCAACAGCGGTACCATCAGCAACACAGTGGGGACTGAAGCAGAGAAACCAGCCCAGAGCAAAGCAGAAACAGTGAGTAACCATCTGCCTCCAAAACATGTCAATACACCATAATATCCTGTAATATCCAGGATAATATCCTCATCTGTGTTGTTTGTCCTGTTCATAGCCTGTTTTTCTTCAAAATTATCTCGGTTTTGCTTTGATACATGAGTTCAAATATCAAATTTCAAGATCTTACAGGGGTTTATTTAGTCTGTCAGTAAGTAAAGATACTGTATTTCTATTCAGAAACATTGTTTTTTTTCCTTCTAACTTTTAAATATCCCAGAACTACTAACCAATACATTTACTCTATTATTGCACTCCAGTAACTTTCAGGTACTTCTGACACTTTAGTATTAATATTTCCAGTTTATGCTCCTTTGAATTGCCATTGTATCACATTTTATAGGAAATGAAACAAGATAAATACTCCTCTGGTTGCTATGGTTACTATTTGCCTCTTAGATTAAGATTTTATGCAGGAAAACCATGATGGATTCTCCAATTCGGTATTGCTGCTTTTGTAGTGGAATTTCTTTTATAGCTTTTGTACTATTTAGTAAGTATAAGATGCAAATGTGTCTCCCAACACTATACTGAATGATTTTTGGGGTTTCTAACTGTTGATATGACAATCAACGTAAATTAAAACCATCAGAATCACAGTGGCACCTTCCTCTGATTTTTTCAGCAGTGCAACAAAAATAAAATGTGTTATCATCAATATTAGTGACAATGAAGTGGCCGGGCTCCAGTCCAAGCTCTGAAAATTGATATTAATATGACTGCGTCTCCTTCCCCTTTGTCTCTGCAACACTCCATTGTGTCCACTCCTCCCAGTCACTCTGTCTATCTCTCTTTCTCTTCCTCTCCACCCCACGTCCTCACACCCACCTTCACGCTGCCTTGAATACAAAGCTGCGGTCAGACATGAGGCCTTCACCTCCCTCTCCTCTGGCTCAGTATTCCCCTTTTCTCACCCGCCCTCCCTCCCACTCATCCCTCTCTTTCACTAGAAATCAGGCCCCCTGGTGAAAGCTATCATGTTATAAAAAGCATTGTGTCATTTGACACTCAGGTGCTATCCCAAACTCCCTCCAGCTTGGCTTTGAAAAACCAAAAAAAGAGGAGAAAGAGAGAAGTCAGGACGTGATAGTGGAGAGAAGGTGTGAAAAAAGACAGATAAAAGAGAATGAAATGGGGAGTTTTATGTTGCAAAAAGGGAGTAAATCCCCATTCTCCATCTCAAATTCATGCATCAACCACTTGTTTAATGGCTAAGTGGAGCGAATACCTCCACCGAGACCCAACAGTCCCCTTATGAGACCACATTTAAATTCACTAGATCTGGATTTTATTTAGATCCGCACCAAATTGCAAATACATACATTTCACCTAAATGTGCCTGATTTGTTTACATCAAGATTCACGAATCATTCCCTGGGAAATTACATGTTAACAACACTGCAACTTTATTATAAATGCAGACAAATGAGTAAGAGAGACGGCTTCACTTTATGGCCTCCTCTTATCTCTGGTTGGTTAGCGGCTTGTAAAATAAAAAAGATGTGGTGCTGATAAGATGACGAGACAGTGGAGTGTAAGTGGAAAAGAGGTTGTTAACTTAAGAGACTTTAGGAGGATGAGCATTTCATTTTTATATATGGAATGCTAAAATACATAATGATGCCACTTTGGTCTTTGGTATTTAAATACATTATTTATAAAACAATCGGATGAATTAATTATAAATCAGTGTGAATGATGCAACAATTCTTTTTTTAATGTCACACCAGATGCTGAAATCATTTTATAATATTGTTCATTTCCATCATATTTTTATTCTAATTCTGCCAACTTCAATGATAAGGCTAACAGGTCATGGAAATTATCGACACAACTCCCTCGACACAATAATGACACAATAACGTCTGATTCCTGTGACCACGGTATACAAAATATTTACATGAATTCTTGTTTATTTCCTTCAAATCCAATCTGAAAATATTTGTCTTTATAGTATCTAAACTTTGCCTGACACATATTGATTTACCTGTGTGTGCTTTTATGTTTTGCAGGTAATAATTCTTGAGGATTATGCAGATCCATTTGACGCCCAGAAGACCAGAGAGCAAAGAGAGGCAGAGCGGGTTGGGGAGAATGATGGTTACATGGAGCCTTATGATGCCCAGCAGATGATCACTGGTGAGACTTTCATTAATACATGTTTACATTGATATGATCTCACTGCCTTGTTGTTACAGAAACAGTAGCAGGAAGACACTCTGCTTTTAACCGTGTATCCTCAACGACAGGATTCTCATTTTCAGTCTCTCCGGGCCGAGCAGTGAGAACATGAACTCCCTCCCCCAGTGCTCTCTGCACCCCATGGGGTTGCCACAGCAACTCCGCTGCATTCGGACAATGGGTGCAGTTTCCTGACCCTGCTTCCTCTTTCCTGTCTCTGTTTCCTGGTACTATTCTCTAAAAAGGAAGTTGTCCCTCAGTGCCCCCCCCCTCCTCTCCTCTAGGATGCAGCTCTGTGTAAACCCCTACATGGACCTGTCTGCCCATTTATCAAAACTTCCCAGCATCCAGGATGACTGGTGGTCCGTCGTCCAATCGCATGCCCCCCCGACCTTTCCTTCCATCGCTCCATTGTTTTGACTAAAAAGAGGGTTACACAATAGCCTGCTGTGAATGTGAGAATGTTTTATTGCTGTGCTCTCGAGTAGCTGTCACTTCAATCAGTGCCACTTCCAGGCCTCCTCAAAGAAGTGGATGTGATGATGTGACTCAGTCCATTTACAAGGTTTAAATCACAGTGACATCAGACTCTTGCTGACTTCCTCGCTGTGATTTAAACCTCGTAAATCGACTGAGTCACATCATCACATCCTCTGCAGACTTCTTTGAGGAGGCCTGGAAGTGGCAGAGCCATGAGAGTGAAGCAGCATCATTATTAACACATCAGATACCAGAAACTAAACCTATGATTTATTGGGACTAACATGTGTTTGATTGTGAAATAGATTCATCATGACTGGTTGTTGAAATTGATATTAACATCCTAAAAAAGGACAGAGAATATCAATTGATTTTGTCAGTTGGCAGTTTTAGACAAGCTGGATTTGCAAACATGAAAATCTATCCAAATCTATACAAATGTTGGTGGCAGCTGCTGATGACCAGGGTTTTCCACTGCTGTCCAATATGACATCAGTATTCCTGATGTACATGAATTTATTGCACATGAAATCCAAAGTTTGCATTTCTCTGTGAATTAAATATTCATAAAAAAATGGAGAATCATACAAAGTTTTGAGTAAAAAATTGAAATGAAAAAAATGATTGAACTTTACGAGTCTGATGTACTACACATGAAACTGTAATAGCTTTTCATGCTGTAGAATCGTTTATTTCACATTTCACACATTACAACATATTATTAAAAATTCAACTTATTATTTTTTCATACCAGTAATTATGGTAATTTAATATTATTATATATGATCTTTTAATAACAAAAAAATCCAAATATGAGGTTAAATATCCTCTTTACTATCAATCTTGTCTCATGGCTTTGGAAAGGAGATGTCTGTGACATACACACACTCATACCATCATTGTAGTGTTGGTTATCTGAGGCCTGAATGTTTACATCTTATGTGTTCTACCTGCCAGAGATCAGACGTCGGGGGTCCAAGGACCTGCTGAAGGTCTGCGTGCTGATGGAGGGGAGTGAGGGGAAGGTAGAGGAGGGCCAGTCTGCTCCCCTTCAGATCTATGATGTTCCGTACGAGGGGGGAGGTGAAGGTGACAAGCAAGTGGTCACACGGCCGGAGCTGGATCCTCGGCCCTCCACCGAGTATGAGCTGCCGTGGGAGTGGAAGAAGGAGCACATTGTCAGAACTCTGTCAGGTAAATAGATCGCTCCAATTCTAGGAAAGAATGCAAGGGAAGTTTTCTTCTGAACACACCTGAACTGAACTTCCTGCACTTTTAAATCATTAATCCATTCTTATACTTGTTTGCGTAAGTAAGAAACTAGAATGATGGCATGTCTCCCACAGTCTGCACCAAATCGCTCACACTCATTGATACTCACTTTCCGCCTATTTTCATCACGATCTTGGTGAAAATGTCAATAAGCTCATTGAAATCTTGCAAAGATAAAGAAAGTGATAAAAACATTCCTGGCCGGATGGATCCACACCAAAATTCAATGGGTTATTTCTTGGCCCTTGTTCCATCCTTCCACCAAGTTCATGAAAAATAAAACCTCCTTGGCAGAGGTAATAAAAGTGCATTGCTGAATTCAGGCTGCCACTTCTTAGATCGTGATACTGGTCACATGCACCAACCCCGCCTCTTCTCTGCCTTAGATCCATATGAAAAATATTTAGTCAAAAAACAAGTCAGGCCTGCGCTCACATTTATATTTCATATGCTGCACAGACCAACAGCATACTAAATAATATCTTGCATGAGACATCAAAGTGCTGTCTTCTTATTCTATATTTACTGGAGGCGCTGGCATCCAGTTCAAACTTCAGATTTTGAGATTCTGTTATTTCTCTACATAAATTCATGTCTTCTCTCCTGACTCTTCTTCCCCCAGCACAGTTTGACAGCCCTGAGCGCCCAACCAAAGATGAGATGCCTCACCCGACACTCACCAGGCAGCCGCAGCATCCGCCCACCCAGCCGTTGTCTCAGCATCAGCATCTGAGGCAGAAAAGCTGGACCCAGAAGATCCTGAGATCGTCGCCACCGACCCTGTCGCCTTCCTCCACGCCGGGCAGCGGCCCTGACGCCGAGGTCTGCTGTGTGGACCCCTCACTGCCCCTGGAAAAACAGAGGTATCAGTTCCATTATGTTGAATATAGAATAATCCAGATTATGAGCGACAAAAAAGATAAGTATTGATTGTAGCTCATTGCTTTTCCATGTAAATGTTATTTGTAGAGTTTGTTTCTATGTATTTTTCTTTTTGCAATAAACCTCATTCCTGAATATTAATACACATGTTATTTAGTAGCATTAAAGTATCACTATGCAACTTTTACTGAGCGACAGCGCCCTCTGCAGCCACACATGGTGATTAGTCCTGTATGGCTCCATGTCTGAGCAATTAAGTAGTTTTCATGTAGAGAAAAAAAAGCCTATAAATCTCTTGACTGTGTATAGTCACACTCACTGAGCTGAAACACAACTGGAGGGTGGATATTACCCATGATCCCCAGCTTCCTAGGACCATGAGATCGCCCACTGTAACAAATCCACCAAACTGTTGAGAATCCTTCATATTTTCCTATTATTGGAGATAAATATGACTTTTAGGTAACAAAACTGTGACTCTCTGTCAGCTCCACACTTCTCACAGGAGAACGTACCCACTCACCAAAGTTACAGGCGTTCAGGGTGAGGAGTAGGATTTAAAGTGACTCCATTGTCCCTACGCTGAACCATCAAAGTCTTTTTAAAGCTACACAATGTTGCTGTGTCCTTCTCTACAATCGATCCATAGCAAATTTAATGTAACTTCATCCCCCCCTCCCGCCTCAGCTGGTACCACGGCTGCGTGACCCGACAGGAGGCCGAGTTTCAGCTGCAGTCCTGCAAAGAGGCCAGCTTCCTGGTCAGGAACAGCGAGTCGGACAACAGCAAGTACTCCATCGCCCTCAAGTGAGTGTAAGAGGACAGTGCATGGGTAGTGTCCGAAGGACTGAGATAAAACTCACCTTAACTTTTTAGATTCTAAGGTTGTTACTATTCAGTACTTTTCTTATAGCAGATGGTAATTGCATGTATGAAGATGTATATTTTGCAGTGATTCAATGCAGTAGTGATTTTGCTACAGTTTTTGTCACGTTCATAAAATAAAAATCAGGATCTTGTGAATTTAAATGCGGTTTCTTAAGGTTTCCTCAAAAGGAGAGTTTCATGTATTCAAAGCCTGAAACAGCATATCAACTCCATCATCACTGCATTAAAATATGTATTGATCTGCCGCTAAAAGTATTCCCTGATAAAGTTTACTCCTGTTTGAGAATATTTTCCACAGAGTCAAGCTGTTTTGGAAATATTTACACAAACTGAAAGATTTTAAAATATATTTCTATCCTTGTAGTGTTGTAGTGAATGTGTTTGGGCTGAATATCACAGACATGTCAGAGGGTATCACGAGATGTTACATGAATAGAAATGTTGTATACTTGAAAAGTGAAAGCTTTAAAACATGCACGAATTAATAGCATGTGTTTTGGGTCAATTCTCCTCAGGACAAGCCAGGGCTGCGTTCACATCATTGTTGCTCAGACCAAAGAGAGCGGCTACACCCTGGACCAGAGCAGCTGTGTGTTCCCCAACATCCCAGAGGTGGTGCACCATTACTGCACTCAGCGTCTGCCTTTCAATGGGGCCGAGCACATGACCCTGCTGCACCCGGTGCCTCGCATCCACTGACGACTCCACCCTAGCGCCGCGTTAGGTGACAAAACAAACACACCTCTGGGCCTGCTCGGACGCAACGTTTTCATACAACAGTCACAGTGAAGTTCAACGTGTTCTTGTGTTGCTATGTCCCTTTTCAACAAGTCCCACTGTGTGACTCAACTGTATCACCAGACTTTACATGTGTGTTTTTTATTTGTGTGGTCGTGAACACAGTTTTGCAGCTCAGCCTTAGTCTTGAAACTCTGGACGTCGTCACTTTTCTTTTTTACTCATGCAAAACACACAGGCTGATGTTTTGCATGTGAACAAGGCTCAGCAGAAACCAAGAGGCACCTTTATTGATTAAATGTGACTTGAAGTTTGATTTGAAAGCCACTCATACACAGCTGCATTGTTTTAATCGTGCACCGTGGCTCTATTGAAAAATACATGTTATTATTGCCACAAATTTAAATTTAATATAAAGCAGGAAGTACTTCAGACTTCAGTTTTGTGTCTCTCTGCCTCTCTCTGGTGGATGTGCTGCTACACTACACCAACTTTGCCAGCACAAGTAAGTCTTTTCTCGAACTTCCCAGTTGATAAAAACCATGCACACGTAACACGCGTGTCTTTCCACTTATCAAGATATAGACAAACGCCAGCTATTTTATCCTAATGTGCGCAGCAGATTTCAAATTCACGCTCCTTATACTTGTTAGTTTTCTGTAACCGCTGCCCCCTGAGGTTTTCCTCTGTCTTACTGTGAATGAGGGAGTTGTTTCTACTCTGAACTGTGAAGAGTGAGTGATTCACCCTGATGTAATGTGCATGAGAGAGAAATGCAACGCTCGATGTAGTTGGAGCTTTTTAGGACAAGGACTGTGGCTGTTTCATTTTTGATTTTCAGATAAATAACAGCGCAAATGCCAACGGAACAAATGACGAGATACAATGTTTTTAAGTGACTGTCAAACTTCTGTATGATTTATGGACAAGATATTAACTGATATTGAAATAATGGAAACAAAAAGAAATGTTTAAATTCTGTATCAGGCCCCTGTTGCTGCTCACCTCGAGATGCAATGAAGCCAAACAGCAAAATGAGAATTTGTGACTGTATTTTATTCCCTGACTTATTTTTCTTTGTGTATTCTAAATATAACAGACATCTGATATGGTTTGTCTTAATTTGGTGAAAAGCTGGAAATCATTTCGTCTGCAACACAGAGTGATTTCAGCCATACATACCATAAATAAGGTCAAAGGTTTCTCTTGCATCCTATTTTTCCTGGCAGCCTGACACCCCCATGTCTTCTCTGTGATTTAAGGAAGTCGGTTTGTGGTTTTTGGCAGCGTGCTCACAAAGAAGTAATCCAAGGAGACACACCTGTTGTACATTTTTCACCGATGTCTTTTTGATTTGTGGAGACCTGATGTTCAGACATTGTAAAACAAAAGCTAATGAGAAAAAGGTCCTGAGTCTCGGTGCTGGAGATCCCCGGTGCAGCTTCTCTCTGAACCCAAATAAATCAACAACGTAAACAGCTAAATATGAGGGTGTTTGTGTCAATGATCAAAGCGTCACCTCCTCCCCGAGGAACCGGCCTCCTCACACATCCTGGGATGACTGAATGGGGACATTTTTTGAGCGTGATGAATCTTTTAACCGTGAGAGCTTGATTGTGGTTTCAGCAGTTTGCTCATTTGTCTGGAAGTTTAGTTCTCCATGCTACAAAAAAAAAGGGGAGGAGGGGGGGTCATTGAATATGCCAGGTTAGAGTGAAAAGGTCGAGGGGGAAAGGTCTAGTGGAGGAGATTAGGTTTAAAGCGAGGATCATGTTGAGCACAAACAGATTACCTGCAATCAGCACTCCAGTTTGTGCTGTGTGTAGGTCTAAGGTAAAGGCGGTGCTAAAAAAAGGATAAAGAGTAAGAGTAGTATCATTACACCCATGTCAAGGACGCTTAATGTCAAGGAGGGAAAAAAAGGAGCAATTGACACCATCCCTCTCTCCTTCCCTCCTTTTCTTACATATCATTCGCCCCTCTCCTTTACCTTCCTCACTGTTGGTGTCATCCGAGGCTGATATCTGTCTGTCAACTGTTTCTCCTTGACTCACTGAGACGGGACGCCATCGCCATTTGGTGCCAAGAGTTTGGGCTTTAATTCATGAAGGCGTCTCGTTTCTCTAAAACCAGAGATAGTGTTAAGTCGTCCCATGAACGTTGCGTTACATTATAGATTAACTGTTTGCTGTTACCTTCTGAGGCAGATTGAAGTTGAAATTAAGTAAAAGTACCATTGTCACTCTGTGAAAATACATTAAAGGTAAAATTCTAAGGTTTCTTTAGTATTAATACAGAAGTGTCAACAAAAACATTATCCATGTGACTGGTTTATCATTAAAATGACATTATTACATTCGCCACATTCAAATTTAATATATTTTGGTTTTTATTTGGATCTGCACCAAATTATACACTCATAGATGTAATGGCTTCTTCCTTTACCTATTTCCCTCCTTTCCACCAGATTTTGTGAAAATCTCTTTGGCTGTTTTTGTATAATCTTGCTCACAAACAAACAAATGTACAACCAAAAAACTAGATAGGTACCTAGTAGAAAGCAAATCTCAGCCAAGGCCCAACTGTCCGCTTAAATTCAACCAAGCTGCACCAAATAACACACTCACAGACATCAGTCACCTAGATATACAGGATTTTTTGCATCAAGATCCTTGAATTATTCCCAGCAAGATCAAAGATCAAGATAAAAAAAACTAAAAAAAAAAAGCCAGATCTCATCATGTTAACGAAAGGGTTTGAAAAATGTGGATCCTCACCAAAATGTAATGGGTTCTTCCCTGACCCATATCACACCCTGAAGTTTCGTGTTAATCTGTCCAGTAGTTTTTGCTCACAAATACACAAACAAACACTAGTGGTGAAACATAACCTCCTTGGTGGAGGTAAAAATACCAACTTAGCTAAATATACTGAAAGTATCATGAATCAAATATTCTCTCAACAAAAAAGGACATTGGTCTGGTGACTGGTTAATTATTAAAATTGAATTATTCCATTATCTTAAATTATTAACTTCACTATGTTTGGCTCTTTGACACATTGACATGTGACCTGGGGCCCCTACAACAAGTGCTTTACTGTGAGTTTCCACAAAAAGATTGGAAACTAATGATTGAATGGTTCTTTAACCCTTATGTTATGTTAAGGGTCAATTTGACCCATTTCAATTTTTGTGTTGACCAAAGTGTAGGTTATCCTTATTTTTTTTTCATGAAATTTTATGACTTTTCCTCATCTAGGGTCATGAACTGCTGTGTAAAATCTGGACACTTAGATGTGTTGCGGAGTGTCTGCACAGAGTTTGTATACAAAGATGATGTTGCGGGTCATTTTGACCCGGACACAAAGTAGCTGTTAAAATCCAAAATAAACATGTCTCTTTGATAAACTTTAATTTGATTGCCTCTGAATAGCCATTCAGAACCAGGTGTGTGTGGAAGAGGGACTTTCTCTCCCCTTTCCTTGTCACTGTTTCCATGCCCTTTCTTTGAGAACTACAACAAAAATGAGCTCCAGACGATTTACAGCTGAAGAAGTTTTACCGCAGCTTATGAACTGGGAAAGTGATGTAGAGGAAGAGATTTCAGAAACAGAGGACAATGCTATTGATGATCCAGATTGTCAATTTTCCCACGATGAGGAGGATTCAGAGGAGGATTCTGCCGGTGTCCCTTCATCAGATGAAAACCAAGAAACGCAACAATTGTCATCCACAGAGGGGACATGTACATVTAAAGATGGTAAAATAAAATGATCAACATCACCACACCAATGCAGAGACAGATTGTCATCTTCTAATGTCATCAAAATGACTCCTGGTCCGACAAGATTTGCTGTCGCAAGAGTTGATGATATTGAATCAGCATTTCAGCTCTACATATCCAAACCCATAGAGAAGATAATYCWTGACAAAACAACACTTGTTTCTTACTACCCAAAGAGAAACAAGAATGTTCTTGTGATGAGCACAATGCACAAAGATGMATCTCTGAGCACAAGAGAGGACATGAAGCAGCAAATTATCCTGGATTACAACTCCAATTGGTTACAACAATTGAGTTGACAATCTTGACAAAGTCACAGCAACAGCAGTGGAATGCCAGCAAACTGTACCGACGTCAACTTTTCCTGGAAGAACTAGGCAAAGCACTCATCACTCCCAAGATCCAGAACCGGGCCAGGCCAGCTCGATACCCAGCAGCTGCAGCTGTCACCGCAAAGGTCCAGGGCAGGGCATCTGACCAACCCACAATGGATCCTTTGGATACAGGTGCAAAGAAACGCAAAAGATGCCAAGTCTGTCCCTCCCGAGATGACAGTAAAACAAGTACCTGTTGTGTGAGGTGCAAGTGGTACATCTGCATAAAGCACATAGTCACATTCTGTCCATCATGTGGGGAACACTGAAAATGTTGAACATTGAAAATCGGGAAATAATGGGGCAAGTTAAATGAAAAGTGAAGAGGGAATAATTGAAATCAGGAGCTCTTTAATATATTTTTGGAATTGTATATCTCTTCTTTTCATCTCTTATAAATGTTTGTTTAATCTAAAATTAAGTTCTTATTGGTTTAACTTCATTTTTGACTGTTTTGAGTGGATTTACACAATACGGGTCAAAATGACCCGCAACATAATAAATGTAATTTTTTCTCAACATAATACAAGGGTTAACAATCGGTTGTATTTTTAAGCTTAAAGTAGCAGAGAATCTTTCACAGGAAAGTAACTGGAAACTTTCCCTGTCAGAGTACAAAGTGTAGTATGTCCCTGTGAAATGTAGTGCAGTATGAGTATAGAGTATAAAGCTTTGTAATTCATAAGTCTCACGGCTCCTCCTTGGCAGCGAGTTGCAGCCATGAGGTCTCCCTGCGGCCCTCCGTCGAGATGGATTTCATGAACCTGAGGTAAGCGGGCCTTCTCAAGTTCTCCCCAAGAGGGAGTGAACTCCACCTGGAAAGGAATTAATCATCAGATGATATATACCTGGATCCACCTATGCTGCTGTATACTTGAATGAATCATTTCATTTTGTTCTCATGTGTGTGTGCCATCCTACTCTCACGACAGCCATCCTACTCTCACGATCGCCGGCTGACTGCGCCTGATGGACGTGGCGACTGGAATCCATGGTGTCGCTTGACCTGCTCCGCTGGTAATCGAAGTGCCCCTGCCATCGTTATCAGATGCTCCAGACTCGGCACCAGTGACACGGCGCTGGCTTTGTGTTGCTCATCTCCTTTCCCTGCAAAGGTGACGCCTGCCACGTGTGATCCATCAGCAGAGACGCTTGTCTTTCAGTTTGAATTGTCTGGTGAGGTCAGCCGTGTGTTTAGATACTGTTTGCAGGACGTCTTCGAGCCATGGTACGACTGAGTGTGGTTGAAAAGGCCATGTGACTGAGACTTAGGTAACTGCTGCAGAGAATCACTCATGTCTCAGTGTGGATCCCAGCTGATGCAACCAATTTACAAGCACATAATTGCCATAATTCACTGAACAAACATCAGCCTATAAACATGTTGGAATTCCCTTTTGCTCTCAACCTGATGCCAGAATAAATGTTCAGTCTGACACACTAAATAACTCTTGTTCCATATGAAAGAAAGTGAAATTCCCTCATAATTTCTATTGCCACCGCTGCTGCTTTTTAAATTACAAACCAGTTAACATTATATAGAAACCTCAGTTACTGTGGTGGAATGTAAATAAGTACATTTACATCTACATTTATTGCATTTAAGTTCAATTTCTAGGTTGTTGTACACTGCTCAAAAAAATCAGATCTTGATGAACGAATTATTCAAGTTGAAAATCTTTACTGTTCAACCCTGATATGACTCCCCAGACCACCACTGAACCACCGCGGAACCAGTCATGCTGGATGATGTTACAAGCAGCACAACATTCACCACAGCGTCTCCAGACTCTTTCAGGCCTGTCACATGTGCTCAGGGTGATCTCATCTTTGAAGAGAACTGGGCGCCAATGGCGGACCTGCCAATTCTGGTGTTCTCTAGAAAGCAGGGTGCTGGGCTGTCCTGCTGGGTGGATGCCCTGCAGAACACAAAACTAAAGAAGAATTAGTCAGGAAGGACAAAGACGGGGCAGCTGTCTGTGGCCAGCACATAGAAAACCATTCCCTTTTGCGGGGTTGTCTTGATTTTGCTTCTCCATTGCACCTGTTGTCACTTAAATTTGCACCAAAGCAGGTGAAACTGATCCATTATCACTTATGAACAGACAGTCCCTGAAACTGAACTGACTTGATGTTATATGTGTTCCCTTAATGTCTTTGAGCAGTGTATTTTCATTTGATGACTCTCTACTACATTTCAAAGGGAAATTAATAGTTTTACTGCACAATATGTATTTGACAACTACTCGTTACATCTAGAGGAACTACTTACTTTTAAGATTTATGTTTTACAAACCAGTTAATAAGCTTATAAAACACAATACAGAGTGTTGTTCCATGTCAGATGACTGTAAATTGTCTGTGGTTTAACTTGGGTGTGGCACAGTGTTACAGTGGTTAGCTCTCACTCAGCAAGACGGTTCCTGGTTCAAAACCAAGTTGGAACCATAGTGTGTGGTGTTCGCACGTTGTCCCCATGTCTGCGTGGGTTTTCTCAGGGTGTACCGTCTCTTGCCCAGTGTTAACTGGGATTGGCTCTCATAAGAAACATACATGATGGTTTGATGGTTTTATTTGTGGTGACTGTTGTTCAAGAGGTTGAGCACAGACATGGCGGTTTGATCCTCAGTCCCTTTAGACTAGGAACCATAAACATTATGTGTAAATCTGTGTAGGTGATAAATTTGTGACAGAAAAGTGAAACATATAGTTTCAAAGTATGAATGTGTGAATGTTTCGTCAAGTGATGAGCACTTTGAGACTAATAAAGTGCTTTAACATGCAGGCAATTGACCAATTAGATAAAAAAAAAACATGTAAATTAATTGTTTTTTTGTTTCTTGTCCAACTGACGACTTCATGACCCCTGAGATTTATCCTGTGACCTTTTCGAGGGCCCCAAACCCCAGACTGGAAACCACTGTTGCATTTAAGCTCTACTTTGACCTGATACAAAAGTCAAATGGCAGAATAACCTTTAGCTACTTCAAATATATATATATTGAATACAACACTTGCAGTATTATTGTAAATGATATTGACATGTCCTTAACCACTGCAAGTTTACTGCACACTGAAACACACTTCCTCATAGCATATTAAATAATTCTCCTTTTTTTCCACACATGCACCTGCACATTAGGGAACAGATGATCACGTTATTCTGTCCACACTCTTTAAAAACAGTTGATTAATTGGTCCTGTGGAATGAGCCAGAATGAACACACGGTGTTTGTTTCCCTCCAGGCTACAGCAGGGTTAAACGTCCTGAACACTGTCTTGTTTTGAATTGTTTACCTATCTGCAGGCCGTGCATGTTGATCTCAAATATTCAAACCAGCCAATCAGAGGCCGCCTTCGGAGAACACAGGGGCGCCAGGAATGAAAGCAAATAGGGTGAACTCCGCCCGCAGACACTAACCGGCCTGTTTTTTTAAATTTTAGGTAAGAGGAAGAGGAGGCGGTTGAGCTCATAAAACGTTCAAGTACATTACATCCCAAAAAAAAAGATATCCCTCAGCTGCTCAGCCACTTAAGTTTCCAAATGACGAGCTGCCAGTAGGGTGGAAGAGGACATGTTGATTTACTTATCTGTGTGTGTCTCTGTGTGTGGTTTTGTGTGTGTGTTTGTGTGTGTGAGTCACTGAGGGACATGTGCACTAACAGTCACAGCAACTCGAACATTCCTCTGTGATTATACCACCACTTTCCAAGTTACATACTTGACTGATGTACTCCATAAATTGGATTCACTCCCCGCCTGCGCTGCTCTTCCTTCATTATCAAACACACACACATACACACTTTTAGAGACGCACACTTACACACACAAACTCTCCCCTTATCTTCCCCTCACACCCTAGCCCTGTCTCTCGCTTTCTTTCCTTCTCTGTTGCCCTCTTTTGAAGAAGTTTTCCATGCAGATCCAAGTCAAACATCTGGGTCAGCTTATATCTAGTGGAACAAGACTTGCAGGATATTGTTGGCAGGATGCATGAACTGGAGCAGTTTACTCTGTGGGAATCCCCAATACACACACACACACAGATGGACGCTCACACACAGGAACACACTTGCTTTTTTGCTGACATAGTTTCTCTGTGCACCATTCAACTTGATCTCCAGGTGCGGCGATTCATTCCCGACATGTTGAGGAATACTTGTGCAGCATGTGAAAGGAAGTGAATGTGAAACCAAACACACACACATACACACTCACTACAGTTGATGGTTGGTTAAATGCAATGTTTAATATTTTTGAAGAATGCATTGGTTATTACCCAAAATTAGATTACAAAATAGGTGCAGGAAAGTGGGTAATCTGTTGTTAAAACACTGAGTACATACAACGATATAATCATCTGTAATTTAGATTAATATGTAATCACAAGTTATTCATGTGCAAGAAATGCTCAAACATGCTGATGTGCGTTCTGCATAAAAACGTCCTTTTTCCCCTCACAGTGCCTTTATTCAGAACATGCAAGAAACTGTCTAAACTGCTGCTGGATGTGAGCTGGAAGACGTTGGAATATTTCTCGTCCTGTATGTGAAACGAGCTCCGGATGTGCTTGTGGTATGAAAAAGTGTTGCAGGGAAAACTTTACTCCCGCTGAATGCCCCCGTGCTCTGTGAACCCACAAACTATCTGCTGGAATGCTTCCCTTATGTGTAGCTGGAGTGTTTACGAATTGCACAAGACAAATATTCTTTCCAACTCTGTCCTCTATGTGTCCTGATTTACAGTTCTCTCCCCTCCTCCTCATCTTCCTCTTTCTCTTCTTTTCCCCCACTTCTCTTCCACCCCTCTCCCTCCCTCCGCTCTTCTTCTCTTGCACAGCTTCAATCTTTCTTCTCCGCCGACTCGCCTTTGCTTCCATCTTTCGGCTTCTCGTCTGTTTTGTACTCCAGGAAGAAGTCGTTGCATGCGACCGTGAGGGCGCCCATCAGGATGATGAACTCAGTGAAGTCCACCTCTCCGTCGTTGTTGGCGTCCAAGTCATTCATCACCTTCTCTACTCCTTCATTATCTTTGGAGCTCTGTCAGTGGGGAACACAGAGGAAGAGAGAGTTAAGAATGTGTTCCCTGTTATGTGTGTACGTGTGTGTGTGGGCATACATCACTGCACAGGCTTGTTCCAGCTTGTGCCGTCAGAGTATGTGAGCGCATACCTTCACTTCTGTGTCACATATCTGCAAACTGCATCAGTGTGTTAGTATGCAACCAAATATGCGCCTCTTCTCAAACTTCTCCTCTTACCCCTAAGTAGCTCCCCAGCTCCTCTACTAGCAGCTCCTTCAGCTCGCCCCGGCTCAGCGTGTACTTGTCGCCCTCCTTTCCCGAGTACTTGTGGAAGGTCTTTATGAGCATCTGCATGGCACTCTCCAGGTTGGAACTGGGCTCCTTGGACATGCTGGGGAAGGAATCAGGTCAAAAGGTCAGACTCCTTCACAAAATGCCCGCTCCAGGCCCCAGCTGCATGTGTGGCCACATAGCAAACAGGGGCTGAAGCCACCTCTAAGTCAAAGTGATAGTTGGAAAGGCAGATGGGTGGAAGGAAACCAAAAACAGAGAGATGTTCTCATTTCTACAGAGAAAGGGGTTGAATAACACTCTGCGTGTCATGTAGAGGGTATTACTGACCCTAACTTAAGAAGTGTGGTCACTGCCCATGTGTGTGTGTGTTTGTGTGTGTGTGACCTTACTGGGTGTTACATTTCAGAGGTTTGGATAGAAAGGTCGGAGGATAGCGTTGGAAAAGTTTTTTTCCGAACAATCTTACACACATTGTGTCCGGCATGGTGAGGCTTCTCTGCTGGACTCGTGGAGAGACTGTGCACACACAGACACAGACAAGTCACTGTCAACAATGCAGAGTTTGAGTGGGAACACTTCTCGTCTCTTCAAAAAAATGCACATTCGTATCACCTCACATGCTGCATGAAAACTGGACTTTTAACAGTTGAGCGGTTTTAAAATTCCTCAGGTATCGGTCTTGCAAACATAATGCATGAAGCACTGCACGTTCACAATCTAAGGGCCAGAGTAAGTAGAGGTGCGAGCTGACATGTACATACGGATAAATCAGTCACATTCAACTTAAAACCTAAAGTTAAAAGTCTGCAACATTGTTTTGAGTTCAATCCACAACCAAAAAACATAAACAGAGGGTCTCATCCAATCTGTCAAGCAGTCCCCTCCTTTCCTCTTTGCATGATTTATTAACCATCAGCAACAAAAGGAGACGGCGATGCTAATGTCAGTCAGCGGTTATTGCCTCTCGTCATGCTGCCTTGCATTGTGCCGCAGAGGTCAGAGTTGTTGGTGGCCGACAAAGAAGGAGGCGAGCGGACACCAAAGCTGGCTAACTGGAAAATCTATAGGGGTCATCAGTCTCACTGGCTGACGCAACACAAAGGGAAACCATGGAGACAAAAAATGCCAGCAGTAACACAATATTGAGTATGGTAATAATGCATATGCACCACCTCAATGAACAAAAGAAAGATGCGTAATGACATTACATGTTAAAAATGTGGTTGTCATGCTTATATTTTCTATTCATACTTGAATAACAAAATAACGGCATTAGTATGACATTAATATAAATAAAATATATTAATGTCATTACATTATTTTCTCATGATTTTACAACAAATCCCTATTGGCTTTGCTTGTTTCCACATTTCATTACTTTATATTTCCTGTCATGCTCGTCTCAAAAGCTCGTACAGCAACAGAGAGCAGGACGTAACAATAAAGTAACACAAAAAGTTTACAAATGAATCCCGCAGTTCTGCTTCTCAGGTGTCTCGATGAGCGTCCACTTCCCAGCATCTTATCGCTCTAAGAGGTTTTTCATGTTACGCAGATGATGCATTAAATACTAGGCAGCCTTCATCAGATATAGAGGAGAAAGTACAGTGGAGCGAGGAGCTGTGTCTCACCTGAGTATTGATGGAGGGCCTCCTTTGTCTCTGAAGAGGTGCAGGGGACGGAGCCAAGCTAGAGATGGATGTGGGAGAGAGTTTGCCAGTGGCTTAAATATCACCTGCCTCTCTCCCTCCTCCCCCTTCGTCTCCCCCCTCAAACTCCTTCACCCTCTTAACGTACATACACTCCACATTCGTTCCTCTGCCCCCCCCCTTCCTCTCTTTCAAGGTGCTTTCTCTCCATCACACTCACACAAACGTGCACATACACGATGACTGGATGCGAGCAGAAATAAGAGGCCACTGATGAAAAATATATTGTCGTCACAGTTTTATTCAATATTAGCCATTACATGTTACAGAGAATAAGCAAAAAAATGATACAGCGTTACATATGAAGTTGAAATACAAGTAGAGTGGACTTTACTGGAATTGACAAGTGGACTGAAATGAGTCCAACTGTTAAACACACACGCCCTCTCGTACTTGGCAGGAAATAAACACGAGTACATCGAAGTTCAATGATGAAAGCCTGCACAACATCCTGGGAATGGTCCCATAGTCAAAAACATTCCAACCAAATGAGCCTTAAGAGCACATCAATATACTTGTATGTACACTTATTAAATCCAGTGGGAGGATTCTCAGCACAGGCTTTTATTTTCATCGACTGTCTCGATGAATGAAACTTATTGTGCAGCAATGAGAAATCTGGCTGTGAACACTCCCTGCTGTAAGTCTGCTGTGTTTGGTTCCAGCATGTTTTTAATCTGCATGGAGTTAAGGCTGGGTGCGGTTTACACTAAGGGACAAGCAGCAAAACTGCCAATGGAGATGGTTCAGCCGCTCCGACAGAGAGCAGCGGCGCTCAGGGCTCACTCCGTCTCTGATTAAAAGCAAACATTTACTGACAAAAACTCCAGAAAACTGTTTGTTTAACCCAGGTTGGTAGTGCAAGTAATTTCAAACACATTAGTCAAGTGAATTTTGCTTGATCCAGTTTTGTCTTATCATTGTTTGACTTAGAAAGAACGCAAAGATCACATTTTAAACAAGGAGGGAAGTGATATAAACTGCGTAAATGTGCCTGGTCTGAGCTGGAAAACAGAAAACAATGTATGCAGCTTAGTAGTTTGTCTATACATACATCTGTATGACTAAAGGATGCAACGGCCGAGAACCATATACATGCTGAACAGGAAACTGGCTGTAGATGGTGCAAGAGAGTGATATGTCTCCATAATTCACAGGAAGTACCATGATTAGAAAATGTTTTCATATAAAAAAGAATATAGCTTGTAATAAAAAATAACTAAATTGCCCCAAATGTCTTGATAAGTTTGTTAGTAGCAGATCATGCAGGAAACATAGCATTCTACAGTACGAGTGTATGCAGGCTGAGCAGAGCGAGTGTAAACGAAAGAGTATTTACAATGGGAGTGTCGCAGTGAAGCAGGCGAATCACATGACCCGCTTTATTTGTCTTGACCATTTTGAAGTGAACAGTTTGAAGTTTCTGCTGCTGTTTCCACATTTGGTGGTGTCCCAAAAATGTGTGTGTGTGAATGTGTGTGTGTGTGTGTGTGTGTGTCACTACACCGCTGGCCAGGTAGACCTATGATCTAGCAATCCTGCAACACAAGCCTTTTTCTCATGACTGCATTATTGATGAGGGGACAACTTACAAATCATTAAATTGTAATCAACAAATTGCATGTAATGTGACATAGAACTATGTTTCCAGTGATCTCCATAGTGGTCCAAACAATAAAAGAATTAGGTTAAAAAGTTAAATATAAAGCAGCCATGTAGAACTTAAATAATGGCCGCAGTAATGGAAAATACAATGGTAATATTTAGTTTCTGATAGCATGCAACATCTTATCATTAGCCTGCCGTAAAAAAGATAACACCACAGAGAATCAGATTCATGGCTCAGTATTCTTTTTTACTCACACAAAAAGCACCACCTCTGACACTAAGCACCTCGTCTGAAAGGCAGGATCAGTGGAGAAAATTTTTTGTGTGTGTTTGTTACACATCAAATGCCTAATCCAGTAGTTTCCCAACATGTCACACCCAAGGATCCAGTTGCTATTGTCAGACAGGGTCTCTACACTGTTGCAGGGCGTGGCTGACAAACACACAAGCCTGAACGGCCAGTGGTAAACAACGAATTTTGATTAGGGCCTAAAAAAAAGACTCCAATCCAGTGCTACACCTCTACAGCCCAGCACCTTTATTGGTCAGGAAAGAGAATATGACCATCATAATGCTACAATAACCACATATGCACTAGGTCATAAAGGACTAGGTGAAAACTGCCACCGGGTGACAGCTATTAAAAGTTTGTTTTCTTCTGGGTGATCTTGTTCTTCTCCACCAGCTCTAACCAACGTGGATTAGGTTGCATGAACACCTACTCTGACCTGCTCCTCCAGTGACCAGCTCACTCCCAAGGGACGAGCTTGGGCTCCCTTTTGCCCTCATGGGTTCTTTGACAAGTGTTCCATCCCTCGAACCTTAATTATTTAACCAGGGGCCACGCCCAATCTTCCTGTTCCTCATCGATGGCCGACTACGAGTGAGGAGAAAATACTGTCGGCTCCAAATGAAGCTAACCTCATACAGAATAAAAATGAAAGAGACAAAGAGCCTCATAAAGAATAGAAAAGAGAGAGAAAGAGGGTGTGATGGGGCATTGATTACACAATTAAGATGAGCAAAGCCTCAGCAAAACAATATGTTTATTGTCATGCCAAATCTGTTCCATAGCACTGTGAGTTAAAAGATGAGAACAGTAAAAAAAAATTATTAAGCGTTACTGAGAGATTTTCATGCAACCAATATTAGAATAGTTTAAGATTTTGGGGTTAGCATTCTTGCCCAGAGTCAGACAAGAAGATTGATACCTCGCACTCATATCTGTCCAGTAAAAATGAAACTATACTCAGTAGCTAGTTAGCTTAGCTTAGCATACAAACTGGAAATGGGGCAAAAGCTTGCTCGCCTCTGTCTGAAGGAAACAAAATGTGCCCTCCAGCAGCTGTGGAGCTCACAATATCTTGTTGAGGTAAATCAAACAAAAACCAAAATTAAACACAAATAGGCTATTCCGTAGCTCTGTTTCCAGCCTGTATGCTAGGCTTAGCTAACCGGCTGCTAGCTGTAGCTATAGCCTGGGCAAGAAAGCTAATAAGCACCATTCCCAAAAATGTCTAACTATTTCTTTAAGCCATTAGTACCTAGCAAGATGTATACTTGTGATATTATACCTGGAGGACTGAACAGTAAGTGATGTAGGGCTGCATGACACAACTGTGGAAGAAGATTCAATAGTGAGGAGATGATCTAAACCGAGCCTCTGTCTGCAGAGGTGTGTTCACATGCAGGCAACACATTGGTCTTGTGTGCAGGGAAATTCATACTTTCAGTAAAGTTTTCACAGGGATCTGGCATGCACAAGATCATGTACGTCTGCATGCACTCATAGTATATTGTCATGATGAGGTAAATGTGCTTTAATATAGTGGGATGCACATGCTGTACATATGAACATAGTGGTAACTAGGAATATAAAGCAATAATTCTACTATTTCATCTACATGTGTTATTTATCATGTATAAGGGGTTTCTTCAGAGTTGGGTTGGTAGTGTTTTGTATTTCAAAGTTGTGAGTTTTGAAAAAAAAATCTTTAGTGGCTTATAAACTTATTTTTGGCAACGTTAATGCTATGTTTTGTGTATGTGTGTGGTGTGTTTTTTGTTGTGGATTGTCCCCTATGAGGTTGCCTCCTCTGTCTTCTTCTCCACTTCCTCCTCTACAGCTGCAGCCATCTTTTCTACAACCTCCTCCACCTTCACCGTTTCCTCCACCTTCTCCTCTTCTTTTACCACCACCTCCACAGCCGCTGCTGCCACCTCTGCGGCCGGAGCCTCTGCTGCTGCCACCACTGCTGCCGCTGCTGGCTCCTCCTTTGCGACCTCAGGCTGCGTCTCTCCCTCTTCTTTTACTTCTACCTTTACTTCTAGGTTTGCATCTGCATTTGCTTCTACCTTCACTTCGGCAGCTGCGTCTGCCTTTGCCTCTTCATTTGCTTCAGGCTTAGCCTCTGGGGTCGCCTCCTCTTCTTCGGGGGCGCTTTGTGCTACCTGTCCGGAAGCAGCATTTTGGGCTGGTTCCTCTTGAGCGAGGACACGCTGCTCACTGAGCGAGACCGCCAGGTAGCCGACCAGCTTCATGTACTCCTCAAAGCCGACCTTGCCGTCCTGGTTTGCATCCAGGTCCTGACCCATGTTGTTGACCTTATCCTTGCTCCCTGCGTCCTGGGTAGTGGGAACAACAACCATGAGACAACCAAGCATGATGATGGGTAATTCTATCTGGACGCTCACTGGTGAAATCACAATACAATTTTGATGAATGACTCTCTATCATCTATCGATGCTCATGTTAAAAAGGCTCAGGCTTTCCTCTGATGATGTCAAGAATACTGTGCTAGTGCTTTTCTGTGCGGCTGTTACATAATGTAAGTGGTAACGTTTCAGAATAGTTGAATGGAGATTTCCTAACCGACAGGATGTTGCCGAGCTGGGACTTGACGAGGCCCTGGAATTCTTTCTTCCCTAGACTCTCCTTTCCCTTGGTTGACTTCAGGAAGACCTTCACCAGGGTCTGAACAGCAGCCTCCATGACTCCTCTCTGTGGGGAAGACACTGATATGAGATATACATGTATAAACATAAAGATAGATAGATAGATAGTTACGCAGGAAGGTAGTTAGATAGTTATGTACAAAGGTAGGTTGGTTTGATAGTTTGGTAGGTATTTAGATAAAAGGTGGGTAAAAAGGTAAGAAGGTATGTAGGTAAGTCAATAGTTTAGATAGATGGATGGATGGGTGGATAGATAGATAGATAGATAGTATAAACAGTATAAACCACACAATGGACACATCTAGTGAATGAAACAGATGTTCTCCTACTGTCCCCACAAACCCTTTTCCTGTTTCAGGTGTTAAGTTCAGAGCGGCGATGACAGCGTGATGGTGACGTGAGATACATGGAGAGGGCAGTAGATAGGTAGTAGGATAAAGGATAGGTAGATAAGTGGATAGGCAGATAAGTAGGTAGGTAGGAGGATAAAGGATAGGTAGGTAGGTAGGTAGGTAGGTAGGTAGGAGGATAAAGGATAGGTAGGTAGGAAGGTAGATAGATAGATAGATAGAGTCAGTTGACTGCTGGTGCGTGCCATATAAACCACATTCAGGCGATGGACACATCTAGTGGAAAATGAAACAGAGGATATCCCCACGTTTCAGGTGTTAAGTCCAGAGCGGCGCTGACAGCGTGATGGTGAGGTAAGATACATGGAGAGGGAGCGAGGGAGTCTGACTGAGAGACAGGTTCTGATGCACAATGGAAGTTCTGATCTTTGATAGGTCATCTGATCTAGTGAAGTAACCAAGGGGACTGGGCTTCAGATTACCTGAGGGATTACCTAGTCCCTGTCTGTTCCGCTCTCTCTCTCCGTCTTTCTTTGTCTCTCTCCCTCTCTTGCCAGCTGTACCTGCCTCTCTCTTTCAGTGGCACTCTCATTGGCTATCTCATCCATGTTTTCACTCTGCTGGCCTTTTCTTTTCCTCAAACCTCCTTCACACTGTTTTGCACAAATACACAACCTAATGTATTAAACAATCAGGACCTGGTATGGATTACACATCAGCAGCTGTTAACAGGCAGATATTTAAAAGTGAACTTAGACGTTACCTGACTTAGATATAGAGATACAATCAGAAATTTGGGTTTCGACAGATGTATAGATAATCTACCAACGGCAGAACATGCCAGGGGTGACACAACTTTGCAGGAATTCCATTCATTTCTGTCTGTGAGGCTTACTTAGACAGGAATTTACAGGCTAACACCGAGCAAGGACACGATATGTTAAAGCTGACCGTACTCGTCTGTCAGCTTCAGCAGAGCACACAGAGACAGACAACAAACAACCTAAATGGTCATTTGTAAACTGCAAATTAATATCTCCGCTGCGGGAGTGCATGTCACACTCGAGCAGTCACCAGGAGCACACAGAGGCGAGCGCATGTGCCTGCTAGTCTCATTATAATACGAGTCACAGGGAGCGCTGAAAGGTGTGGCGTATATGGAGCCATTAACATCTACAATTTCACTCGACCCCATTCAGATTTTGCAACGTGACTTACCGAGCTCTAACTGTCTGACCCCACGTTAACATTATACAAACGACAAGTTTGCAAGTAGATGAGTAAGCAAATCTCATCTGATTCTCAATGCAGCTGAATACTGAACACTAATGTTTTGAGTATAAAACTGATAAATTTGGCACATTTTATATTAAATGTCCATCCCTGGATCATGTCTGTAGATAGATTATGTTATAGACACAGTTTGCAGGAACTTTAGGGGACTTCTTCACCTCTTTCTGCCAGTGACACACCCTCTGCAGAAGCAGAAGCCTACCAGGTGCCTTAACGGCTCTCTGTGCGTCCTGACAAAAAACACCCAGCAAAGATGTTTCTGTCCACATTCACATCCATTATTCACTCCCTCAGCTGCCTCAATGTGCCTGTTAGGAGCCAAGGCATGTGTCCTAATTTCAACAAATGTGTTCAAGATATGCGTTACCACGTCAGAGCTTCGTCCTATCCCACTCAAGAGACGAACTAATCACCGGTATTTGTCTTAAAGGCCCCCCTCCCCCAAAAAACACCCTGGGCAAATAATTAAATATACAGGCCTACAACCAGAGGTTTCCCGTTTCCCTCCAGAGCCCGAAGAAGATTGAGTGTTCCGTTTCCAAATGGGCGAATGTGATACGGTACGTGCGCAGAGTAATGACAATACTACCGCTCGTGTGTCATGAAATATTAACAGAGGAACAAGTTAGGTTGTGGCTGTAAATTGCGTTGAGCAGACGAGCGGGGTGGCTGCATCAGACAACTGGACTCTGGCTGAGACGCGTGCGCAACCCTATCAACAAGGTGTGCCAGGACGCGTAGATAAATATTGAAAGGCAGCATTGAAAGAAAGCTGACACAAGTGACACTGTTGTGAAAATAAATAAATAAATCCACCCACTCGTGGAGCCAAGCTGTCACTGTGGTGGGCCCCTTAATAAAAAGCATAATGTGCGCAAAAGGTTCATTTTTGCGCAAAATGTGGCTTTTACGCGCGGCCCGGATGCCAACTGGAAAGACTTTGTTAGCTCATTCTGTCATCTCCAGTGCATTCACTTCAATTTTTGATAAGCTGCTCACATTTGATCGGGAACTTGACAACGGATCTACATTAAAATATCAAATATCTTTCCGAGAGGCACAGAGAGGGAGCATATGTTGATCAAACGCAGGGTGGATCAATGCGTGTAATGCACAAAATCCCCCTAAAACTATCATCTTGTACTTTTTTACAAAAGTGCAACGTGAGCCCAGCCACAGTGAAACCGTGCCGCAGCCACACCAAGTTTCATGGGATGGCTCTTTGCAAAGCCGCCTCCACCGAAACGTGGCAAAACACCCCACGAGCAAACCCAGCGGAGGAGAAACATAAGAAGAAGAAATCCAGAAAAGACGCATTCAACTCACCGTAAAGTCGTCTGAGGGGGACAAGTTGAAATAAATGCGCACAGTTTGGAGTTTCTTCCCTCTTCTCTGCCTTTCTAACGCTGCTTTGCGCGCAGGGAACTTGCCAAACTAGTAGGACTACAGAATCTCTTCCGTGATTTGGCTTTTTTTTTCTTTCCTTAAAACTTTTCCCCCTGACAAGTCAAAGGGCGTGTACCTGGAAGAGCGAGTGAGTGAGAGGCAGAGCTGGGAATGTGGAGGAGCGCGGGGCTTTTACGCTCAGCCAAAACGCAGAGAAAAGTGTGATCAAAAAATGATTTAACTCGTTTTTGTTTCAAACTGGAATTGTCTTTGGCTCGTGTGGCCAGCTGTGGCACGTCATGCGTGATTTGCGCAGTTTCACGCCTGCTCGCCAGGCTTGTGGCTTTGGAGCGGCGTCATCTGCAGGGACAAGGAGACGGGGCGGGTGGGATTACTTCATCTGCACAAAATCTCAGTCTCTCTCAAAAATATTTCACATATTAAAAGCAGAGAAACAAACATTTTACGGCTGAAGATATCACACAGAGTTACTATCCTGTCTATGGAGGTGGTGTCTGTTTTTTATGTCATGACAAGTTTCAGGGACACACATTTGAAATACCAAATTCTTTTGCACCAAAACTTCCCAACATGAACAAAACCACATTTGCAACCACAGATGACAGCTGAAGCGTCACTTTAGTGATTAACTCGTCCCACAGGACACTTTGGAAATGTGAGAATAAAAGGACTCTTCACCGGAGACCCAGTGTGGGTGTCAAAAGTGGTTCAAGACCTCAAACAGCCTTGCCAGATTCCTTACAGTGCTTTCAAGAACTTTGTTTTTAGATCCCTGCACAGATACCAGCTCACTGGTTCTTTCTAGGATGGATGACTTATATAAGCCCCCTGACTTGCTGACAAAGAGGCCTTCCCTATAGCCACAGACTCTAGGTGCCACTGATAAACACACAGCACCCAAGAGATGGGTGCCCTGCTCATTTAGTTATCAGACTCTTACAATCCTGTTTATGGAGGGGGTGCTTCTTCTTTTATGTCACAAGTGTGAAGGACCAACATTTGAAACACCCCCCTTTTTATGCCATAACTTCTAAACATGAACAAAACCATATTTTTCAATCATAAATTAGTTTGTGGCCATGATCCCTTCCCAAAGGTCCCTTTGGAAATGTGAAAATAAAAAGACTCTTCGCTGGAGAGCCAGTTTGGGTGGTAAAACGTGGTGCAAGACCTAAAGCAGCCTTGCCAGATTCTCAACAGTGCTTTCAAGAACTTTGTGTTGTTTTTAGGCCTCAGCACAGATAACATCTCATTGTTTCTTCCTATGGATGGATGAGAAGGCTTTAGGCTGTGGGAGCGCTCCTGACTACGAGGCCTTACCGAGAAGCCACAGAAACTACAGTGGATGCCACAGATATACACACAGCGCCCAGTCGACGGGTGCCCTGCTCATTTAGTCTTTCCCTTTGCTGCTGCTGACTTATTTGCCCATCATCACTCCTCCCACACTGGCACCTTAGCGTGTGTAATTTGGAGACAAAGGTCACATTTTCTTATCTCGCTGAAAGATCCACACTCTCACTTAGCCGCGCTTTTTTCTTTCTATCTTTGCAAAATTAAAACAGGCCTATGGGCCATAAAACAGCTGGGAAGCATGCCAGCACACATAACTCTGTCTAGACATCAGCATTAATATAAAGTGTACCTAACACCGAGAATTACCAGCGAAACAAGCAAAGAGCAATTTAACTTCAAGACAGGAGATGTCCTCCCAAACATGACAGGATGCATTTGATTCACTCATCTCTGTTACAGCCAAGCTAGGCCATGCTTTAGCATCACTGCTACTTTAATACATGGATGGGTAACTTTCTAGAGGCATTATGACCCTCTATGGAACAGGATATTGTCTGCATGCTGGAGCAGTGACGGCAGTGACACATATAGGGTTACAGGCCTCGAAATCAAGGCTGTAATTCACTGTGCGGCTTAACATCATACAGTGTGGTGAATGAATGACAGGAGACGGAGTGTTGGTGGCCTCGGGTTCAAGACAATGAAGCCTTTAATTCAATGCTCCCAAATGGTTAACTAAAGAGTTACACATGAGATAAATGAATTCAAATGCCTTTTAATTTAAAGCTGGACAGCTGCAATTGGGTTGATTGGTTGTCGCACAACCCAAGCTCTACTGGCCGAAGCCGCCCTGTTGGCTCGCCAGTTTTCCAATCAGCTGCCAGAACTCGGAGAAGGTCAGCTCGCCGTCGTTGTTTTCGTCCAGCGAGCTCATGAGCTGTTCGACGGCTGCCGGGCTGCTGAAGTTCTGTGGATGATCAAAGAGACTTGAATTAATGTAAGATCTCACAGTGAGCTGCTGCATCAGCTCCTCTGGAAGACTGTCCTGCCACCTAATGGTTGAGTGAAGTAACAAATACAACTGATGAAAGATAAAAACATAAAAATACAAAGTTCCCTCATGATGAAATCCTTCATAAACATATTGAATCTGTTGTATTGTATTTCTCCTGTTAGTACATATTCTGTATATCTGTATATATAAACCTACTATGTTATAATAACCATTATAACACATTCATATTTTGCACTTGTGTGGATAAACAGTGCTCAGCTTTCATGCAGATGCAATCTAACATCAAACTTTACACAACTTTTGAAATAACTGGTGACAAATTTGATTATCGGTAAATAATCAAGCAGTTATCAAGTAAATCTATTATTAACATCAACTTATGGAGGAGATGCTAATATTTAAGAAACGAGGCACTGACATTAGGTGTGTTATAATTAATAAAAAGTTATTCACTGATTATATATTATCACATAAAGTTATACATCTTATTCCTATGAGCTGCTAATTCATTTCCCTTGAAGACAGATAACAGTACAGTAACATGTAAAAGCAATTATCCTCAGTAATATGTCTGAATAACAGTTTGGAGATGTCACCTTAAAGTTGCTTAATAAACCTGTTTGTTTTAGTCTGTCCGTGATCAGGAAGAAAAGACGACAGAAATCAGCAGGAAGATATTCTGAGATCTACTTCAGCGTCGTACCTTGGCGTAGTTGGGCAGCTGGGAGGTCAGCAGGTTCTGGAATTCGTCTTTGCTCAGGGTGCTGGTGGATCCATCCTTCCCAGCGTACTCCTTGAACTGGGTGACCAGGGTGCAGATGGCAGATTCCATGGTGGATCGTGACCTGAGATAAACGAAGGAGTGAAACATCATTCACAGAAGAAATAAGTCAAATATTGAGATATGTTGTAAACCGGTCGCTGAGATCTCACCTGTTGTGTTGAGATACTGTCTGGTGCGTTACAGCTGGTCCCAAGAACCTCGTCCTCTCCACTCTGACATCACCTCTCTGAATATATATGCTTCATACTGATGCTCACATCAGCGGAAAACACTCGACCTTCCCTCTTCTCCCTCATCCAGCAGACTGTCCTTATCTGCCTGATTTCCACTAGCCTGAGGGTACACATCAGAAAACTGCCACTTCGTCCTGCAAAGGACAAATTTGTACTGATGGTAGCACAAAACCCATTTTTAGTGTGTTTACAGAGCAAAGGATTTGGTGATATCATCCTTGTCAGGCCATTGTAATCAAGAGACAGAATCATGTGCCTCAGCAGGAATTAGTTTATACATAACACGACAGGAGGAACACACACTATGTCATATAGGCTACATCGTTCAGGAGGAAAAGTGAGTGTAAGCGCTTTCTCTCGTTTCTTTTCTCAATATTGTCTGCTTGATATTTTGTAGTTGGAGATCAACTTGCACTTTAAATGTAGTTTAGTTTGATGTTCTCAGCCATGAACGTTGAGGTTATTGAGAGAAAATGCTCTCGTAGAAGAGGAAAGAATAAAGTACAGAAACATGCAGAGATGCCTACATGGTGACTTGTTCGAGGTAGTCGAAGAATGACAAGAATTCTGCATACGTTCATAGAGACTGCTTGTTCTCAATCACTGCTTACATTCTCCTTCACCTGCAACTCAAGTCAATGACCAGCGGCCACGCAGGCCTGTTCCTGTGTGGCAACAGGCTAGAAGTGATTTGTATCTGTAAAAATGTGAGTTCCTGTTCAGTGTATTTAGTCTGGTTGTAAATATTTGCCTTGCATGCTAGCATATCTGTGAACAAGGTATTGTTTTTCGCCCCAGTGTTTGTGTGTGAATGTACAAAATGACTCAACAATGCATGGGCAGATTTTCACCAAACCTGGTCAGAATTTTACTTCAGAGTGTATCTCTATGTGATAACTGTTTGGAGCTGATTGGTCAAAGGTCAACAAAAATATGGTCGGAAAAACAAATTTTCCAAGATTCTGCGCAAACTATTGTCTAAAGTCATATGGTGCATACATTTTTTCAACCAATAACATTAGAGACACAATCTACAGCTTATAGCCATCGTATCATATGGTATAAAATGACATCATGATGACATCATTGTGGATTGAGGTCAGTATAAAAAAAATGTAGCATTGCCTGTTCAGCGAGTGCTGATTATACAACTGAACTCTGATGCTCTTTAATGAGTCTATGATAATAGCTGTGATAATAAATACTTGTCAGTCATACTGTCACTTTCACTTTCTATCTGACACACACGGCTGAGTATCATTGTAAATCTTTCAGGACTAAAACACAACTCACTCAGACGATGTATTGTGTAATATCTTCTTTGATTATCCCCCCACTAATAATGTTTTTTCAATTAAAAAACAGACACTATTAACATAATGGTGAAATATTTTTATTGAACTTAACACTGACTTCCTAAAAGAGGACAAGACTCCAAATTCATCCAAATTTAACAATACATCTGTCCAGGGATCAATAACATGCACATCATGGACCACATTGTCAGTAAACACACAGCCTTACTGTTGTCCCACAAAGACAAACATACGTCTCAAATATTAACTTTCATAAATGTGTTTCATTAAAGGATTCATTAAACTTTCTCTTGATCCCTTCAGTCTAAAAAAAGAAAAAAGGAAAAACACTCCTCACAGCGGAAAAAAATTCTGTTCAACACATCATAAACCCTTTGACATTCATTCTCTGCCTTATGATTGCAAGTAGTGTAAACTTTTTCATTATCTTCTCATCCTCGCAGAAGCAAAATAAATCAAATATCTTTTTCAGTCTAACCTTATTTGTGATGATAAAGGCACATACGCAGTAGCTGGCAAACTAAATTTCTGTAAACTAAAGGAAAACGTCAACAGTTTCACATTTAAAGTTTATGATCTGCAACAGAGTGTGGCAATTCTGTCGAATAAGGAAAAGTGTTGCAGTGTAGTTGACAGAATAAATAAATATTTTACTCTTCAAAGCTTCTTTCAATCTCAAAAATAGCTGAAAAATGAGAAATAACAATCACAATCTGTCGATTCTAACTTCACATCCCCCCAAAGAGGGAAACTTGCAGGATATCAAACATGACTACGAATAAAAGAACTATCTCTATTAAAGCGTAATGCTACGATGCCTTATAGACAATGTTGTGTACCATTCTTGTACCTTTGCCTGGTTTATTCAACTCATTCAAGCAGCTTCTAGCAGCTTCCTTATTTTTCTACTGACTAAATGTCAATTTGCATCAACAAAAAAAGGAAAATGAAATTAAAAGACTGATTTGTTTGCCAACTTCATTTAGACAAATGAACAAATCCATGACATGAAGCACTTTGGGGAAAACTAAAAATAACTCAAGTATAGTAAATGTAGATCTTGGGATGGACGTCCTCATTGCTACATTTTAAAGAAAGTATTCAGGAAAACCGGTGGACTAAAAAAAGTAAGTAACTAAAATGTAAATAAAAACGTTGCTGTAAATGTGAATGTTTGAGAAAAGTGCTCAAGTGATTTAGCAGTCATCACTTCATCTGTGGCTGTACATTTCTAATCGGTTTGTCCTATAGCTTTTTTCTTTGAGCAGCTTCACAAAATGGTTCCTGGTTGTTCCACACATCTGCTGTCAACTGGCAGTTGGAAGTTGGAACATGAAAAACCTACTTTAAATCTAGAGGCCAAACACTTGGGGCTCTATAACAGTGCTCTGTGTGTCTTTGTCTGTGTGTGTGTGTGTGTATGCTGCTCACAAAACAGGTTTGACTTGATCTTATTCTTATCACCGAAAGAACCGGGATCTCATCCTCTGGGATCAAACAGTTACACCCAACTTGACGGCAGAGAGATAGTATCAGCAAAAACCTCTGAGCCTTTGTTTTAACCTGTTTGGAGCAGAGACCGGTTGATAAGGGAGAAGTACTTACGGGTCAATTTAACACGTCCTTCTGTATTTGACGACTAATCTAATATGACATGAACTGTATGAATAGATTTAACCCTTTTCCACTGGTGCTGAACAGAATTATTTGCAAATACCATCTCCTTACAACCCTATGTTATAGTGTGATGTGAATATTATAATTTTGAATTTACATTATGAGCTGCAACATGCACTAGGTACTGAGAAAACACTATATAGCAGAGGAAAACCCACACAACACATGACTGAAGGACTTAGGAAAGCAAGACCTGACAGAGGTAGCTGACAACAACTAAGTCCAGAATGACACGTACGAGTCTAGCTTATAATTAAAGACTCGAAGGGTCACATTTATGAGAGGCACAACCACTCTACGCCAGAAGCTACTACAATTACAGCTCTGAAGAGGAGAGGGTAGGCGAGAGAAGTCCTACAAAACCACCACTTGTGCTGCACCCTAGTGTTGTATTTTACTCCTTTTCTCAAACGCGTCTCAATTCAAGCTGTGGCGGCAAACTTCCAGAGGGCTTCTCGTTCAAACTCCTCCATCTCCTCCTCCAAGGAGTCATTGTCCTTCTGCCCGTCGCCCTCCAAAACGTCCACCATGTCCTCCAGAATGTCCGCTACGTCCTCAGCGAAGTCGCTGAAACGAACCCTGTCGTGGATAAACACGCCGTCCTCAAAGAACTCCGCGGTCAGCTTTCGAATCTTGTCCTTGTTCTCGGACATAGAACCCTCCAGCTTGCTCAGATAGCCCTCCAGCAGTTCCTCAAACTCGGGCAGCTCCACGGCGTAGAGCCCCTCCTTGCTGGCGCAGTCGTCCACAGAGATGCAGCCCAGCTGGGGTTTGAAGTTTCGTCTGAGCTTCTGCTCCTGCTCTCTCCAGAAGTCGTTCTGGTTGTATTGGTGATTCTGGCGGGACTGGTGATGCTGATGTTGATGATTGTGGTGGTTGTGGTTGTGATGGTGAGATTTTTTACTCGGCTGGCTGTGCCACTGCTTCTCCTTCCTCCTCTCCTCTCTGTCCATCCTGCGCTCGTCCTTCTTCTTCTCCCACTCGTCCTGGTGTTTCCTCCATGCTTCTTTGTGCGAGTTTTGCTTCTGAGGCTTCCACTCCTCCTTCTTCTTTTCGTCTTTCTCCTTCCATCCTCCCTCTTTGCCGTGCTTCCACTCTTTCTCTCCTCTCCACTCTTTCTTTTCTTCTTTCTTCCAGTGGTCCCGATCGTTGTTTTTACCATTGTTCCCTTTCCATTTGGAATCCTGTGGCTTCTTCTTCCCCCACCTCTCCACTTGATCAGAGAGCGTCTTCTGGATCTCCTCCAAACTGTCCCTGACGTGTTTCCTACTGCCGCCATCTTTTTTCATCCCCTCCAGTCTCTTTCTGCTCTCATCCAAAAGCACCTTCTGTCTCTGGAGTTCCTGCTTCAGCCTGCCTCCCTCATTCGTTTCCTTTCTCCTCTCAGGTCCAGCTGGTTTCTGGTCGCTCTGACCATCTTTGACACCGGACTGAGGAGCTGGACCAGGAGTCGCTGGAGGCATATTTTGATCAACTATGAAGGAAGTATAAGATATTAAAGTTAAATTGATAGTTAATTATATCAGAGAAGATTATCACTGAGAAGTTTTTTTAATGCATAGAACGCTTATTTTTTGCATTTTCATTTCAATAAATCTTAAATGACGATGTATTAACTTGATTTACTACACATCATACCTGTGAGCTGGTTGAGTTCTGTCACTCTAGACCTCAGACTCTCCAGCTCTTTCTTTAGTTCTGGCAGAGACAACAGCTCCTCCTTCAGATTTGCATTTTCTTTTTCCAGATCTGCTTTACCTTTCTCATCTCCGCTTTCTGCCACTGCTGTAAGCGCTGAGTCCAGTTCTTCTTTCTGAGACTGAAGATAAAGAAAATAGACGGTTAAAGCTTAGTCTCTTAATCACATCCAGCTTAGACACAATTTGGAAAAGTATTTAAAGTTAACATGCCATATATATATGGCAATGCAATGAGAAATCATGGCCCCAAAGAACAACATCATTTGCATGAATATGACTGTAGACTGACCTGCAGTTGAGCCTCTAGCAGAGCAATGTGTTGGTTTTCCTGTGTCAGTTTATCCAATAACTCTTTCATATCCTGTGGATCACCGCTAAGCCAGTCCTGGATTGAAAATCATTGGCAAATGAATAATACAAATATTTCGAAATAATCCCGTCTTTTTATCTTATCATTTGTCTGAAAGTTGTGAGTTTTCTTTAAAGACCACTACGAGTGAGTAAATGGAAAGAGAGACAGTGGAACAGACCTGGCTTTGTTCTCCATCGCTCAGTTCAGAGGCGTCAAAGTCACCTGTCAGATAAGAAAACACATCTTTCACACAAGTCTGACAACAGACTGATTTATTGACACAGCTTCCAGGCTGTCGTACAGCAACATAAGCTTCTTTTGTTGTGAAGTGCATTTTCTGAGGCCAGACCACAGCTACACAGAAACTATTTATTTAGACAGATTATTTGAAATTACTTTTGAATGGGGTGATATATTTATTTTACCAAGCTAATGGCCTGCACCTCAATTTAAGCACTCTTAGTGTCTAGTGAGCCCTTTCAAAATGACAAAGAGTGCTATGGTACAGTTAGAAATGCTTGTTATTAACCACTGCATGAAGTGTTAGGCTGGATAAGTGCTTTGAGAAGCTACTGAGTATCAGCCAGCTGGTGCAGAAGCTTACACTGCTGTCTAATCTAGTACTGGACGTACCATAATCCAGGTCAGAGGGGAAACCTGTTGACACAGTTCAATTTAGTCAACAAGATCTGAGAACAGACACCGTACTGCTGCTGAAAACAAATAAAATGCTTAAGTATTTTAAATACTAGCATTCTCAAATAAGTTAATGTGAAATTATATTAACTTCTGACAATTTTTACAATAAACCCTAAAACTGTCCAGTCTATTGCAACAGGTACAAGCAGGCGCACTGATTCTGATGACGATGCACAGAGAGCAAAAACAGTCGAAAAGCATTATTTAGTGTTAGGTAATAAATAATCTCTGCATGATTTGGATTCTGCATGTGAATGTGCAGAATCTATAGGGGAGGGTCAAGATTTTGGGGCCGGACGCCTTCTGGTTTCTGTTTCTAGTTTTTTCAATCACGTTTGAGCAGGCTTTGGTTGCCCACAAATAGTCCGTGAGGAGAGCAGAAGAGTGAAACACATTGACTGAAGTGCATCAGCTATCTGCTTTTTAATTTATCAGCATTGAGCAGATAGCTGTAAATACAGATAAGACACAAAATATTGGCTGTTGCCCCCAGAGGCTAGTTTGTCTTCAGACGATAGCCAATGGGCTCTGAGATTGGGTGATATCATAATCTTGTCTGATGTTATAAAGTAGCTGTGAGCAACAGTAGCAACTTTCACTTTATCTGACCATAAAAGCAGAAACACACTGGCATGCTTTGTTAGACGTGAGGGGAACTCACCTGAGAGGAAGAGGGAACCTAAAAAGAGCAGGATCAGGGCTCCCACAATGCACTTGTTCAAGGAGAACCATGGCTTCTCCTCCTTCACTGCCAGCTTGAACTCCACTTCCTCGTCTTCGTCATCCTCATCTGACGTTCTTGATCTCGGCGCCTCAAAAGACGGGATATTCCTCCTCCTCACGCCATCATCAAAGCCGCTTGTGTCGCCAAAACTAGTGGATGGCTCTGAGGAAAGTAGAAACATAACAAAGAGGAAGCAATGAGCGACTACAACAAATCATCTCTACATATTTGGCAACAGCAGAAATAAAAACTAGACTTATTTCCAAAATCATAATTATCTACAGGCCGTGAGACTGTCTCGCACAAAACACTCAAAAGTATGTGAACACATGTGCTGCAGAACTCAACAGTGTGTAAACTGTGTAAAAAAGACGATAAGTTAGTGCTGCTTGGGGAAGTGGATGACATTTACCCACTAAATTACAACAACAGTAATTTCATGCATGGGAGTTTTTTATTTTCTTAGCTGGGTGTGTGCCTCTCTGTAATACTGATGAATCTCTCTGCAGCTGTTGGTGTGACACAGAGAAGAAACATGTTAATCAAATCTGCATGAAGACTCTCATTTCAATTTTCTTATTATAAAGAGCCACAAACCACTTACTTGCCCCCCACAGGGGCCCCAAAAGGCCCCATGTTCTCTGTGTGGCGGCTGGTAACCAAATATCATATAACTTGGTTATATGACTTTGAAAAGAACAAAATTAACCGACGGGCCATGGACTTTAAGATGAGTCCTGCTTTGTTACCTGGTCTTGATTCTATGATTAAAAATGTTTGTGTGTATTTTTACATAAGCTTGTGTTTAAAAATATCCCACAGCAAAGACATATATTCCAGCATGGACACAAACTGTACAAAAGCCCTGAGGCCTCACAGCAGGTTGTTCTAGCTTTGACCTGCTCTGCTCTTCTGCACAATAATTCAAGTACTTTCAAGTCTTTTATGTACTGCACTACATATATTCTTGGGTTTAAGGTGATTGATGCGTAACACCAGTGCTGCAAGTGGCAGAGAAATAGTAGATAAATGATTTGACACACAATATAAATGTTATTATATGTAGAAACACTGTGTTCGTCTATGGCCTGAAGTGAACTGGAAGTGTTGAGACATGATGTAGTGATTGTTCTGCTTGTCTTGAATTTATTTTCCTGTTTCCTTCTTATAATAATAGTAATCTTCCTGTCTGGTATTTGTTTTGTTGTGAGGATATTAGCTATCTCTTCAACTATGGGCCAAATTGCAGTGGGTGAACAATGAATAAGTTTCTTTCTGTGCTTTAAATCCCTCTCAAAATAATATATAAATACATTTAGGGAGAATCAGTATGCTTATATCCAATCCATCATCTATTATATAATTTAATGCACCAGTAGTTTCAGTTCCTTTTGGCTGGAACTACAGTCTTACGTGATTATGAGCAGTTCAAACATTTAATGGCATTTTCCTGTCATTGTTTCATTTGAAGGTTTATGGAAGGGCTGACCAATTGAAAGCATCTAATTCTTTACAAGAAACAAAAATTTAAATTAAATAAAACCTAAGGCCAAAATTTGGAACCGCTGTTTTAGAAAATATGTACTGAAAATGTCTTCAAAAATAAAGTTTACTCTGTGACAACTTGTCTGGCATGCAGCATCCATTCCGTACCGTCTTCTTCTTCTCTCTCGCCCGGCTCCCCTGTCTCCCATGTCTCTGTTGCCTCCTCTTCTACTGCTGCCTCCTCCTCTGCCTCTACTGAACCAACAGTCTCTGGTGCAGGACTTTCATCGACGGGCTCCTCTGACACCAGGGTCTCTGGGGCTGGGCTTGGCAGCTCTGTGCTTACTGGAGCAAAGCTAATATCAGCATCGACATGAGAGGGAGGACTGATGGCCGTAATGGTCTCTGTGGCAACGTTAACCTCAGGTTCAACGTCGTAGACCAGACTCTCCTCAGCGGGGCCCACAAGATCCTGCTCTATATCAGCAGGCGTGTCAAATGTTGGGCTTGTAGAGACAGGGAGATCAGTCATGGGAGAAGAGCAGGACTCCTCAAACTCAGATGGGGGTAGTTCAGCAGCAGAAATATCAAGTGGAGCCCCCAAATCAATGTTGGTGACAAAGGGTATGGCTCCTAGGAGTTCATTGTCACTGCAGGGCGAGCTGGTGTCAATCTCATGAATCACTGGAGGCTGACTCTCCAAGTCGAGGTCTGGGGGGTCCAGGAGGTCGTGTGGAAGAGGACTCACCTGGGCTGGACTAGAAGAGATAGGACCTTCACTGGACTCTGGAGAGGTCTCCTGACAAACCTACAAGTAAAAACAGTAGAGACAAAAAATACATTTGCAAATACTATACTTTTTTTTTACTTCATTGCAATCAATGTGTCTTTTTTGCATTAAAGTCATATGATTTTGTTTTTCGTGCACCCGTCTCACTAACCCTTCGTTGCATAAAGTATATGTCTCTCTCGTTTGGTGGATTCCTATACTGCTGCAAGTGACAGTTTCAAGAGAACAATTCTTAGCTGTTACATTTATATTGAGCATAGACAGTGACATATAAGAATGAGAAAGTTAACCAAGTTAAAAAACAGCATTTGTACAAGCATTACACTCTATTGAGCACTGAACACGACTGAACACATTTAAATCGACTTGTTTCTATAAATATGTGCAAATTAGTGAGGCCTGATTGAATTTAAGTGGACTATTGGGCTTTGGTGGAGATACATGCTCTACTGAGTTCCAATGTAATTATATTAAAGATCTGACATGTGCTTAACTGTTAAAACTAAACTGCAGTTACAGTATGCTGGAGAGTAAGTGTGTAAGTGAGGTCAGATGACATAATCAAACAAGAAAGTACACTAAAAATGAACAGTTGTATATAACTTTGTTGTACTTGATCAATTTTTTTGTATTGGCATGGTAATAAAAAACAAATTAGCCTCTGTACTAAATAAGCTTATTACTTTGTTTATTGTGTACTAACCTGATGGCCTTCCTCAGACAGGACAGTTTCAACTGGAATGTCACTTGGCTTGAACTCCACAGCAGCTCCTGAATTAATATCAACACAGAGTCAGACTATGGTTTCTTTAATATGAAATGTATGATGTCTTAACCCATAACCACAGATCTTTTGAATGCTCCAGTCCTCTTCGCTGTCAGTACCTGCCAACTCCTCGGAGAGACTGGGGACGTCACCCAGGCTCTCGGTGCCGTCGTCCACAGGCCCGACATTCTCAACAGCAGCTTCCTGTGGAGTAAGACGATCCACAAAGGTCAGGCTTCCTGCATTAAAATTACCACCTATAGAACACATATTTGTAATGCTGACCTTGACATTTACAGCACAACCATTAAAAGGGCAAATGCTCGCCTATGCACATAAATGCCTGGACTGAGGGATGTAGTGATTACTCCAGTAGGTCACTGTTTCATTTTTTTACTTGTGGCGTGCCATGCTGTTGTCTTGATTGAACGATAGGTAAGCAATAATGATTTCTGACAACTGCTGCAACAAACTACAGTTAGTTTGGCTTGTTGTCAAATCAAATGTTATACATGCTTATATATAATTCTCAATTTCTAAATGAATATTGTGAAGTATACACTATGGATTAAAATGTGTCGTGTTGAGTCCTCTTCTCTCACTGATATAAATGGAATGTAAACTAAATGTCATTCCTCTGTGCAACATATCAAAATTCAACAGCACCACATGCTATGGACTATGAGTCAACAATCAACCAAAGCTGAGCACTATAACCATCATGAGGGTAGAATTATTTTTGAAGGGCTGCTGTATTAGCCTCCATTAGTTTTAATAAGGAGTTCTTAATTCAGTTTATGTAGTTTAACAAATAGAAGTAGCTGAAAATATCAGTAATTCTGTCCTCAATCATCTGATTTAACACAGTCACAAAAATACCTGCACATAAATATACCATAACAACAGTCAGTGGCTTACAGATTAATACATAAACACCCATTTCATGATTGTGCACTGGACTTAGACACTATCACATCTCACACTGCAGGTTCAGACATGTTATACCAGACAGGGTCCAACGTGACATCCAGGCCCACGGATCTCCAGGCACTCCACCCCCCCTGATCTGTGCTCTGGGATCTTACCTCGGGGGAGAGGAGGGTCCAGCTGTTGGTCGAGGACGCACTGCTGCCTGTGCTGTTGCTGTGGTCAGACATCGCCGCCTGCAGGCTCACTTTGGCACAGCACGGTTGCAGATTCAGCTCGGTGATATTCTGCAGACAGAGACGAGGTGAACATGCCTGAGGCATACGACACGATCATTGTTGGGGTTAAAAGTATCACGTGCAAGCATTAATCTGACTGTAGCTTGGTTATTATAGACATAGCAAGTAGAATATGCATTGAGAATCAGGTGATGTCTTATCGCCTGCAGTATTTTGGTGGTTGTTACATAAAAGACAGTCTAAGAGAAAGATATTGTGCATTTAAGTGACAACTTGGGAGCTAAATCGTCGCACACATGGAATAAGAAGCAGATTGTCGTTGTTATGTAACAATATGGTGGCGCCCACATGATAGAGCTGCGCAGTTACACAGAAGCTTCAGATTAAACAAGAAGCTGCTGATCACATTGACTTCCAGCCAAACGGAGTCCTCCATTGATCCAGAGCCCGTGTCCGTCCTCTCAGTCAAATCACCAAACATGGTGGAGAACCACCGTGATGCAGCAGCGAGTCATACTCACTTGACGATTGTCTATTCAGCTGCACCGACAGGGTGAGAAATGATGGTCTGTGGTTGTTGTAAAAACCAAATTCAAGGTTGGGACGTGATGGTAAACAAAGGATGGAAGACGGGGCTCTATCTCCCACTCCCACTCTTCCGCGTTCCCACTCGGGCCCCCACCGCCGGCACCTCGCCTCAGAAACACCCGCTCCTCTCGCGTCAGGTGGAAAACAAACCTGGGGTTTTATTTACCGAAGCTCCTCGTCGCTGTTTCCTCCTCGTCGCGTTTTGTTTGGGTTATTTCTCCGCTTCTCTCTTCCGCTGAACTTGGGAACTTTGGGAATTCCACGCTGCGTCACGTCGACCAATGCGCCGTCTCGTCCAATGGGATCCCGGCAAAGCCCTCGCTAGGCCCGCCCCCGGAGCGAGGCTGGACCAATCGGGTGAGAAGTGTCGCGTCAGGATAAAGAGACAGGCTCCGCTTGATTGACAGCTGCAGCTGGAGGAGGCCTGAGTGTGTTTGATAATGCAGCTACATGTGTGACCCATGCACACACACACTCTCTCACACACACGTACATATATATATACTGCAGGGAGAGGCTGCCTGCACCAGCCACACACTGACACGTCTGCAGAGTTATATTTACACCCAGGGACTTTACCACAGTGGACAACCCCTCCGCTCCTATTACTCCTTTGTGGACGTCCATTTCATCATCTGACTCCTTCTCTATTATTAGTCTGTCAACTGTTTTTTCTTTGATAGGCACATGTACACGTTTCTTTGCTGTCAGGCCATCGTGTTCCTAAACTTGCAGTCAACTCAGCAACCCTCTGCAAATCCGTTTTCCTGCCTGTTTGCAGTTTATTTGGAAAAATAGCCGAGACACACATGGTACAATAACTGTAATGTACATTTACTAGTCACACACACTCCATACAGTTAAAGTTCTTACTTGATTTGCAATGAATGTCACACTGCACCTTTCAATTTATATACTTTTAGTTTTCTATTGTATTGTATGTGACCCTTTTTTTAAATAGTAAGCTCTTTCTATTGCACTGCTGAGCTGAACGGTTTCTACTTGTCCAACAACCTTCATTGTACTGTTGAGCCTGTGTAAACTGCATATGACAAATAAAACTTGAAACTTGAAACTTACTTTTACGAGTCTGCACAAGACTGCTTTAGCCGACAGCAATCAAATGAAGCAGGCAACTTTCCAGGGGCTCCGTGAACCCCATGTTTTATTCATGTCATTTTTGGTAAACATAATTTGATTTCTAATGAATTTGTTAGAAGTTTTACCATTAAAGAATAATATCAAATGTGACAGGCCTTCTTGGCAAGTTTACTCTAACATGAAATGTTGCCAGTTATTTCCTGTAAATCAACTAATAATCGTTTCAGCTGTACAGTACTGAAACTGTCATATATAATGAGGGTCTAACGTTATGTTTTATCAGGTTAATGTGGGTAAAATCAAGACCTGGGGTGTGCCAACGGGGAAAATGCCTGGGGTCCGAGGCTGAGAGGATATATATGATATATAATGTACAGAGTACTGCAACAAAACTATGGTGCTAATGTCATGTATGTATGAACAGTTTTTAGTTTATCTATCTATCTGTGTCACTGGTTATGCAATAACATGAAACTGTGTCATATTTGAATTTGGCCTCGTGGCTCCATATCAAGAAAACCTCCAGCCAATCAGAAGGCGGTGTCTAGATTGCGTCGATTTCCTGCGACTGACCGAACTGACCAATGGCAGAGGAGCTGTTCACTTCGATTGGCCAATAGGAGGAGGCGAAGTGTATTTGAACGGTGAGGAGCGGGCTCGCCGACATTCGAGAGGGAAACAAAGGAGGCGGAAGCATCCCGCAGCTGTGTCTTCGTCAAAAGCTGGAATAAGTGACCGATAACAGCGTCAGGACAACTTGTCAACTATCAAGGTAAGTGCTCCACGCGTATGTCTGTGTCGCGCATCCGCCCAAGTTGTCAGAGATAAAACTCTCTGCTAACTTCAGCGACGTTAGCTTAGCCCAGCTCCCTTAGCATGGAGACTTGGACCTCGCTGTCATGCTACAAGCTAATCTGTTGAGCTAATCTGTTCTGTGTGTGATCGTGAATGTTGACTAACGGGAAATAAAACCTCTACCAACAGATTGCATCATGTCTAACAAACAGATCTACTACTCTGACAAATATGACGATGAGAAATATGAGTACAGGTGAGTACCACATGTACTTTATCTGTGTCAGTGTGTCACTGTTATCCCACAACAAATTAAAGTCTATCCAAGGTAACGTTGTACTGAATCTATCGTGGTTTATGTCCCACTACACCTCCATCTTTCATGTCTGATGCAATTATTTTACATTTCTGTTAATTGTCTCTTTATCCCTCCACAGACATGTAATGCTGCCCAAGGACATTGCAAAGCGTGTACCCAAAACCCACTTGATGTCTGAGACCGAGTGGAGGAACCTGGGTGTCCAGCAGAGCCAAGGATGGGTGCACTACATGATTCACCAGCCAGGTATGTCACCTTGATGCTGGGACAGGGAGCACGTGATTACGACTGACCTGAAAATATGCCAGTAATAAAAAGCGGCCGTGAATATCGTGTTGCTATGAACCTGATTCTGTTGGTCAACTCTTCTGTCAAGGTCCTCAGCCGTTGGAACAATATCCCTGAGGAGGTCTCTGTTAAATGCCTCAAAGACGTATTTTTATATGTCAGCTTTTTCCTAGCCCTGATATTAGTTTAGTTTAATCATTAAATAATGTTTTAATTTTATCTAGGGACAAGGACTGACTAACTCATATCTGTTCGGTTTTGATTTTCCCCCAAACAAGCTGTTGGGTTTCCGCTACGTTCCATGTCGTGTTACTGCTGCATGTCTTCCCTCCTCACACCTAATCATTCATTATTTGTAAAACTTTGAAATAATAGTGATATTGATTTCTACTCGTATCACCCAGCCCTGTTTTTTATCTTGTCTTCACTCTTTACTCAGCTGTAATGATTTTTATTTCTGTATCTGTGCTCTATTGTTTTTTTAATAGTTTCTTATTTGCTTATAACTGTCTCCCATTGTTTGCCTTACATTTTTAACTTGTAAAGCACCTTGTTACTGTGTTTTTAAAGGGTACTATACAAATGAAGATTATAATTCTATTGCTGGAATTAGTAGCAGGCCATCACCAGAATTTTGTTTGTTAATATCATTGGAAGACAAGTGTCTGAGATTTGCTTTGCACTAAAATCTTTATCGAGACTTTGCAAATCGACCTGAAGGGGCCAACCTGTAATCGGAAGCTGTAGGCTTGAAAGTGTTTTAATATATTTTTCTTAAAGTACAATACCATAATTAATGAGCTGTCACTGGGTTTTGGCTTTAATAAAATGTGAAAATTGATTAGAATCTGCACCAAAGTAAAGGATGGTACAGGGTTAAAGTTTCTGTATGTTCTAAGAGATATTGTTTTGATTGTACTGATCATAACTGAAACTAGGCACATGACACAGTATAGAAGACTAAGGCTATTCATCTTGTTTAATAATCGTGTTTTTTATTCAACTGATCTCTCAGGCTACTCAGAAAAAAAGGGAAAATTCATGCCACAGTTCCATGATCCTAACGTTGCTATTTATATTTATCAAGATGGTAAGTGTTCTTTTTCTAGTTTGATCAGCTGAGCAAATGATTGGCTTTTCCAGCTCTTAAAAGGACACCAATTTGCGCGTCAATTTTAGCCCGTTTGGTCTCTTTGATTTATGAAGAGTATCTGGCCTTTAAATGTGCACTTACAACCTTGCTGAAGAGGTGTGGCAGTTTATTGGTTACCATTCCAAAAAGTTTGGTGCCAACAAGCATATGGACAACAGATGTGAAGTCACACCTTCCATTCAAAAAAAAAAAAAAAAATGGTGTCATGGCAGTTCCAAGAGTCAAGTTTCCCCACTAAGAAAGCATCACAGGTGTTAAAGTATGATTATATCTGCTGACATATCGCCTTTCTCTTTTTCTTTCACCTCCAGAGCCGCACATCTTGCTGTTCCGGCGCCCTCTGGTCAACCAAAAATCCTAAGTGAGCGACGCTCTGGGTCCTCAGAAGATCAGCCCCACTTATGTGATAGAGATCAACGCATCAGAATAGGGATCATGCTGTCAGACTACCAGGCTCTTTTGTGGTAGGTGACTTGTAATTTGGGCCTGATCACGGTGGACCTGGATAAGGACTTTCACACTTATGAACAGTGGTTGTGGAATGGAGTATGCGTTGAAGGAACAAAATCGTCACCATTCTCATGGGAAAAAGACTTGTGCACGTGTTAACAGCAACACACTGTTTGCCAGAACCAGATCAGCCAACACTGTCCCTTTGACTGAATCTGTCTGTCCAACTTGCCAAATCTGCCTGGACATTTGAGCTTTTTAGAACAATTGTTAAAAGATGTGGGAAATCAAACTTGTACCAACATGTGAGTTATTCTAACAGAGTACATTCTGGGTAAAGCTCAGGTCACAGCACAAGACAGGTAGGAAAGTTGGATCCTAAATTCAGTTTCACTCAACTTTGAAATGTCAAACTGGGGTTTTAAGTGACATATTGCTGCTCTGTTCAAATGACACTGTAAATCAGCATTTAACAATTTGTCATATACATGAAAAGCTGCATCTATAGTTGTCATCTAGAAACTAGTTTTGTCCACTTTTTCCTGAAGAGCGTTCATCAGATTGAGACCTACTTTAAAACACACTTTTTTGATGGACGATTGTACTAGTGAGCTGCTCAGTATTTATGAATGGTTTGACACCTCTGAAATAAATGTAAACTTTTAAATCTCATTAGTGTAGATGTGTGTCTCTAAAGTATTTGGAGTTCACACTTACTATATGGTTATGCAGGACCACTTGACTCGTAAGATGCATGCTTAAAAAGATAAAATAACGTCAGTTGGCGGCTCTAATAGCAAACGCGACCCTACAATGCTCTTATAGAATAAGTGGAAATTACCGAATCAGATGTTGGAAAGGCTGCCGCATGTATTTGTTGGGTATTGTATGAGATAGCATTTCAGGCACTTTTTCTGGGACATTTCTCATTTTGAATACTTGCACCCACCTATAAGTACTCATCTGTCGATGCCTTACTTCCGCTCACTGCGCTGCTCTGCTGTCACTTGATGATTTTTGCCTTAAAGTTCTTCAGTGGAGTTGTACTTTTTGTTGAGTCTTAAACACGTGCAGGCACAGAGCTGCTTTTCTTTTCAGGGTCATTAAATCCATATGGGGAAAGTCGTGATGTATTATCTGAAACTGAAATCTCATATCTTTGGATTTAGTGTGTATGAAGGGGTTTGACCCGGTCTGTTAACGCTGACTACTGGATTACTACAGATGAAGTGTAGAATTGATCAAGTCTCACTTTGCATTGTAACATGTTGCAGCTGCATTGAAATGGGGGGAAAAAAATGTACTCGTCTGTTTTGCAAAATGTTTTTGAATAGTCGGCGCTGGAATATCGACAGATAACTTCACTTTAATCTCTTATCTTTTATCCAATCATGTGGTGTATGGTACAAACAAACTTGACCAGACAACAGCATGAAATTCTTTTGAATACGCTCTTCTCATGTTTCCTGTCTCTGTCAAATGTAAAATAAAGGAAGCTCACTTTGGGGCAGTAACAGGTGATTTTAATGTCCTTTCCAACAGCCAACAACAAATTTCTGTTAAGAAAAATTTGTGCACCTCATGTGCCATCACATTATTGTATTGCATTCATTTCATGCAAATGTAATGTGAAAATGTGCATATGGCACAATAGAGCAGGAAAATCAATCAGACTTATTTTAACATCTCTTTGTGCTTATACCTCCTCAGCAAATAAAATATATTTAAACCTGGTTTAATGAAAAAATGTTTTCTTATACAGCTGTTTAAGTACATTAAAATATTATATACTAGGTTTTCAATATGTTTAGGTAGGTTTGTAATTATTTTATCGCTAATTCAATTGTGCTTGGAAATTAGTTTTCCAAGAGAGCTGTGGCATTCTTTGTCAACAATACAGATATTCCAACGCTGTAAGACTACAACGAGACACACGTGGAACTGAGTCTACAAACCCCGAGGTCTGAATTTGTCTCTGTACACTCTGCGTGGATGTGGGAAAGACCATGGATACCTACTGTTCTGTCTCTGCCTGCAGTTTTAAGGGATAACGTGGCATTTCAGGCTTATTCTGTACTCTAATAGCTCACTGCATCTACAATTTTGGGAAAGTAAGTATTCCTGGGACTCTGATACTCATTCATATCTGTTGTACTTGACATAAATCTTGAATTCCATTTATTATAGCATTTAAAGGTTGTTGAAACCTGCATAAACCCTGTTATGTGTTTACACTGACATAGTTTTTCTGTCAATGACTTTGAGTATTTTCAAAGCTTCTGTTTAACTCAACGTGTGTTAGTGGAATGAGTGGGAGCTCTATCTGTGCTGTAAAGTTTCCATGTGCATCATAATAGGGTGTTGGGCCACATCTCCTCACTTTACCTATTGTAGTATAATGTGATGAGCCCTGCTGGTATAAAGCTGTGATCTGACAAAATGTGCAGGCCTGTGTGCCAGATGGCTCACTCAGTGAATATGTGATATAATGGTGTGTACAGTTGGTTTTCCAGTGGCACAGCGATACGGCATCTGTTGTCTGGCACTGTGACCGGACTCTTGTTTTACTTATTAGTTGCCTGTAATTCAATTCCAATTCCTCCATGTGTAATCTGGGTCTCGTTTCCTGGTAAACGTCTTTGTGAGCGTAATGGACAAAATATTCTACTGAACAGGCAAGTCATTACAGTGGTGCACAGGCACAACAGGAGAGGCAGACGCAGCATCTGCCACACATTAAGCATTTATACATGCTGTGGATTATTGCTGAACAGAGGTTTTAATGAACAGACTGGATAATTGAGAGGATTATTTGTTCATTTTAAGAGGATTCAGCTCTATGTGAATGAAGTTTTGTTCTCTAAGAGTCGGTGATAAAAAGCAGTCGATTCCCATGTAGTAATTTGAATCCTGCAAATATATCTTGTACCACAGAAATATGACACCAGTGATGAAATCCTCGAGGATTTAGATTGCTAAACATTTGTGTAACAGAGTCATTTTCATTCAAGCAGCAAACCCCAGAAGGGATTGTTGTCGTCTTTTGTGTTCATATTAAATTTAAATCAAAGCAAACTTCCTATTCATTATCATGCCCAGTTTCCTTAGACTTAATTCTCCTGGTCAGTGCATAATAATTAAATTCAGACTAAATATAATCCATCCAGAGAAAGATACAATGCAAAAATGAAATTCTTAAAAGAGCAGGATATGAAAAACTGAGCCTCAACTATGTCTCTGCTGTGATGGAGTTTCACACTGTGGACTGTGGAGGGCAGTACAACACAACTATGATAAAGAGGGAGACTACATTAATTCAACTGACTTTTTGAGCATATATATGCTGCATTAATCACAATGTAAACACAGAGGCTGCTCACTGAATGTTATTTAGACAGAGTCTGCAGCTTCTGTTTGTCGTCACATTTCTGTGATGTTTTGTTGCACCGATCTTTATCTGTTAGTCTGTGTCCCACATGCACACAGACTGAATCGATGCAAACAGCTCGTTGCAACGGTCAGCATCGTAGATATTATCTACACAACTTCTGAAAGTCAAGGTTGATGGAGGAAAGAAAATATTCTGCAAGTCAAGGGGAGATTTCTTGACAATTTCTGGAAAATGTTGCCCAGGTATAATCACTAGTCTGTGATGGTCAGCAATCTCAGCCTCCCGCTGACATCCAGAGATGTGCCGTGGGCAGAGAAAGATGTTTGACGCCTTGAGGTGGAATAAGAAAAATAGCTTGAGCGTCTGCCAGAAAATTCTTATGAATCGTGCTGATATTTGGTTCCTATATAAAGCCTCAAGGTAAATGATAAGTTAAATCTGGAACAGTATTAACAGATAGCTTAGTGCAGCGAGATGCTGAACCAGTTTATCAGGGCGATGACCTTCTATTGAATATCTACCAGTCAGCAGTCTTGGCTTATAGTGTTATCACTGCTCAGTTTTAAAGAAGAGGTTTAATAGTGTTCAGAGATTACATGACAGCAGGTTAGGGGGCACAGAGGTTGAAGTTTGAGCTGCAACTATCGCTTATTTTCAGAATCTAACTCTGGATTATTCTCTCAAACAATTTTACTCATTGTTTGGCCAATAAAATGTTAAATGTCATCAACATGCTTATTTTGTTGAATCATAGAACAGAGAATCAATGTGTTGAAATTAAGAAGCTGGAATTTGAGAATATTTGTTTGCTTGAAAAATAATCAAAACTTTTCAGCCCAAGTTTAAAGGCTTGCCTATATTTTGGTATATTGCTGCTGGCAAATGGGGTTTTCACGCTCTTAAAGGGTTACAAAAATATAATTGTTAATGGTTGTCCAACCACCTCGGTCATGGCCCCCTTTGGTAACTGAAAAGTTTTTGGTACCATTGTAAAAAAATCTCAAACTACTGAGGAAAGTATAACAACACTGGTAAAGTTGAGCTTTGGAAATAACATTACCCAGAGATTATTGGTTCCCATCCCAGATGCTGTCTCATAGGGGTTGGGAGATAAATAAGTTTTGGGTCTCTTTCTCCAGTGATTGCTTTCCTTTAAAATACTATATAACTCTGTGAGGGTAACATCCTCACCTGTAAGTTTGGTCTCATGAACATACAACTGGTTTCACAAGCGCTCATGTTTAACCTGAGGTGAGAAGCCCAATAAGACATTTCAGTTTACATTTTGTTTACGGACTTTGAGACACGACGTCCACTGTTATGGTTTGGACACAGATCTTGCATTAGATTATGCTTATTGCATTAGAACATTTATACAACATGGCATTGAGTCTTGGTTTGGTCCTATATTACCTTTCAATGTTCCCATTCGAAATTGCCATTCTATCCTCGAAACTTCCATTAGACCAAGTGTCATTACAGGTAACCATGTATATGAATGAAGCAAGAGGAAAGGCAGCGAGAGGAAAGTGTGATGGAGAATAATGTGGTTGCGCTCAGAGACGAGAGAGATAAGAGGAAAGTTTTACATTCGGGGGAAAAAAAGAGGTGAGATTCAAAGAGAGCCAAGCCAAGCAGAAGGTCTTTACAGCAGCAGGTAGGAGAGAGATGTGAATGGAAAAGAAATGAGGGAGAGTCAGAGAGAGGGATAAGAGAGGCGAGAGAAAGAAGGTCAGACAAAGAGGTGGAGAGTGCTCTGGCGAGAGGGGGTATTTACGTCTAGTGTCGCTGGCGCAGCGGGACGCCTCCTAAAAGGAAGCCAAGTTTGATACAGAGTGCGAGAGGAGAGGGAGCGGCCGTTTGAAAGACAGCCGATGGAACAAAGAGCTCCAAATTGCTCCATTAGACTGTCCAGAGACCCGTATTCTAAAAATACATCTCCGGACGGGCACCAAATAATTTATAGGCCTAATCTATCAAAGTATACAAAACCCTGGCGATTCATTCTAAGGTTAATATTGTGTGAAACAACAAACTGTCTGTGATAAATTAATCTTTGAATAATACATTTCACAAAATGTATAATTCAGTTAATGTGATTTACTGATTTGCCTCAGACTGATACTGTCACGGAAAAATGAAAATATAAAATGATCCACCGGCCCCTAAAACGCATAATCTGAGACCTTGGGGCCACAAGGGCAAACCTGGCAAAAATGAGTGTCGTATATTAAGTTAAAGCTCACGTGGGGTCTGTCCAGAGGCAAGGCACGCTGCGGAGCACTTTACAGACGCTAGAAAGTGGTGGAAAATAACCCCTTTCAACTTCTAATGCAATCTATGAAAATTCCCCACTGTGAGTTTCTGACATGACATGTTTTCTCATGCAAAATGAAAGATAAGAAGAGTGAATGTCACTCGCTGTGACGACTTGTTTTACATAACCATTGTAACGCTGCTTAATCTTACACAGTGGACTCGATTACTTTGTACATTTGGTGTACTTTAATGTATAAGAGAAAAAACATATACGTGTTAAGTGTCCGAATGTCACATAGAATAAGACAAGTTTTAATAAATGTAATTAAGTGCTGTATTCAAACATGATATTAGTCGGCTATTCAGGTCACTGTCTCGTAAGAACATAATAAATCAACTTGTAATCTATATTAAGCTACATAATTACAGCTCTAAAGTATTGCTCAACTTTCACCGTTAATTACTGTCTAAAATAGCTTGTAAGACTAACACACTTTTGTTTTAATCAATCAATCATACTGTTTTTCTCAGGTACGATTTAAAATAATCATACATCCAGTCTAGTGTTTAACAGTTTCCAATTTTACAGGTAATTAGTTCTGCAAGACCAAATGAGGACATAAATTAAACTTCCAAGGAGCCGTGTTTAATATCGCATTAACGCCGTTGAACCGTGGCGGTGTCATAAAATGGAGAGAAAGGGATAAGCACGAAAAAAACCGAGTAGAAAGTCAATGAGCTCCTGTACGACGTGGCGCTCATGCTGAAAGTCGGCTCTGAACCTCGGGTCAGTTTTGTCTAGTAACAGGATCAATAAAGTTTAGTCAAACATGATGATTGAGTCCTTAACAATAAGGAGGAAACAAACCGTGAAGATAATATCAGTATTACTGTTTGAATAGAAACTAAAATTACAATGAAAGGAGCCTCATATATTCAGACCTGGTCTTTCCTTGTCACTGCATAGTCTCATTCAAGAGGACACTGAAAATAATTATTGTACAAATCTGAAACTATTCCCTCATTTGGTAAACACAAATTAAATAAATATTTCCCAAATGGAAATTATTGATTGCTTTATAAC